GAAAACATTGTTTCCATTTTAAATAGTGAACTTAACAAATTCAGATGCTTCGAACAATAAATGTAAAATACGTGTAAAAATCAAGAAGTCATACTATAAGTTTTAATAATTATTACAAATAAAGTAAATGATACGTGATATAAATGATAAGTAAGAAGATAGAGAAGAATTTAATACCCTTCTTTAAAATTGAAGGTATAACTATAATTCTTACTATAGGATAAAAGAATCCTAGGAAATTACTATTTATAATGGAAGTCAATAACCGGTATTCCGGTAAATTCTAGATTTTATTAGGAAAGAATACAATGGCCCACATGATCCATCATCTTAAATGCGTCCATTAATATACTTATGCATACTTAATCACATTAACATTAACAACGCCAATGAAATATTCGACCATATCAATACGAGAGATGGAGACAACTCAATGTCAACCCATCTACAAATTTTATCTCAACCATGTATGTAGGATGTATTAGTGCCATAAAATTTTTGAGGGAGTTGCCATATCCCTTCTATTCATAACTTTGAATTGTTGTAAATTGGTACCAAACAGATGTACAAGCATTTTAGTTATCGTACAATTGTAAATTCTAGATTTGAAGAATTTGAGTAACATAGTATATTTCAGTGAAACGATAATAGTAATTAGTATCGAAATTTTATGTGGGATATTTTAATAATTGCTTCGAGAACTAACAATTAACTTTCGTAACGGTTTTGCCTGCTACCGCGCTTGAAGGAATAGTAGTAAAATTTTGATCATTGTTATAAATTTGATTTCATGCCGTACATATTTGACAGTCATTAATGAGGGGTACAGGAATTGATTAAAATAAATCAAGTTATGCCGGTAACTTGCAAAAGAAAAAACTCATTGATTACACTTTTCCTTCAATTTAATCTACGCTACAATAACGTACCGCATTCGCAAAAGTATAACCTGATGATATTCTTCTACAGGTTATGAAGTGTAATAGTCAATCACACTCTGTATCTTTCGGTCAAAAACTACTGAATTTTGCAGGTAAGGGAGGTTTCCACATAGACCAAAGAGCCTGGCCGATCGCTAGCTTTATGCTATTTCGCTGTACTAATTGCACGAAAAATAAAATGCAGTCTTGACTATGAAAGTACCTGTAGATCATAAAGTTTGTATAGCATCTAATGCATATTATTACATATAATATATTATGAAGGAATAATAACATTTGTGCTATTATGATAATTAACTAGCAATCTGCTCATTTGCCACCAGAACTCTATGCTAATGATAAATAATTATTTTGCCTATAACCATGTATGGTAATTTATGAAATAGCAGTAGTTTCCATACTCTAAAGCCTTCCTAGTCGTTACTAATACTCTCTTAATAGGTTTTGGTTATGAAAACACATTTATTTCTAATTTAATCTATACAAATTTAAAGAACTTTATTACAGTATCATACCATAATTTGTCTCATCTAGAATATGACTTCTAAAATAAAATAGGGTAGGCTATAATCTGAATAAAATAGGGAATAAAATCACTCATAGCTTTTATCATACGATATTCTCTAGACTACAAATCGACATCAAATTAATTCTTGATTCCTCTTTTCATTCATGTACTACTGTTTTGTTTTAGCAGTACATGGTTAAGTTAATATCATATAGCTTAGTCTAATTATGGGTAGATTACTTAGCTATCGATAAATTTTCTCCTATACTTTTGAATTCTGATTTTGAAGTTACGGTAAAAGGAAGCGATCAAGATTAAAATTCTACGTAGTATCACAGTATACAATATCAAGATCTCCTAAAAATTGCACCCATACTTTTAAAGTCTTATTTTGAAATTACGGCAAAGAAACAATCAAGATTGCAGTTCTACGTGATATCACTTTATACACGATCGTGATCTACCTAGAAATCGTGCTCATTCTCTAGAACGCTTAATCTTGAAATTATGGCGAAGGAAACAATCAAAATTCCAATTCAACATTATATCAGAGTATACGCTATCATGATCGGCCTGAAAATTACACCCAGCTTTTAAACTCTTTATATCCTGAAATACAGCAAAGGAAAACAATTAAAAGCACAGTTCTACGCAATATCAGAGTATACAGCATCATGATCTACCTGGAAATCGCACCCAGCTTTTGAATTTTTTGCTTTGAAATTACGGTAAAAGAAACAATCAAAGACTATAGTTCTACGTAATATCACAGTATACAACATCATGATCTACCTGACAATTGCATCCAGCTTTTGAACTCCTTATTTTGAAAACACGGCAAAAGAAACAATTAAGATTATAGTTCTATGTGATATCACAGAATACGCTATCATGATCTACCTGAAAATGGCACCCAGCTTTTGAACACTTTAAACTACGACGAAGAAACAATCAAAATTACAGAGCTTCTCAACTCTTTACCTTGAAATTACGGCGAAAGAAACTATCAAAATTGCAGTTTCACCAATATTACAGTATATGCGTACAATATCACCATCTAAATGCAACCGCACTCATGCTTTTGAACATTCTACCTTGAAATTACAGCGACAAACAATCAAGATTGGAGTTCTACGTAATATCAAAATATACAATATCATGATCTACATGTAAATCCCATTTATACTTTTTTGAACTCCTTACTAAATTACGGCGAAAGAAACAATATTACAATTCTATGTAATATCACAGTATCCAATATCATGATCTACCTGAAAAGCGTAGCAATTATGTATTTTTATGAGTAAATAAAATCTGTAATCTGCGTTACTGTTGATTTGCTTTGCCAATTTCTTGGCCACTAGAACTGATGCATAAACTATAATATGATGAATACCCGGCACAGCAGTATTGACTTTTAACGACCATACGATTATAGGTGCACTATCCTACGTACAGTCAACAGTTTAATACTATAATAATATCTTTGCCCCAAGGTAGCTGCCCTACTCTTTGCATTACTGATTTTTACAACTCTGCTCAGTGCATGCGCTTCGACTAAACTTTTATTGGCATGCCAAACATAGAGCTAAAAAGATATTCTCCAGTTTAGAATAGTCCTGTGTACTCTACGATAAGGCCATCATGCAATAATACGTCTGGTAATTACAGTATATCGTAGTTTCCTTGTATCAATACTGCCATTTGCGTGCTCTATTAGGTAATCTATTACTTAGATATTCATATGTCTTCTATGACAATGTCGCCATGATATCATATAGTAACTATAGTATATGATAGTTTTCCCTTTATAAATACCATTTCATACAGTCTTCACAAATATACTTATACCAGAGGTCTTAAAGAAAGAACACCCTACCACTACTTGTATAACTGACATTTCGAAAGTGCTAAGATTAGTGAAGTACCTAGTACAGTATGACACAGAATAGCTATGCTAGGACCATAGAGATGAACCACAATGGTTAAGACCTCCAAGTACTAGGGAAGCATACTGTAGATTTTGCAGACACCCTACGATATAATATGTCGTCGAGGGTATAAATAGTACAGAACCTACAGTATAACACAGAATCGTTATGTTAAGACCATGGGCAAGAACCGTAGTAGTTAGAACTTCCAAGTGTTAGGAAGGCTTCCTGTAAATTCTACAAATACCCGACGGTATAATCCGACGTCGAGGATATCAAAGCCAGGAGTTTTGAAGGGAGGCATATAAATCTATATCCATTTACGTACGTTATTACGTAACGTAGCATCCAATTTAGTAGTAAGATTATGATACCTTTACGTGTTCCATTAAATATTTTACTACTTTGATAATCGTATGTCTTGTAGGCTGTATATTTTATAAATTACGCGAAGGAGTAACTTGTGCATAGGTGTTGTAACATAGTTTCCATAGGATAATCTATCTAGGAATGTGTCAATATTAATTACCTATGAAATTTACATATTTTTAATAAATAATTGCATAGTTGTATAATATTATCATCAATCGATGATTACTATTTATGTAGAATCAATAAAGTTTGGGTTCAGTTTTATGTAGGTGGATATCAGGGAAGATAAAATTGACAGTAGGCTCGCAATGTTTAGTTTCCTTAATAGTTAAATTTTCCACGTTATAAACTTAGATTTGTAACAGGAAGTTTAAAGCTTCTAAGAAGGTTCACAATTTGAGTTTCGAGTTTAACAATTGAAGGTAGAATTAAGGAGTCTTTGGTACCTAGACTGGTGCTGAGTCTTCATGAAAGTCGATCTCGACGAACTACAACTAGCGAAACTCCTATGAAATTATAACACCTTTTTAGGAGCTAATTCTTCACTAACTATTGCGTTGAAGGTCCATACTTCCATATCTTCAACTAGCACAATTATAAGGAATTATATACAGGGAATCGCACGAGAAATTTCTTTTGAACCTTTTCATTCTTTTCAATGATTAAAATTGGCCGCTTTCATATAATTGCGGGTGTACTTGATTACAGTACATATCAACGTTATATCTATAGCGATAAGTTCATAAATTCAGGTTTTCTCTTGCTGTATTTACCATGGCACGTTTTATCATTATAATTTATTGAGGAAGAAAGCATCATTAGTTGGATATTTATCAAATATCTTTAAAAAAACGGAAAGAGTCTTATCAGTGACTATACATATACATATAGCCAGTCAGCTATCAATGCTATCAAATATAGCTTACATCACTACAGACATACACTAGCATTTTCTAACACAATAATTTCATATAACGTTGAGTTCATAATTATATAAATGGTCATTATTATTAAATGTATGGATAAGTGGAAATCATTCCTGTAATTATAACGCTCTTAAAAAATACTTCTGCGCATTGAAGTAAATCATTAAATATACATGTATAAGGTTTTGGATTAAGCAATCGTTTATTCCTATTTTCTACCTCGAGCTTTACCAACGAGCCATGAATGTCTTCAGTTGTGACTATAACACGGTCTATTCATCATAACAGATTGGCATAATAATTTAAACAAATGTACTAACAATTAATGTGTTAATAAATGAAGTAGCTGCAATCTTACGAATACTGCTATATAAATTACCATTTCGCCACAAAAATTACTATCTTGATCAACGTCCGGTACATTTCCCTCCGTTTGGCTATTGCCATCAGTATGAAATTCTGGCGACTGATTGATAGTGATCGAAGATACTGGAGGACTTGAAATTGAAGGGCTTAAAATCCCGTAGATATCCTCATATATAATCTTTGCTTCGCTCTCTTCAACAAATAAAAAGTAACAAAATCTAGCTAACAAAACCACTTTTAATAGAAGTTGAATAAGTAAGTCACTACTCAAGTTATAATGAAAAATCATCTATCAAATCTGTCCCAGTTACGATAACTTCAGTAATTATAGCAAGTCTTCTCGTATAATACTATGATTATAATTATTATAAAATTTTCGTATTAGCAAAGCTATAAATCAACTTAAGAGTTCCGAATCGGAATAGTTTGCATTATAATATACTGCCGTAGTAGCTCTTTCCTTAGCCTTATACTGACACATATACTATACTAAATTCCTTTATTAGCTTTAAGAATGCAACAAATTAATGAGTAGTAAGTGAAGATAAAGTATCATCATCACAACCATAATCATTTATGAAAAAAGGATAGGCACTTATACTTTAACTGCTGATAGCAAGTAAAATACGATATTTCTTATCAATAATACACATACCTAAGTATTTCATGGCTTCTAAATCTACATCATACACATTGTTGTCTCCTATAATAAAGGAGTTATTAGCCATATAAATGATTGATTACGTCTATGACATCATTTTTCAATCCCAATTATTGCAATAACAATCGCGTTTGAATATCTACGAACTTGATATCTTAATCAGCTTTTCTGCAACATAGTTGGCCCCTTGATGACCGGAAATTCCAACTCTACCTGCTAGAAAAGGAATCCGTCTCAGAATCTCATCGATTCCGACATACCATATCGCAATTAAAGGGTCCCCCTCTATAATGAAAATATGTTCTGGCTAAGAAAAATATGGAATTTAATATTTTATATATAAATATACCCGGTATCTCATTTTTTGCATAATATCATTTTGTTATAAAGATGTTTTGAGTCACGCTATGATCCTATACCTATTACATTAAGAGCAAGAAATGTCATATCAATTTATAGCGAACTACGGTATTCTATATTATACGCGGATGATTTAATTAACGTATAAATTGGCTAGTTCTATGCAGATGTTTCTTTGAGATCTAGACCGTATCCTTGCGCTACTTAAAAAAATGTTCTTGAAACAAAGTGTACAATTATAACTGCTCTAATATGACAGTAATCTTAAGGCGGTAAATTAAAAAAATATTGTGTTTTACTAAATTTACTGATTGCGACTCATTTCATGCGTAATGAATATATACGAAATTTCAAAGCTGATATCGCAACAAGAAAGATTAATTTAAGTAATCAACTGTAACAAGTGTTTTGTAATTAATACATAATTTCTTAACACCGTCATAGATGTAATATACTATTATCTTATGACACAACATAAAAATGATAAGTAAATATAATAGCCTGCATCATCGCTGTTTATAGTGTACTTGTAGATGACCCTAGAGGCATTTTTCAATAGACTTCATGTGCTCGTGCTCGAACAAGACAGCATAAATGGGATAGGAACTTCTGAGTATCCTCGAGCTCAGAAGTCACTGCATAATACGTATTTCTGCTATTATTATCTCAATACGGTGCCGGTTTTCTATTAAAATTTCCTTCAGCAATTGATTTGCATTGTGTTATATTTATGTATAATTACGAAGATGTCATAGCTATTACTATGTTATAAATATACCAGTACACCTATAATTCAGTAAGACAATTATTACTTAACCTGTGAATAACAACTTATAAGCATGTGGATCTGCCAGTAACTTTACCCATTGATTTTTTGCTAGCAGAGATTTGGTTAAAAAAAAAACGATCCTTTTGGCTTTTATAAAATCTTTGCCAGAATCTATCAACAGGCTTTGACCTGGGCCACCATCTCCAACACATTTTATTTTCAACTTCTTGAGCTTGGATACTATTGGATCAGCAATTTCTTTATCATCGTTATTGTAAATAAGTAAAAAGTCGTAGTATGGAGCTATAATTTGAAACATAAATTGTAAATGATACAATGACTGGATATTGAGCGAGGTTAGTGTCCTCACAGGAAAATACAAAGACTCTTTTTATCATAAATCAGTTTAGAGAAAGTAAAGATAAAATAAATAAACAAAATTGCATATATTTCGTTGGTATTGAAGGTTCGAGATTGCTGCCATTAAATATGTTACGATCACTGGATATCAACTGAGGTTGAGGGTCCTCACAGGAAAATACAAATATCCTTTTTATCATAGAAGTAGAGATCTTTATTACTCCAAACACTAGCGTACATCTTACTGCCTTTGTAATTACAATTCCATGTGGCACCAACCAATAACTCCTTTTATAATCTACTCACAGTGCACCATAGGATTAGATGCTACATGTCATTCTGTATGATATTATATCATTAGTAAATGTCCAAATTATCTGGTTATATGGCATACAGTACATGTGCTTATAAGCATTAGTACGCCTACCTAATAACTACTCCGGGTACTTACCGGTCCAGAATAACTACGATACTCGTAGTTAAACTGGTAGAAAGAACTGTAGTATAATGTATGCATGCTTGCAGTCGCCAAATAGATCATGTTTGTACTTTAGATAGTAAAAATTGCAAAAATATAAAAGCACAATTACGGGTAGAGGCAAAAAGTATGTATTCAGCGCTAGCTAGGAGAAGCAGTTAGCTAATTAACTACACGAGTATTAGTAAAATAATATATTATTCATTTGTAACAGCAGATTATGTGTAATGTTACACTTTTATAGAGGTTATCATATAGTACTGCAGAAGTCTTACAGCATCTGCATCTTATACGTATATCCGCATTTTTCAAAGCTTCGCATATTTAATATCAGCTAGATAAGAAGAGGCTGATATTATTAAAAACAGTTTTGCTAACTTTAAATCCCTACTCGCATCATTCAGTATTGAAGCTCTACCAAATCAGTTATGTATATTTATGCATTTAAAATTTATTTATGACTACTATATACAGCAAACCTAACGAGCATTGCTGTTCCGATTGATTAAGAAATATAAAAATGAATTTATTTTAGGACTTACACGATCCATTACTATTAATTGCAGACTCTTGGTATGATTGTGGCATATCTGATTCACTATAAATGAAAGTGTAATCAGTTTAAATCAATATTTTGTATTCTAAATTAATGTCAAATTGATCGATAGAGCTTATTAAATTCGCAATACCGGTATGGAGACGTTTCATCTTCTAATAAATTTTGTTTGGGCATTGCACGATGTGCGTCAGCTGTAATTAGTATATGAAAATTCAATTTAAAAGCGGAAAATAAATAGCGAAAGAACAGCTGGCTAAAAACATAACATAATACTGTACTATTCCCTTGTGATAACAAATTATGTGTAAGGCTACGGTATTATGAACACTAGCATATAGTTGTAATTTTGCAAACCTTATATTTTTACGCATGCCTTTGTATTACTCGAATTCTAAATACATATAGCCCAAGCTGTAGTTCATTTATATCATTTAATGCAATATTCATACTATATACTATAAATTAGATCACAACTACGCAAGAACTATCAAATTATTAATAGATTGGCGGTAAGTATAGTTAAAGTGATATAGCTAAAGACTCTTTCACTTCAAATCTGAATCTTTATCATTCTATCGCAAAGTAAAATATTGATACCGTAACTGTCCAACATATCGATTTCACTGACTTAATGAGTAATCATGTGTATAAAATGAACTAATTTCGGTACTTACATTTTTCGTTAGCTGCATTTGTAGACCGTTGAGGTGATTGCAACTGATCTAGTTTACTATGAATGAAAAGTGTAACTAATTTAGATCCAGCTCTTGTATTCTAACAAATGTTCAATTGATGATTGAGATTACTTTTCAATTTCATTACGAGAGAAGTTTTGATCTTCCGATGGATTTTGCGATTCATATGATGGCGCTAGATCAATATACAAGATATCATTGAATGAGAGGAAATCAAATTTGAAGTTATGCACATTTTAGAAAAATAGCTGGATAAATATACAGCAAAATGCAGTATTTTTACTTGTGACAGTAGTTTATGTGTAAGTCTACACTATTATGGATACTAATATTCAGTCCTAGCCTTACAGCATCAGTTTCTTATGCGTATATTCGTATTATTCAAAGTTCAATGTACATAGCATCAGCTAAAGTTCATGTTCACGTTTTCAACACAATGTTGATATGATACCATACAACTTAGAGCACTAAGGGTATTTATGCAGATGGAAGCGTAGCTAGCTAAAATTTACACAATGATTAGCAAAATTAGTTCTAATTGCAGTTGGATAAGAGATGATATTACTAACGGCAGTTTTACTTTGAATATCATCTCATAAGATTCTATTTACAAAGTAAAATATTACAATACCTAACCGAGCGATTCCTAAAGAGTGTTGAAAATTCATTAAATCATCAAAAGAGGGCGCTTGCTCTATTTAACGACGGATTAAATTTAAAGCTGTGCACATTTGGAAGAGTAATTAGCTAATATATAGTAAAATGCTGTATTATTCGCTTGCATTAGCAGACCATGTATGAAACTACACTGCTAAATGATGGAGCCTATCAAATAGTAAGGTAGCAGTCTTACAACATCTGCATCTTGCACGTAAATTCGTATTATTTAAAATTTCGATACCTTAGCATCAGCTAAAGTATATGTAATATGTTTTCTCAACGCCATATCCTTAGTTTGCCATGTAAATTCAGACAGCATTAATAGCATTTTATGGACAGAATGAATTTTAGCAGTCATAATTTATGCAATAATTAACAAATTAGCTGTATGAATAGTTGGATAAAAGACAATTTTGTTATAGTTCTCTACTCGTATCATTTTCTCACAAAGTACCGTAAATATTGAAGCTATAACAGTGGTACTATGAAGAATTCTCTCCCATAAATTCCATCGAAGAAAACTGTGCCCAAGTAAAATTTCCCGGCAAAAAATTTTACCCAAATCGTTCCAGTTTGAAGCAGAAGAAATCCACGCAGCTCTTATACCTTACTCTTTATAATTATATTATATAACCAGCTAACTACAGAAACATCTAGGTGATTCGCTTTTTCGAAGCAAATTACGAAACTTAAACAGCTAGTACTTTACTTTAGCTCACTGGTCTCCATTACAGTAGAACGTGTTGATTTGCCTTCATATGATGAAAGTGATATTGATTATTAAAAGTGGAATTATGCTCATGCCCAGGCAAGATATGACAATTTAATACCTGTACTTTCGGAAGCTTAATGATAATACTTCTACCGCTACGTAATGGGTCATGAGCTACGGCTTATGAATGTATGTGTCGACTGTCGAGTATATAGTTTGTTATAAATAGAGCTGCATTTGGTTTTTATTGTAATAAAGCTTATTAATCTAGCTAGTGTCTGATTTATTAGGAACCCGAAGAATTAATTTTACTAAAATATGAGAAGTAATACAGTAGGACAACTTCATTAAAAGAAAACATTACATATATACTACAGATATTTTTCTATCATATTATCGTCTTACTAATTTTAAACTTTCTAATCAAAAATACTTCATTCTTACTTGATCGCTTTTGACCTTCTGTTCTTTCTCGTGGCATTGTCTAAACTTAAGTAGAATAATCTGTAACTAGTATCATACGTTTTACTGTTTTACTATTAGAAACTAGTTTACAAGGACCTTCAATTTTTAATAAATTGTAATATAGTATACTTTTATCTTAAGTTTAGTTCTAACTTAATCGTGAGTAGGCGAGTTAGAGTAGGATAAGATACAGACTGCCGCATTACAGGTACCTACGATAAATTTAATTATAAAAAAAACTCGTTATTCAATATATACTAACTTTCTTAAAAATTATCAGCCGTGTATTTTAACTGGGCTACGCACAAGGTTGATATCAAACATTCTTACATCGGAAAGTATTACCAGATTCCAGTAGTGTTTAAGAAAATATTTAAAATATTAAATTTAAAAATAATTCAATTTCCCCACAAGTGTCCCCACCAAATTTCCCCATAAACAAATTTCTCCATAAACACCATCTGTAAACTTTTATCGATAGCATCACTAGTAACCAACCAAGCATAACAATTTCTCAGCATAGCATTTAAGTAGGTATCGTACATAATGTTTATGAACGTGACCGTATGCGAAGTCGGTCATTTTGCAAACTGCCCATGATATTATTTTTTACTGAAATTTATCGATACTGTATCAATAGGGGGCGGCTGCCAGTAGTCAGTGTGAAGAATTATAACAAAATTAATACCCCAGCCTGATTTTGGCTGGGCAGTATACATTTTGTCCTGGCACCGTATGAGCTGGTGCCACTGTCATGAATCTCAGCCATAGGGCACTTGACTTCAAAATGGTACCATCAGGTGCAAACTATCTAAAATATTGGCGATATCTTTTAATATGGACCATATACGAGTTCGATTTTGCTGACCCTTCAGCAGAAAAGCATGCATCGAATAATATATCTTAGAAAATATTTCATTTCAAATAAAATAAAAATAAATAACACAAATTTCCCCATAAACAACCACTACAAGTAGAAACTTTTACTAGTGCTATCGGCAGTAACCTTATCAACGAAGCATAAGGATTTCTTAATATGGCAAGATACATGACATTTTATAACAGTTGCTAATTCTGGAATTCGATCGATTCCAGAAGGTCCTATCATCTTTAATATCCCTCATTGTTGTCCCTCAACAAAATATACTATAGCTAGGAGCGATCGCGGTGAAAAAGAAATAGATCACAAAAATATTTTGAAGTCTGCGACAAAGGGTATTCCTAAGCGCTCACCTATCTAAATTACTAACTCTGCTCGATGCCGCTTTACTTCCATCATCGGATGAGAACGGGTATATTCAGCATGATATGGTCATAGACGACTGGAAATGTTTTATTTTGCTCTAAAAAGGGTTAGGGAAGACTACATACAACCCTGTATTTATGAACAGTACTATTAAAAGACATACTGTAATGTGTATACAGTACTGTATTTATTTATTAATCTGTTCATGATGAGATCAAGTATCTGCAGAAAACACAAATGAAAAGCTATATTATCCTTTACTATGCAAACAAGATGGTCTATTATTTAATTGATCATAACGCATTGCAAAAGTAATTACAGTATTCTTCGGCGATCTTCCTGATATGGATTGTTGATAACATATCAGCAAAAAAATCGACTAGATAGCAGCAGTATATATTGATGTTAACTGCGATTTTCAACATCTTTACAACAATTATTTTATTTTATAACGACATCCTAAAATTGAAGAAATTGCTACAATACTTTTACAGCATTATTATAAATACCACTATAACTAAGTTAATACAGACAGCATAGTCGTGACACAGGAAAATTTATGCAGATGTTAAGTAATGAAGTAAATCTAAATAAACATTCTTAGTCTTTATTCTTAACATAATCAGTACAAGAAAGAACAAAGTCTATGATATTATAACACAATTTTTTACCGCATATTATAATCATAATTTCGGAGTATATAACTATTGCAATTAGCTGAAATCATTCCGTATAGGTATACTATAGTAAAGGTTATGGTAACACCTCAAGGTCCAAGAAGGCGAAAGCATATATTTACGTAACAAAGCTTCTATAGAGATTGGGGAATACCTTTATTATAACGATTATGCCTCGGTGTTGCTACACGTATATTATTATTAGGCAAACAATACTTTCGGAGTTGTTGGCTGTTAGCAGTTATTTCAGTAAAATGGTATTACCTTTTAAAAGATGCATTGGTAATTACAATACTACTATATATTAATAAACAATAACATTATAAATGGTAGAAAATGCTTACTTTATTACCCTTAATTTGACTATACCGAACATGCAGATTTAATACTTTACCTTAAGGGGCTCCAGTTTATGGTGATGTGTGCTCATCCAACTAACAATAAAAATACTGGCAGTTAGCATGTAAATGAAACAGTTGTATTACGGTCATATGCATACTGCATGTATTTAATTACATCGTCAACATCAGAATTATCTGTATGAACGTCCGGCTGGTTTTGTGTTCTTTGGCTACTATCCTTAGTTTGGGATATTGACCTAGTTGTAATGCCTTGTGAATCCGTATGTTCACCTAGTAATCTTGGCTCTTTCAACAAATAATAAGCGGTATACAATTACCTAACGTTATCATCTTAGATAGATAGAAGAGCTTTAAGATAGCAATAGCAGATCATAAGTTACAAACAAAATTTGATCTCGTATATTGAGTGAAATTTCTGTTACTGCACCAATTGTACTAACGAGTATTGATAATGAATTTTGAAACGCTACTGATTTGATGAGACTCATACCTGTTAATCCTACTATCGCCGATGCGTTGCCATCACAATCCATTTCTTACGAAAGGAAAGAGGTTTCAATTCGAACGCAAGGATCAATGAAAAATGTAAGATATTTTAACCTTTATATCGATGACCCGAATGCAGATGATAGACGAATAGCCGCATATGGCTAGGACAGCATTTCTGAATCTGTGATGAGGGTAACAGCAGTTGCTTACGCACTACGTTGTACAGAAATTTACGAACCTGCTTCTCGGATCAAGCAATCTGCAATATGACTGGGCCCTCGATGACCGTGTATTGGTGTTCGGCCACACAGAAACGGAACTCTTTTTTTAATCGATGCTCTACTCGCATACCATATCATTAATAAAGGGTTCCAATCTATAATAAATAATAAATTTGGATCACGCCAAAAATGTGAAAAATAATAACTCGCAATTACGTATTTTAACAGACATACGCATTTACTATATAAATATCTCGCCTACATTATCATCGATTTGTTGTAAAATGCCTTGAATTAGAGTACTAACCTACCCATACTAACACCAAGATGTACATTTATATTGTTAATGTAAGAGATCAGTTATTTCTACCGTACATATACAGTATATCCCATTAAGACCTTTATGCTGCACATGAATTTTATGTGCTTAAGAGGTACTATTTTACAGATATCATCTCAGTTAACTGTTAAAATACAACTGCTTTAAGGTAACGACAATCTTAGCCTGCTCCTACCAGTAATTACCCTCATAAGAAACACTTTTAATATATTAAAATTTACTAAATATGCGAGTTCGGTTTGTTATCGAGGTAATGTATTTTGACAGAACATCGCCACTGTATCAGAATGAATATTACTCGGGATGTGACATAGTTGCCTTCGAGATAATAGGATATTCGCATGTTCTTATCTTATGTATACTTACCTTGTTCTTAAAATCTACTAAAAATATCTCTAGAAACATCTAAGGGCATATTTATAGACAGCAACAATGCTATACTCGTACATCCTTAGACAGCAGTAACGTCTTAGATCTATGGTGATTTTTAAAGTTAGACAACTAAATTGATAATTGATAAATCATGCCTAGATTTATTAGATGTTATACACAAAAAAATAGGTACTATAGCAATACATTCTGTTATTGTTTAGTCGCAAAGATGTAAGATTTATTCATTCGTGAATATGACACTAAGGCAATTATTACTTTAGCTAGGCATACTTAATACTGTATTTAATCCTGTAACAGATATGAGAATCAATATTTCGCTACCAGTTTTTTTCAGGTACTCTTCTAGAAGAAAACATGAAACTCCTTTACGGTACCTGCATTAAATAGACTTTGAATGTGAGGATCTGCAAACAATGGTACCCATTGACCTGCTTTATCTAGCAGATCTTCTGTCAGGAATAAAACGATACGTTTCGAGCTTAGAAATAGCTCTGTCGAAGATTGAAGTATACTGCGACCGTATTGACCATCCCTATCAGGTTTTCGTATTTGCAAGCCTTTTCTGTTGCAGATACCTGCTACTTCATCGGCAAGTAGACTGTCATTCTCATGGTAATAAAACAAGTAATGGGCTTTATCATAATGTAGAAATGTAATTTCGAATTAGTAAAAATCAATCAAAGTCACTCAAGCATTATTTTTATGAATATCAGAAAGTAATCTGATCTCTCCGCCTGTCCCATCATAGTTATCATAGCTTGAATTTATAACAATAACGACCTTGTCTTCCTTTTGGTCATTCTATTTACTTTATAATGTAAGCTCTCGTCATACTGACAATGATTTAAATTGATACTACGTAGGGACAGTAAGTAACTGAAAGACAGAAATAAAGTATCGACCTTACATGGTATTGTTCGATCGATTTGTAGACTTTATACGGAATTAAACTAGTGTTTAGTAAGCATCGTACTTTATGTAGTTAGAAGAAAGTGAAGTTGATTAGTTCTTAAAAATTATAAATATAGTAAGGATCATTTTCCTCTTAAAGTGCAATTATAAAAATTCTAACTGTAGCTATCATCACTTGTGTCCAAGCACATTTCTCTAGTTTAATATTCATACTATACATCCGGGTATGCATGTAATTGATGTATAACTTAAGATAGCACTGACAGTAGTTTATTCAGGTAAGAGAAAACATAGTTATCATAATTTCCATAATTACAATTATCAATGGATAATTTGTAACTATTTTCAAATAGCGGCCTGATTTACTAGAACATACTGAGGCTTGAATGCAGGTTATTATCAGTTACACGATTCCAACATCCATTTACGATAAGTTAAACAACGATATATTCGTATCGCTAACCTCTATGGCAATTGATGTAATAGTTATAATTATTAATTAACAAACGAAATTTATTTCGGTACCATTAGTGTACTTACCTATATGATCACTAGCAGCTGCAGACTGTTGATTTGATACCGTTTGATAATATTCACTATATATGAAAGTGTATGTAATGTTAATCAAACGTTTGCGTTCTAAACTAATATCCAGTTGATCGATTGAGAATACCTGCAAAAGAATAAAATGAACTGGATGAATAACGTTGATCTGGCAGTTGACAGTCTAATTCAATGTCAACGAAAGTGTACTCGTACTGTAATTAACTTTTATCTAGCTGTTATATTTTTAAATAATTTCCATTTAATCAATTGAGATTACGTCTTGTGCTTATAAGGTGAAAAATGTAACCATTTTTTATTATGTCTATTTTAAGTTAATGTCAAGTTGATCGATTGAAATACCTATTTGGTTGGTCAGATGAAGACCGCTGAGCTGGTATTTGAGGATCTAATTGACTAAAGACGAGAAGTGTCTTGACTTCTAATAAAGATTTTTTATTCTAAAGACTATCCATCTGTTCAACGGTGAATACCTATCAGATTCTTTAGATGAAGTCTCTCGATCTTCCATCTGGCTTCGTATTTCATAAAATGATGCCACATAAAAGCAGTGTACAAAAATTCCACTCAACACCTGAAAATATATTTAATGCAATATAGATATTTTTCATCTTTATTTTAATGTAATGGATTACAAGTTATAACTTATGAAGGCATTAAATCCTCATTATTGCTGCTTTCTAAAATTTAACAGTATTAATTTCAATTAAAATCTGTGTTACTTAAATTCAGACTTGAGTAGGAAGACCTCCTGAACATACCTAAGTAGGCGAAAAGTTGTGTAGGAAACCAGCTTATCACTTAAAACTTTTTCACAGGTTTTCAACCTGTGAAAAAGTTATATTAAAATTATTATTTTAATATTAATTCATGAAGTGCGCTATCCTACAAATGGCTTCAAGATGTGACGTATGGTAAATGAGTCAACAAATAAACAATTTTAGCAACAACAAACCTTATTACTGACCATAAAATGGATATAAAGTGCTCAAACAGTGCAGGGGTAATTTAATCAGGAAATGGGGCACAATTTTTGCTTAATAGTGTTTCCACTTCATCGATATTGCGGCTAAAAAAAACAGATCGCAAAAAGATTGAGAAGTCTACGGCACAGGGTATTCCCAAGCGGTCACCCATCTAAGTACTAACCCTGCTCGACGCCGCTTAACTTCCGTGATCAGACGAGAACGGGTGTGTTCAGCGTGATGTGGTCGTAGACAGTAGCTGGTGGTTTATTTTGCTATAAAAATGACTAGAGAAGCCTACAGTCTTGTTTTTATAAGTAGTATTGCTAAGGGGAATATAGTGTATATTTATTTATTTTCATGATGAGATCAAGTATCTGCAGGAAATATAAGTGAAAAACTGTCTTATCCTCTACAAAGCAAGTAAGGTGGTTTATTAATCAATTAGTTAATTAAATTACATTGAAATAGTTTTCATTCAGCGTCAATCTACATGATATGGACTTTTGATAACGTTTTAGCAATGAAATAGATTCGATAATAGTAATTAAGATATTACTACTCGTAATGAATATCTCTAACTGTATCGTTATAGCGTAGAATGTTACAAAGTGATAGCTGGAATGGTAAGAGTTCACAGCTAGCAGAATTTAAAGCTTAACCATAAAATTTTGATGGAACTACGGATGAATATCACGATCCATTAAAACTAAAAATCAAGAAATTAATGAATGGATACGAACTTGCCAACTCAATTTTAATTATATGTAGTGTGGTATTAATTCTTCGATTACGAACAAAAAAATTGTGTATGAACTGCAAAGTTTAATTTTATAAATTATAAAGCAATTAATAATTTCAAATGGAAGGATGAAACTACAAGTTTAAGTTTATACGCAGAAGAAGTTTTATTTTTCTCACAATCTGAAAGATATCTACCCCAAAATAATTAATTTACCAAATTAAAGAATTAGAAGCTATTGGTAATTCCATGGTGCTTGTTGTGAATTCCATGAGATTATAGGGTAGTAACGTATCTCAAGGGGTAACTCGTATAGGCAATAGATGCAATGGTTACATCTAAATCCTTGACTGAAATTGAAATACATTACAAAAATGAAGTACGATCAAATCGTACGATCTTTAACTACGAAAAGCTTAACAATTGCAACCTATTAAGTGATAGTAGTGTAACATTACCAGATTTGGTATACACGTCTTTCTATTAGCTGTAGTCTTATGCATTTATTTAGTTGAAGTAATTCAAATATCCATTTAAAAATGAAATGAAATGTTGTAAATAAAAAATTAAAGACATAATGCTTTGGGCTAATATGAAGATCTTATTTTAAAAATTATAAATAATTCTTGTAAGTATGCAGAAGCTGTTATCAGAAAATTTCGACTAAGCCATAAAGATCAACTACTATTTATCATTTTAACCAGTTATAGTAAATGTCAGAATTGATAATGAGGGTAATAAATAAATAAGTGGCTATAGATAATCTAATCCCATAATTGGAAATATCTTATTTGTTCAAAACATGAAGGACTTAGACAATAATAATATGCCTGTGAGCTTTGATGTATTTCTACATAAAGAAATGGTACTAATTTGCTGTAGAATCTTTCTACTTATGATCTATACAAGCTATAACATTATCGTATTATTCATAAATTCCTATGTTGTTTCAGAAGTATTTCTTTTCACTACGGACGGACGAATTTTATCGTCTGATTTCCTTCCCTATAAAAATAATCGATGATATCATAACCTTAAAATTTTGATCAAAAATTGTTGGACGCATCAATATATAATGATAGGACTGGAATTGTAAAGAGTTAAAAGAAATACGATATCGATTTCTTATTAAAGATCACGTCATATAGGCTTCACTACTGAATATACCTTTAATAAGAAGAGAATCAATTGGCACAAAGTTGTACAAAAAATGACATAGCCGCCAATGACCATGTATAGCTCATTATTTTTCCGATCAATGACAAAGGATAGAGGTATAACGATTAATCCAAGCAATATAGTGTTATAGATGCAAGTAGAAATATTTCTGACATCGATTTCATTATTAAGGCGAACATCTCGGGCTTCATAAGCTATAAAGGCGCTAAATAGTAATACTATACCATTCAGGCCGATTGTGCCAATCAACCAGTATGTGCCAAACTGACACTTGCATAGTAGAACGACCGGTCTATACTTTACATAGGGAATTATTTCATCATCTTCTAAATTCTAAATAGGATATTTAATTCGGTGTCAGGTATAAGTTAAAAAGCTCTACCTAATATTAATTAATCCGTAGTTCAAATACAATTTAAAATAAATTATAGCGGGTCTATTAATATCTTAATTTAAAATAATAGCATCAGTAATATGTTAATTTCACAATTATTTTATTATATTACTAGCAAATACTGATTCAAAAATTGGATGCTGATAGAAACATTATCAAAGGGGCCCTTTGTAAGCTTAATAACTTAAAATGTTATAGCTTTTTTACAGAGCTTCAATATTTCATGATATTTAAAACACAAATTGATTTCATTTACAAGACTTACACTTGTTATTGATACTCTAACAGACTTAAGAGGATCAATAGAGGTCCAGCTAATGAGAAAAGCAGATTCCAACAATAGCAATGATAGTAGTCCTGCTAAAACGTGCAGATTGCCAATTTCCTAAATTGATTTGGATTTTTATAATAGTTTTAATCTTATTTTGAATAGGATAAGACTACTCATGGTTTTGTAATCCTTATACGGCATAATTATGATAAAAATGGCTCATTAAGAAGTGCAAAGCTATCACAAATAAAAGAGTTCTAAATGAGAAATCAAAGAAACAAAAAATATCAGTTTAAGGCTATTTGAAAATAATTTAATGACATCTTCTATCAACTAAGAGTATGCACTAATATTATATGAGGTCAGATATCCGTAAAATGGGCTACGATAGATTACTTTAATATTATTTAGTATTATACATATCGTTTCTAACAAGCTTCCTGCCAAACTGATATTCAATACTTTATACTGTACCTTTGTAAACCATCTTGATGTAACATTACGATATACTATCAAGGATTTAATTAAGATGGACCCAGCTACTAAGGCAAATCCATAACAATTCAGCCATGGTAGTAACTGTAACAGTAAAAAAGCTTCAACTTAATATTCTGCTGTCAAGAATACAATAGAGTAATAGTCAGTTCTATTAGGAATACATTCTCTTACCATACAAGTAACTGATCGAGTCTGCTCATCATTTAATCCCATAAGTATAACCGATGTATACAGAATAATGCTACCAAAAAGAATCGCACAATCTGTTGCTATCAGCGCAATTGTCCTATATGATGGACAATTTCATCCAAATTCAAAGTTATCAGTGCAAATTGAATATGTTAATGAAGGGATGTAGAGGTAATTCATTTACTTATCCTAATCAATTCAATAAGCAAGATAAAAATGTTTAAACAACAAATTTACCTAGTGCGATAGTGCTTGACTATAAATGATAAAGAAAGAAAAGTAATAGCATAGCCCAAGCTACACAGGAAAATCATAATATAGAGTATGATAGTTTGTAATGGTTGTATACGATCCACGATAATATCAGCAGATGGTGGCGGTTTTTGGTCTGTGCAAGAAGTAAATTGTACATCACAATTGAAAATTTAGCTCAGAGCTAATAGATGACATTTATTTACCATGGATGATAATAATATTTACAATACGTATATTTACAGACTATCTATATTACCTAGCTTTTAATTTCTTAGCTAATGCAGTTATAGTTATAATAGCATTATCAATAAAGAGCTACTTCTAACCTATCCATTTAATACTAGTCTCCATTTCCGCAACTAAAATAATATTTCGACGACGAATAGTTCCAATTTTGACTTTATCATCTCCTGTATAGAGTATTAATTTTTATTGATAATGTTAGAAAGCCATATCATCATAGTGAAAGCAAGCATTGAATATCATACAAGACTGACTGAGGTTATAACTTACTGCTATATATGAATTAATTAATTATAGGTTACGAAAGGTATCGATGTAGGATACAATTTTAAATGAAATTGTAATACGTGCAAACTTAATTAAAAATAGAGTTCTTTTGCAATTTATTGACCATAACCTGATCGTATAAAAGTGAATGAAATAAGAATGGTAACTTAATGAAAATATATATAATTAAGCATATAAATACTCGTCAACTTCAGTAGATTAATTGCAGTATTCTAAATGAAATATTGTAGCTACTTTGCTACTCTATTAGCAAGCTGAAGCCCAATTGAAATGATGGAATGTCAGTAGTAATTCCCAATTTCTTCATGAAATACTGAAAACTGGAATCGGAAATATTAACTAGCAAATCTTATTTTAACAGTTTATTCGTAAATTTTCATCTATATTGGTAACAATATTTATTTATTCTAATGAGCAATTTTAGCTGCGGTCTTAAAAGTAAGCAACAATCAAGTTATTAAAGTCAGAACAAATTGTTGTAAATACAGAAATTAAGATTATTCATAAACTTCCGTATGGAAGCAATCCGAAAATTCTTATCAGTTCAAAGCCTAGAATAGCAGAATTAGCTCTACAATATTTTCGTAAGATTTTAAAATCTTACTAATTTTCCTCACAAACAGTAGAAAAAAATAAACTAATCTGTAGTCGATATCTTACTGCTAGATACTATTCATGAGGCTACAGTCACTTTATTAACCATTAATCGTCAAAGTCATAATAATATTGAAACTTATACTAGCAGCATCGAAGTTTCTACCTTGATATTGACGGACATCGAAGATATTCGCATCAACATCCCCATTATAATCGAACGAGACATTGTTCTGTAGAGAAAATATCAAATAGTTCCAATAAACCTGGAGATGAAATTGCTAACACCAAACTTAGTACAACACAGGTTGACTACTATGAATGTAAGAGATTAGGTACGAAATATTGCTATTTATGGTTCCAGAAATGTTCTATTATAGTTTTAATCTTATTTATTTATCAAAACATCAATGGATCTAACATATTTCGTGATGTATCGTCTAAGTAACATCACAATTAAACTTCGGAAGATTTTCTATTACAGCTCCAATTCATGTGCCTAATGAAACTTTAATGAGTCAAACTAATTTCTTATTGTATTACATAGATAATATTGTAAATTTGGAGATTTAACGACTATTATGGCATTTCTCTATGATTGTGTCTATCAAAATTTCAATACGTCGAATTTAATCTAGATTATGCTGCATTGGTAATATTAGAATTCCAGGCTTCGATAAATGCGCAGGTTTTATTCTAAATTCATCTATTTATAGAAGCTCTAATAAATGAAACTGTATAGTATATTTTATTGGCAATATTATAACTGTAATTTTTAACAAACATCTATTGCAGTCCTAATTCATTTATAGTATTTGCTAAAATTTCATTGATTCGAATAATTGTATATTATACTAGATTAACGTTATAATTTAAAAGAAATCTACCGAAATTCCCAGGAATTGAACTGATTCCATGTTTTGATAAAATATCTTTCTCATCTCGCTTTGCTGATAATTAAAGTCTTCAAAAGTTTTATTTAAACTTTCAAGTTGATTTCTGGAATTATTAAGCGCCAATGCTATGGACCATACGGCATCGTATGCAAATGGCCAGTAGCCATTTGGTGAATAAGTTTTATTAGCGATTAACGGTCTATTAAGGTAGCGCCGTTCTTGTTCCTTAGGTGTCTAACAATACGTAGAAATTTAAATTTAAATTTTTGATATTGTAACATGAAATTTTCAGTTTATGAACATCTAGTTGTATAATTTAATAACGCGTATCTAGCATTAAATACCATGCCGGTTATGGTTTCTATATATTCATAGTTCATGTAAAGGACGCTAATGCTCAGAGCATGATTAATAACAGCGTAGATGTGTTCTGGCAGGCATTTCGATGTTTGTGAAATCTTATCCCAAAATTTCTTTTCATACCAATGTGGAATAATCCAAACATATTTCTTTCCATACATTTCCAATTTATAAGCCTACACAATAATGGTAGCCGTTAATTTATTTCATTTAGCAATGTATAACACAAGGATACAAACATGAAATAAGTGAGTAAGAAGGCAACGAGAAATAGTTATCAAGTAAATTATTGGAATTGTCCTCCCTTGAATCAATTATACCCATAATCTGTTGAAATAATAGTCTCAGCCTCATAATTAAAAATGCAAAACGCTCTATATTGAATTTGTCAACCAAGCTTCCCCTTAACAGCTTATTTAAAGAACTCTAAACTGATTAAGAAATTGATAAAGTCTTTCATCGAAGGATATACGTATTTTATCTCCTTTCTTATGATAACTTGCCGCAAGATCTTGATGTACTAATGTGCCACAGTAGATTGTATCTGATATTAAGTGTTATAGCAAATTTTATCCGTAAAATTCATCTTTGCAACATCCGTTACTCTATGTCAAGTTGAAAATTATCGGTGAGACGACTTCAATTAATAAGTATAGAATTTAGTAATTAATTTAATATCTTGAGTGCACAAACTATCTATAAATGTAGCCAAAATAATAATATCACTAAAGTACTATTATGATCAAAAAATAAATTGGATAAAATCCGTATAACAGATTCCATGAGCTGTTAAGTAATGGTTTCGGAGTTTAATCGACCTTTTTAAATTCCTAAGTTACTAACAGATAGGTTTTAATATCAGCACTAGCTATTAATCAAATGGTTGAAATATGCTTTACTGGCTCTATAGACCGCTGAGACAGAGTTTAAATGCTTTAATCTATCATCATATACCACTGAGATTCCTAATAATAGATTCAAAACGAATATTTAGGTTCTCTAATATTGAATTCAACAGGATCTGTAACTCTAATTACACAGACCTCTGAATATGGTTCGATCATCTAGTTTATCATCTTAAGTACTTAAAATATTAATAGTCAAGAGTTAAATATTGTGGATAGCTAATAACAAGCTTAGTAAGATATCACTAATTATGTGGATAACAAAAATAAGATTATTATAGTTTAGATTGAATTAAAGAAGCAATAATTTTATCTTACAGCACAAGCCAATCCCAACATATCTTTTTCCAGCGAAATAACAATTATAATTCTAACATCTAGATCCTATTATTAAGGTGTAAATATAAAAAAAACAACTCAACTTAACTTAATATTATATTTTTAATCATGGTATTTACAGTTATTAATAATTTCATAATCTATAATCACTATTCTTGCCTGTATTAATATTAAATCAAAGCATAGAAATTCTTTGTTCATTTTAACTTTCTTCTGATGACAGCTTTAATTACTGTACTAGCACTAATCCGATACAGTATAAAGATACTGGAAATTTTTAGTACCTTGATCCTCTTTAATCGTTCAAAAACAGGAGTTTCAGCAAGAAAAAGTTCAATTGCTTTAACTTCTATCCCACTTTTTCGAATAGCACTGCTAACACGATAAATATCCTGTAACCGGACAAAGGGAAACATATATATATATATATTATATTAATTCTTTCAATTTCCGATTAATTACGTATTGTATAGGGATTATTTACAATACCAATATGCAGAAAAGGCATTATAAATTAACAGTACTTCTAATGCAGGTTTAAGAATGAAGAAAATAAAGCATTATAAGGTGAATTTCTTATTTTATTGAATTCTTGAAATATTATTCGTATTAGATGATATTAAAATCATTACGGCTATTAAAACTTTTGTAATGGCTTATATCACACCTGATAATTTGTATAGGAATTACGACCAATAACTGCAACTCTAGTCCAATTAAAATGATTCAGTAAAGCTACGTAGGCTTCTCCATATTTTGAATACGAATAAGCTGTTCGAAATAGTAACGGAAAACTTTTCCGATTGGCCAAAAAAGAGCTTTCACTTGAAAATGAAATCTAAGACGTAAAATTATGCAAGTATTTTCGGTTGCGTAAAGCAAGAATTGAGATAAGAAATATAATATAGAGATCTGCACTTAAAAATAGACCTACGCATGTCATATATACGGACCCAGTAAATATAAGTAGAAATTCAAAATTGAAAGTAAAGGAAAAACGATCAAACTTACTTGTAGCATATTGTAGAATGGTGACAATTCTGCAATTACTGCTGTTACTGTTGAATAACTGCTACCTAAAAGAGCAATTTTGGTAGGTGGTTCGTCTAGTAGTCGGATAAAATTGCGAACACCTAATGCTGTTTGTCCCTAGAATTAATAATCCAGCAAACAATATCGGAAAGTTGCAGTATGTTGTGGAACAATCGATGATTAAGATATCTTTGCAACGAATAAAACGAAAATATTCGAGCTAATAAGCAATTAAAATCTTGTGACGATTACTGGTAATTACAGCAATTATTGAAAATAGTTGTCAAACTTATTCAGTTATCGATCTAATATAACTTCTAAATAGATTCATTTTGTTGGCTTAGCGTAGCCTATGAAGAAAGGGTCATATAATTATAAGTAGTGTGCGTCTTATCGTTACGAAAGCAAAGCATATCAACTGTTAACTGTTGTCAAGCTTTAAATTCAACGACATCAATAAATTGATGTATCATATATCTGAAAATTTTAACTTTGTGTAATCAATCTATCCGGAGTATTAAAATCTATTCTGTTAGCGTTCTCTACTAATTAAATATATTAAATAAGAATGGTCTAATATTCTACAATCTATTGATACAAAACTACAGTCAGAAAAGAAAAAATTTATAATTGAAAGTTTCTACATTAGATCGCCCAAAAATGTCTCAATAATACTCGTGAGTCCTAAACGCATAAGCCAAAAAAAGAATTTTAATAAATTTTAAGGTTAAAGATTATTCCTGACATGACTTTTGCCAGGTCGATATTGAATATGTTATAGCGTGGCAACTCACAACCGATTAAAGTCCGTAAATACTGTCCAAAATAAGAAACGTAAGTCAAAGTTTAAGATTCACGGCATGCAATACTCTAACCTGAGTATTTTCTGTTTTAGAGAGGATTACTCTTTGATGATAGTAGTTGATCTTAGAATGCCAAAAATGTCTTTACTAAGCAATCATTAGGATTACACATTGAAGGATGAAATTATGCTCTAGATACCATGACAATGTTAGTATCTTAAAGTAGTACGGTATATTATACGTGAGATGTTTTCTATAATATTGCAAAAATTAATATTACCTGCTCTATGAAAATTTACTTTATGAATTAGAATATCCTGTTTTCAATATTTATCTAAAGCGTTAATAAATTGTTGGCTTCAGGCCCTATATAAGTACTGCAGTATAATATTGAAAAACTTGAATAGTGCATCTTATTTGTAGTTAGATAACTTAACAGGCTATAATATAGTCCGGCAATGATTTCTTTCCGTAAGTACATTTTTGTTATACACACCCTTAGAGAAGACACCATTTTTAGTGTTATCTTAAAAGATTAGTGTATGATTACGTGTACTTACAAGAGGCATAAATTACATTAAAACACTTGATAAAATTGAAATATTAAGAGTTGAATTTAACCAGAAGCGAATAGCTTCTTGTGTAGATCTCTTAGCTTCTTGTTTCTTGATGACAGGAAAATCATCAGCAACTTATGCCTACGCAGGTAATGAGCCAGAATAGGCATATCTGGCTGTAAGACCGCGTTACCGAACTTCTAAGGAGTCCTCATTTGTAATACTGATTCTTAATTATAACATATAAATCATATTATATCAATTCAGTGTAGTGCTAATTGAACGTTAGTGACATTAGATTTGAAATCTTATTAAACGCAATTGCGGATAAGTTTTACACCTAAATATATGATAGCTTCGCTCCTAAACTTAATACTATCAATGATAACTTTAGTCCAAATCGAAGATATTTCACCTAGGATATCATGTAAAACTATATCACACCAGAAAATCTCTCGTCCAGTCAAGCGAATATACCGTTACACTGAACTAAGCAATGATTTGATACCTACCTACTAATAAATTTGAGCAATAATTGCGAGGAGTCTCATTTTTATCTATTGTGTGCTGTAAATTTAAATATCAATATGCAACAAAATTGGACATAGACTGCACGTACAGCGCACTATTAAATCAAGTATCTCCCAAATTTTCCGTATGAGAATCATATATTGTTTTCTATGCATTCCCTCGGCTAAAGCAAGAAATTCAATTATAGAAAATGAAATAATGATACATACGTACATCTATTTCAAACTACTTCAGACTAGACACAATCTTATGCCGGAGCTATAGTTTAATAATATCCGTTATCACTCATACATGATAGCTGCTGCCGAAGAGCATTTAAGCTCGACAGATAGTTGAATAAAAGAAAAGTTTTATAGTTGTATTATCGTAGAAGCAAAGGCATCTAAATTCTTATGAGGTAGTTAAGGGATGCTGAATCCCGGAAACTATAGTAATTTAGAGATTTGTTTTACGTTATGTTCGTCACGAAGCTGGTTTGTGACACATGTACGTACGTTCTATTAATATCGAAATACGGTTTATATATTTTGAAAATGCGATTTAAAACTTTTACTTCTACCAGTCAGCTAAAGGATTCTTTAGCTATAAATATGATCAATAAATTAAAAATTTATAAATCTTAAAATCATTCTGAACGGTAAACTACTTCGTTAAATCGGTAAGTAATCTTTTTATGTTGTAACTAAAACCAATTCATAGCTAATCAGATGCCAAAATAAGTTATTATTTTTTGTACCAAGTGACATCTGACAATTTGAGCCTATATTATGAATACCGTCTAACTAATTATTATTGTGTCTTATTCTGGATTGATTAAATCGACTACGACTGAATCTTTTATCAACGCATAGATATTCGAAGTCTGAAACCGTTGCACATACAGATGAAGCTAACTGGATAAAGAAAATATCTTAAGGCCAAATTTATCCATTTATGGGTAAATAATTATCGTAGTTAGAGCTAATATTGATGATACTTGTATTCAGTATAGTTGTTACAGCTTATAAAGATCTATGCAAGATACAAACTATCATTTTTGTGAAAGAATCGATCAGAAAAATAATTCGTACAAATTTTTTATTGTAAATGGAATCGGTGTGAAGATTAGATTTTCAACACTTCAGCTTTAGTTTTGATTGCCCCAACAATAAATAAGAAGTAAAAGTAATCTTTTTTAATTTCGGAAAGCATCCATTAGTGTCAATTAATAAGAAATAATGATAAACTATACTGACTGTAAACGAAATCAAACGAAGGCGATCACTTCATATCATGAAAGAATGGGGAACAAAATTAAATGATAAGTTCCTATAATCACCTTTTATGCTTATCAAGTCACAAAGCTTAGCCAGTATTGTAGTATATTTTCAATCTAAACTAAATTTTATGGTATTAAATAGGCAACATCTACATTTTTATAATGCTAAAGTTGACAATCGCAATATCTATGTTATAAATTTACGCTTGTTCATTTATCAGGAACGTTACTGTAGTTAGTCTATATTTTAAAAAGGAAACCATTTTACAGTAAGCTAGCATAAAATCATGAAAATATTCAAAAACATGATATCAAACTTGCTACCAATTCATGTCTAGCAAGATAAAAGCAAAAAATAGAAAATAAATAGTAGTTAAAAGTGGCAAATTCTTTCTATTACGTTATATCACCGCAGGACAATGAGATAAATATTAGCTCGAAAATTGAAGCATTTTAACTCTTAATAATTTACGTATGTTGAGCCGAAAATGAAAGTATTATAACAAATAGAAGGGAATGTTACGAATTCTAGATATTTTTGGCATCTGGTCAAGTTTGAAGGATAAGGACAAATATGAATTAGCATAGATAGTAATGCATCGGGTTCTTGCAATCACTTTTACATCAAATTAAAACGAAAAGCAACAAATTACGGTAGAAATTATATTACTGAGTCTTTACTATCCTTTTTTATTAAGTCAAAAATGAAATGATATATGTGAGAGTAGATTTAGAGAATCTTGTTTCTGTCATCAATTTACGTAAGCTAGAAGGAAAATGCATGCAAATACAGCATCAAATATCCAATTCTTACTTTCTTAAAGTATTCATGCTTCATTTGCTACAAATAACGTTAATCCTTCATTCTTATAAAGTAATCAAATAATATCGCGCATAACCGGTTTCTAATCATAACTCGACCGATACTTTTACGTACCTAGTACTAAGTATTGCAAGCTTAGCATTTATTAGTGATTTTATTTGTCGCGGACAGCTCTTTTTCCTCAATCCGTTGGTCAAGTAGGTATAATTATAATCAAGTCACAGTTATAACTTAGTTATGTAGTTTTAAAAGTGCAAAATTTTAACTTTCAGTCTTTAGATCTGTATCCGTTAGTGTTGTTGCTGCAATGTATTCATTTATTCTTCTGGTAATATAGCTTTATCGCTCTTGGAGTATTCCAAAACTGAGTATGATAGTAGTACACAGAATGATAGTATTCAAATAATATCGCACTGCTCTTACTAAATTGAGAATACGAGTAGCATCAAAACTTTTTTGGTCTAATGAATGCAAATGTTGTCATATGAGCTTTAATCTTGAAAATCTGACTAAAATGGCCATTTAAATAACCTAACCTTAGTCTCAGCCCATATCAAACATAAATTATGATTTGGCAAGATATCATCACGCAAATTAATATCATCCATTGCCATATGCACAGCCGGTAAGAGTCCACCAGCGCTCCAGTCCGGTGATTCAACGGAAAATAATCCAGCCAGATACAAGCATTTCTTCTGACCGTAACAAAACGATCTTGGACCAGTCATAAGGCATAGGAATATGAAAATCGGATGTATTACTTTAACCATATTCTACTCTTAATCTATTGAAGGACCGTGAAGGTAAGCCTACTATTTTAATCGAATATTATATTCAAGCGATTTTACTAAAGTATCGTAATTCTGAGCTTGAAAGCTAAGTATATGGCAATTTGGCTTTTTACTTAAGCTATCAAAATAATGATGATTAAGCCAAGAACAGTAGTATTAAGTCTGAACCACTCCCTAATATATTGTATGTCTCCTAATAGCTATAGAATAGTAAATTAGCAATCAAGAAGACAATAATAAATCTAGAATGGTTTTTCAGTGTAAGGTTATAGAGCCAACATCAAGAATAGAATTACAGAGTTATGGCTATAATAATATTTAATATTGTCATATGCGAAATGTAAATGAGACTATACAATAACTTATACAAATATGATCAAATTTGTCAGCTATTGTAATTATCTTTCAATGGTAAAATTGAAATACCCCAAATGATTAAATAGAAAATGTTTTCTATCGCATACGTATAATGCAAAGATGACTCTTATAATTCTGCGTATAATGCTGGAGACGGAAGATGTATCAATCTTATATTGATGATAACCTTGTGTTCTATTCCGTATTTTATCTCCGATATTTCCCTGTAATATTATAATAGAATAGAAGAAAGGCAATAGTTTAAATTCATCTGGACTTCCCTTAAAACTACTTTGATAATTAATACAGTAAACGTATACTAGATACAAAAACATATATTCTCTTGATTTAACAATTTTATATATTCAGGATATAGATTAAAATTTAATGATGGGTAGCAAAACATAATTTTTACAATTCTCTACTTGTTGTAATATCATTATTTGGAGTTAGAATAAAGATTTTTTCTGTCTACATGAGTATTTCTCGCTAACTTCTACTAAGTATCAAACAAATAATGATAGTATTTGCGGCCTTTTCATTTCATTAGCTCCTTACGTAATACCCCAACAGGCACTAATGCAACTGATTATCATCAACTATTTATAGTCTTAATAATAGAATAGTAGACTTCAAAGATAGAAAAATAGCAGGCTAGATATTTAGTATTCTCATCCAACTAAATTATTAATGAGTTATTGATGATATAGATATATCAGAAAAAGTATCAAATTAATATTTCAGTTCCTTTTTTCATAAAATAAAATACTTCGTTAATTTTTAATATCGAATTTTATAATAATAATCGGAGTATGTTCCTAGTTCATAATTTTAAACTCAGTCGCTTCTATTTCAGAATACGATTTTAAAAATTGTAGAGTATAAGGATAAATTTAAGTATTGACACAATTTTCATTTTGGACAATCATAACTAAGTATAATACAATTAAATATTTCATAAAGTAGTTATTTTAGATGAGATTGAGTAGGATTATTATGTGCTAACAATTATTATAGAGTTTGAATGCACAAGATTTTTAACACAAGATACGTAATATCAACATCTTGAATAGCTAATTGACCAAAATGAAGTAGAAATAAGATATTTCCTTGGCAACCTAGCATATTGATAGAGAAGTAAAGTGAAAAAGTAAATAGCTTAATTGCAAGCAAAAATGTGCTTACTTATAGCAGTAATAAGTAAAACTATTTAATAATGAAATTTGTAAATACTTTTCATAGATAGAAGTATTCGCATGTGCTAATTACTAAACACATATTTACATTTAATGTCAAACACTTGATATTCAAATTTAGAATATATGCCATTTTTTTTAATATTAAGCAAGTATCATTTATACTAAGTTTATATAAAGCATCCAATCTTAATTAGAAAATAAAGTGTTTCAGTTTAATTTTTCTCAAGGTTCCATTGCAAATATGTCATCGTTCTCCATAAGTTAGAAATAGTCTTTATTCGAATTCACTCTTACTTAAACTTATGGGACCGTTTAATTTAATATGGTAATGTATTCGAGCTTGACTAGAAGTACACAATATTTACGCGTAGTTTAAGTTTTTCTAGCCTATGGCATGAATATCTCAAATCCTTAAACATTAAATTAACAAAGAGCGATTCAATTTGCAAATCTTATTTTGGGGAAGTCACGCTAAAGTCATTTTTATGTGCACATTCACAAGCTCTATAGAGTAACAAAACAAGGAGATTATCAGTAATATGTCACGTTATTGATAAATCATTGATATTAATTCTTCTTTTCAAACTTATAGAGTTTGCCTGTCTCCACTATACTGGTCTTGATTATAGCGCTAAATAAAATATAATTGATTGAAAAATAGAATGCTCTCTCCTATGCGTTAATGGATACCAAAAAATAGGTAGAGTAAAGAATATGTTAACATTTATGACTAACAAATAAACCTCGAAATGAAGCATCTCGTACTGCCATAGGCCTTTGAATTGTTAGGGATAGGAATGCTTTCGTACTCAAGAATAATGTGAGATAAGTTGATGATATCGACAACCTCCAGTGGTTTGTAATTAGTAAGTAAATAAAAGTAAAGTAGTTTTTATTGCTGAAGTTGAGTTACTTATTGCTGTATTGATATATTAGCTACTGTATGACGTAACACAATCTTCTTTCATAAACTAGTACTGATTAAGGAAATTGGTAAATAAAATTGTACTGGCAACACTATTTCAGGCTATAGTAACAATATTTACGATAGTAGAATAAACCATATAGTAGCTATTTAAACATAGGGGAAAAGAAGTAAATAGTTATTCTTAAACTGCTAATTAGATTGCTTTTATGATCATTGCTCTAATTTGAACTTTGAAATTAAACTAATAAAATATGTCGTCATCGATACTTGAAAGCCAAAAACAGTAATTAATTTAACAACGAGTGATAGTGAAGGCAAAGAATAGTTTTAAAGTACTCAATACGAATATATAGTTGCATAATCCAAAATTTTGACGCTTTTCCACGCATGAATGGTACTGTAATATCATTCACCAAAATTATATTCCAACTTTACTCTATCATAAGTAACTATTATGCTACTGATTTTTTATAGTCTATTCTAAGTTTAACTACAAACAATTTTACTGTGTTGACTGTTTTAAGAGCTCTATAAAAATAAGTACGAAAATGGCGGAGTAGCTAAACTTGAATAAAAAATTTGTAAAAATTCGTAAATTTAATTGAGATTAATTTAATTACCAACTGCTTTATAAAAAAGTATTGCAATCAAAATTTTAAGCTAGTAGAGGAACTAAACTGTACGAGTAATATAGTAAAAGCAGATAATTTAAAAAATGTCTAGTATTGACAAGTTGGTCCTTACTGTTTATCTATACCCTTTTTATTTATATCCTTTTTATCCCTGCATTGTATTGAAATAAATTGAAATGGACTTCAAATGAAGGCCTTAATAATAGGTGCATTATCATATAATATTAGATTGATAAATTAAACAGAATTGGCGCTAACTGAGATTAGCATTGATAGTATGATTGCAACATAAGACAGTATTTTAGTATTTTATGCAGCTTGAATATATTCAGTTTATAATGTCGACTTCTTGACAGCTTATTATTAAAATCCTAATGTTACACATAATAAATACGGAGTAATCTTAAACCTTGTTCTAGTCAATTTAAAAATGTAGAATATATGATATTAAACGAGTACGGCAATATGATCTGATTTGATATGAGTATAGAAGTAAATGGCTAACATATCTATAATCAAAAAATTAAGTCATTTGCTATAGTTGATCAGCTTACCGTCTGTCGAAGTGCTTTATACTCGGCTGATTGACTGAGATTTTGATGATACATTAAATTAATATTTTTAGCAACTGATCATTCTGACTATATCAAATTGACTATTAAGTTATTATTTAACTGCTTTGATCGGTTGAGATAGCAAAACAGTTCGCTATCTATTTTTAATTTCGTTATTGATGACAGATCTAAATTCATAACTACCGTACATATTAAAGGTACCTACGTGATTTATATCGAGAATCTTTGCGCTAGGCAAATCATATATTGTTAAAGCATCAAATTTTAATGTCTTCTCATAGATTTAAACGAGTTAATCCAGCAAAAATGGAATAAAGCAATTATAAGTTGCAGTAGTTCATCAGACCTGAAAACTGCTTCACTCTAGTTTTATACCAACACCAGCGTATAGAATAGTATACTTAGTAATCGATTTAATCTATGAATCTGTATGTTATCAGAGAATAATCAATTTCAGATATTGATATAAGTATTTTACACAGTCTTCAAGAGATATTAAGGCCTGAGTGAAGTTACAAGTTGCATACTGAATTTTAAATAACTGTTTATATTTTCAGCTGACTCGAAATGCAGAAATATTTAATGGACAATTTCCTATCTTCGTAGACTAGTTCATTTTTTTAGTTAAAAATTTTTTAGAGTACGGCGCCATTATACAATGATTGAAGTAAAGTCAATGTTTAATCACTAATTCTAATTATTTCTTTCGAGAAATCTAATCAATTATTAGTTTGGTGATAATTATAGACTTTGACGATAATTACTTTGTGATCTATTATAGATACTTTCAGTCATCTTTAGTATGGAAAATAAGAATAATTATTAAGTTAATAGAACATCTGGCTATAATCGTTGACTGGCATTTCATTAATGGTGATGTAAAAGGTTTCAATTGTAACTGTTAAAGTATAATAATATCTTTAAGAATTGATGCATACTACTATGTACTGAGAATGTAGAAGCTATTGTAGGTAATAAGTTAACCATTCGCTAGCAGAAATTATATTTATTAAGCCTTCGTCTTCGAAACCAGAATCAGAGTGTAATAATTTCAGCTAATTGTAGTAGTACAGTAAGTGGCTAATAGGATGAGACGTCGCACTCGTACTGTTTCTAGTATAAGACTGGGATCCTCCAGTTAAGGCCTGTTACAACTTCCAAATTTTGTAACAAGTACTAGATCTGCACTCAGCAAGGAGACCCAGTAATTAAGTTGAAGAACTAACTTTATTTTTAAAATGAAGAGTTTATATACTTTCTTTATTGTGACCTTTGATCTACTGACGTAGATCACAAGATCATCACTAACAGAAAGGTTTCCCTAGTTTAGACATTACAAATAGACTATCATGCCAAGTATGGCAACATGAGAATACATATATAGATAACCTTAATATAGTACCATAACTACATCTATATACGCCTGACGTGATAACATCGTGATATTTAACCATATATAGAAAGAAGATAACATACTAATTATGTAACTATTACAGAACGTGACAAGGCCATATCTGATAACCAAAAATTTGGGGTTACCTAGATGAACCAATAGTAATAACAGGAGTCTATTACTCGGTCATTACACGGAGACTTGTACTATTAATATGTATAATTGCGCTACATATTTCAATTGTTATTAAATGAGAACACGTTGACAGCAACAATTTTTGAATCTGTATAGAACGAAATGAATTTTTTAATTGTTATTTAAATATATCTTCGCTATAGGTTATTTCATACAATCAAGACAGATGTAACATACGCATACAATATAAATAATTATTTTTAAATAATATCATATAATACCATTGCAGTTAATATTGTAATTACTGGTTACTCATCAAAGCCCATGCATCGAATAAAATGTTGATATTAAATGTACTTTAATGGTATCCGGGCCAACAACGAGATAAAAGCAATGGTTTATGGCTAAGAACTCAAGGAAGCCAAGTTTGATTATAATACAATTCAATATATTCATTTACGGTAATCAAAATAGTATATAAATAAATTACCGTAAATAGACTAACATTGGATAATTTGAATAATATGCTTCGATCGAGTATGTTTTTCTATAAATCTAAATTACCACTATAAAATGCATAATAATAATCTTATTTATATGATCATAAAATCCATTCCTGGAACAAATTACTAATTACGTAATATATGTGTGTTTTAATATAGGTATTAACCTTATACAAAAATATCTATCAATTCGTATCATAGTTTTTCCATCACATCTTTTCCTCAATTTATATCACTTGTGCATTTTCGTTTATAAATACTAATACGGTTTAAATACGATAATCAACTAGACCGTAATCATATCTATATCTTCATAGTAATCGTCTTCAAAATTCATTTCTTGAAGGCTACTTTCTAGGTTCTTAGATGAATTTATATCTTTACCATGACCCATGATATTGGATCCAGCTATTCTTACATCATCACTACGTTTTCTTTCACCTTGGAGTTCCATTCGATTAGACTTATAATCTTGCTGTGCATTACCATGGTTATCATGTTTTCCCCTAATTAGACCATAAATTAGGGTTGAATTTTAAGCCATTAAAAAATCGTTGTCATGTTAGATAAATACCATAACTATATCAGTGTTGTTATGTGAATATATCACTAGGATGTAATGGCATCAATGATGCAGACAGAAATAATCTATTTCATTGCAATGAGAAAATATATTAATTTTATTTCCTAACCAACCGATATAATTTCGAATCGAACGACTTCTTCGTTAGCTCGTTCGGTTGATGACGTCTAGTAGATTCTTCTTTCCTCCATTTTTCATCACTCAGTCCAAGTTGGAACTATAATAAAGTGTATTCTGAAGTTAGAACTAAGCAATACAGTATCAAAGTTATCTTAATTATGCCACTACAAGTAGGCGTAAGTGTGTATTGATTACTCAATCAACTACCAATATTACATATTTTTATAAAGGCCTTTTAACGTACATTTAAATCATTCACTCGCGATGGTATCCATTCATCGTGGTGTATTTGCTGTTTTACTATTGGCTAAATTTTGTTGCGAAGAATTAGCTAAAATCTACAAAGAGACTGATATGCATATTATATGAACCACATAGGTATTGTAGAACCACTATCGCATAATTAATTTCATTATTTTTGTACCTCATTCGACCTATTTACAGACGGTTTCAATACCTTCCTATCAGGATTTGCAGATAATCCGACAGATTGATTAACATTTCCATTGAGTTGCAATTGGAAGGTCTATATTATAAATATCAGTTAAGTTACTGCTAAATCATGACTAAATTCAATTAATATCTTGTAAGACTTTGTAAGAAACGTCTTTCCGATAGAATTTTGTATCATTTTTAATAAGTACCTCTATTTTTTCTAAGAGCGACTTATTTTCTTGCAGAAGAGACATCTTTTCAGTTTCCAAACGTTTTATTATGATAGAATCCGAATGACTATCTACTTTTAATTTGTTTAACTGATGAAATATTTAAAAATTCGAAAGTTAACTTAGAATATAAGATTACATTCAATCATCAACCTTAAAGCAAGGAAAACTATTAAATTAGACAATTACGAACTTCAGCCGTTGTTTCTTTTAACTTTGTTTCGATAGCTAACGCAGTCAATTGTGCATCTTCCAAATCTTTAACGTACTTATCAATTTGATCCTTTCTATTCATTTTATATTCCTTCAGCTGCAACACAATAGTGTATTTACAGATGACTTAATAATGTAATATTTAAATTAACACTAGAAATTATTTATATTAGAATTGCTATTACTAGCAGTAATTTTTGAAGACGTTACTATTTCGATATCATTTAAATGGTGATAAATCAACATTTTTACCTCTCTTTTACATTCATCACATTCTTGCTCAAGTTCAGCTATTTTTTTTTTAAGAGTCTCCGTGTCATTATTTGATGGTTCATTTCTATTTCTTTGAAAGGTGTGTCAGACAGAATGTATTGATGGTAAATTTTCTATGGACTAATTCAAGGTAGTAGTAATTAGCATTAAATACTTACGTATTTGAAGTAGCTAATTTGGCCTGTAAATTCTTAATAGTACGCATCGCGTTTTCAAGTTCGCTTTTTAATTGCTGATTTTCCTAGCCGTATGAAAAATTTTAGAAGTAGCCATTATTAGATTGCAGTATTTTAGCAGGCAAACTGCATTGCTGAGGTCTAATCTAATTAATGCTAAAATATTCACATATGAATCAATAATTCTTGTCGGTACTACCTGAACCTTTTGATCAATAGTATTTATTCCTTCAGTTGGTAATCCATCCGGAGAGGCTATTATTTGGGATAAAGCTTTATCTTGAGATGAAGTCATTTGCGTTAGGCATCGGTCATGTTCTGCCTTTAATCTAGAGTAGTCTCTTCTAGCAGCTTCAAGCTTATTTCGAAGAGCTTTAACTTGCTCTCGCGCTCTATCACGCTCTGCCTTTGCTTTACCCCATTTTTCTCGCCAATCCGTGCTAGCGTCATTCCACCATTTCATTGTCAATTCCATTTGCTGAGCTCTAGATGGTACAGTCTTTTGCCTATTATTTCTTGCGTTATCTCCGCTATTTTCGATTGTAGTTTTGCTTTGCTCATCTTGAAAAGTAGCGAGATGATTAGCCATTGACCCTAAGCTGCTATCCTCAGAATGGCGATCAACAACATAGTCTGGTGGTTGGAACTTGTTTTGAACCGGTGTAACAATATTGTCTCGCATCTCGCTTTGCTTATAATAATTGTCAGCTCGTTTTGCCTTAGTATTTGAGTTTACGTTCTCAGTCATTTTCTTATCCAGGTTTCACGACTGTCAATTTCTTCTCCACCAAAATTAATTTTACATTATTGAACGGACAGTTTAATAAGGTTGATACTGTGATTCAGCGACATGGACAATACCAGACAAGAATAAATGGTACAGAATCCATTAACATTGAACTAGTGCCCCAAATTTGCGTCTTAGACCAGATATCTGATTTATTTGAATACAGAACAGTTAAAAACGAATAGGTTAGTTGACTCGCCAGCGAATAACCAAGGCATTGCTTCAAGTTTCTATTATACGCGTACACGTTGGCATTAGACCGGCATGACGCCAGTTCGATTTTTGCTTGTACTGTATGTACTTGTGGACTAGCTTATTACAGCTTACAATATCGTTATTGTCTAGTTTACATGTATAGTTTAAATAACATTTATATTTAATCATTTCAAGCGGACAGTAACTTGGTTGATTTATTTGCACTGTATTATTAGCTTTTGATGATAGTGAAAAAGCAATCATGATATCAGTCAACAATCATTCTATCGCAGTACTTTGTGTCCTTTCTTAATCATCAACCGAATGAAATTGATCCAAAGAGAACTCATGTGTAATCATGAAATGAAGCTACTAGTCATAATGCCGCTCTTGATACTTCAAAAAATGTGACTAAAACGGCATGAACGCAAGTCAGTACATAAAGAGTATTCGATCCTCTACCTGATTCAATTCAATTTATTGCATGAGAAGTCTGTTATTAAAATACTTTAAGCAACAATAATAAATCAATTCAACCTCCAATACCAGTACTGTCACCATTTAAATGAGAAACTTAATAACACTTCAGGGATTTACTTTAAGCAACAATAATAAATACAATTCAACCTCTAATACAAATACTGTTACCATTTCAATGAGAAACTTAATAACACTTCAGGGATGTACGGTATCGCTACTCTCTGCTATCATCAAGAAATTCATACTTTCCTACCTGTAAATTGTCGAAATAGTCATGCTTGGTGAGGAAGAGTTTCTCCGAAAAGCTATCAATCGTGTCTAGACTTACAGTACAGTATTGTAGGTTTTCCATTCTAGTGTACTGTACTGTAAACTACAGTACACTGCACTGTACAGACGACCACATTGTACTGTACAATAAAGTCTCAAGGCCTGGACTTGCAGATTTACGAGGTACAAGATCTAGATGACCAATATTGTCCATGTCTCTACTGCAGTAGTTCTTATTATCGTGGGGCTAGAGCCGCAGAAATAGAGAGCAGTAAATCTCTCATCAAATAAGAGTAGGCACAGTTTTTTCAAGACCATTCTGAGTTTTACTGAGTACATACAAACTATACTGTACTGCACTATACCTATAGAAGGCTGATATGCGTTATTTAAGGTATTTTACCGATACTGATGCTGATTACAAGGTATCAGCTATGCTGATACTGCACTGAAGATAGGTTTAATATCAGTAGATTCAAATTTTTTGGATAGTGTCTTACCGATACTGATATTACTGATATCAGTATCAGTATCATGAATACAGCAGGTTCATTCCATTTAGTGCAGTCTACATTGGACTTGAAAAAAGTAGTCCAAATGTGGTATACAGTTACTATAAAACGTAGATACTGTTCTGCGAACATTTTCAACTCCCAACCAGGCGTAAAGCCGGGTTTCCAGTTAGAGCAAGTTAACTATCTACTCACTATACATGCATGCAATCGCCGACATAATCCAGCACCTTTCTATTCAGTTCATATTCAATGCTTAAAGGTGAGAATCTTCTTACAACTTCCTAACTAATCTTTAGACAACATTTTGCTAGACAATATCCTTTTATTTGGAAATTTAGACAGGGAAAAAATATAAAATACTTCATTTTAACGGCCTTCATTCTTTCCTGACCTGGAGTGACCAATTTTGGTAATACGTATGATAAGCTGTATATCCATTTATAGACTATTCTTATTTATTTATAGAGGTGGTTTGTGGACAGTCGCAGCCAGGATAGTAATCGAGTAGTAAGCTAGTCCGAGTTATTGCGCTGTACAGTACAAACACTATAGACGTTAAATTATTATACAATAACGGTAAAATATCTATACTTAAATCGTGAAATATTTAATAGACGCATATCGTATATTATATATATATATATATACATGCATATGTATATTCATTTATAACATGTACTCAGTACTGTATTTCATACCGTACTCTAAATACTGCGTTTTTAGTATTACAGCTATAACATCATACATATCATAAAATTCGAAAGTCAATCATGCTGATTACATTCTTATAGATACAGTTATACACTATTATAATCATCTGAAAGTTATTTGTAAGAGTTCACAAAAGAATCTGTTTGGTTAAAAAAACTTACAGTACAACATCTAGACTATAGGAGTACAGCAATTAATCCATTATATCGTCCAATTGCATTCACTACAGCTAGCTTTAGCAAGATCGAAAGAAAGTTAACACTGGACGGCTCACAAAACCACTATAACATTACATCGTACAGCTAGTTAGTATAACTCAAGCCCCAGTTGAAACATGCAGCGAAATATCGCAACAGATCTAATGTACATTGTCAGTATGTAACACTATTTAAGGCAATAATTCGACAAATTCGTAAACTTTGGTTATGAATACCGAAGATAAACTTGAACTGTACGAACATATATAATCATTTCTTAATAGTTAAAGCAAAACACTCTTAAAAAGAAGTTCAGAATATCAAACAGAGACCTATGGATACAATACATTTGATACAGATTCGTAAGATCATTTATGCTATCTTCATGATAACACATAAATACTTCTTGAGCTCTGCATGACGTCAATTCCTAGAAAAGAATAGATCGTTGAAGTTAAGTAGCGGTCATCTTCCATCTAATCAAAACGAAACTATGCTAGAGCATGTCATAAGAAATGTACCGTGATTCGAAGTGATGTAAGACTACAGTAAGTAGTATATTAATCTTAACAGTTTTCACATGCTAAATGGAACTATCATAAATGCATAGTATTGACTGATGCTGTTGATAACGTTATGCAATTTCCTACCTCATATTACGCAAGGGCATTACTACTAATGCGTTAATTCATATTCAGGTTTTCCTGATAATCCTCATATTTAAAGTCCGGATGTTCAGGACAAACACGATTTACTTCAAACCATTTATCAATACACCTAAAAGTATACGATAATATATTAAAGATAGTCGAGTAATGCTGATACTAATTTTCAGTATTTTGATATACTACTATCCAATATGCGTTCTATATCTTATGCCATTCAATTTAAATGTGCTTACGCTTTATGATACACGCAAAGGCAAGGCAGTCTAGCAATTACTTCACCTAGCAAGGTATTGCATTATATAAAATTATTTTGTCAAAATAATGGCAAAGCAACATAATATAAGTTAGTCCTGAGAAAGAAACTCAGAGCTTTATTACGATAAGGAACATATGAAACATCTATTTTATTTTATTTTGTACCCGCTACTAATTCTTCGAAACATATTACACATTCACCGCTATCTGATTGAAGTCTATCCTCTGCAATGAAAATCGTAAATTCATACGGTTAGCTGTAATTCCAAGTAATCGACATCAATTACACAATTTGAAGCTAAAATTATAGAAATGCAATATATCAACTGGATGATCTTTCTAAACAGCATGAAAACTGTAGAATAAATTTATCAGAATAAACTTCAATCAGTTAGTTCTGGCGTGACCAAGTTTCAGTTTTAGTATAATACTGTAGTGTGTCTCTTTAAACAACTAATCAAACTCTTATCTTACCATTATACGTAAGTCGAGGTTTTGAAAGACAATTCGCCAAATGCTCCTGCATGTCGTCTCGATTTAACTTTTTTGAACAGATCGGACATTTAACTACAAATAACATGGCAAGCATCTCATCAGTAAGTCATTGCAAGTTTCGAACTACATTCCATACTGTTGCTGGTGTATAATATCGCCGTACTATGTATAATTGTTCAGTACAATACAATATAAGACGTCATCGAGCACCAACAGAGATTTATAATAGGATTAAATGATGGCAAATTTACAGCATTTTTCTCAAAATTCTAAACTGCACATCATCCTAAAAACATCAACCTGTATTCATGGTAGGCACACTTCCAGATTGTGTATTTCTATATACAGAAATAATATCACTGAAACAAAGGCATCTGAAATTGATGGCTAGTCATATATCTGCCGATGGCCACATGCTTGGCAGGTATTCAGCTATGTACTGTATATTCGTAAATGATTTCGTTCTCTTCGACAGTCAGTGCAGTGCCCAAAGTGGAAAAAAAATGCAGTACTTTATTCTACGCCGTAAACTGTGATCTTTGACACTCACTAACGCTCTGGATCAGCCAGCCAGGCTTGCTTGCCTGTCATTATCATACCGTATATTGTTTACTGATTCATTGATGCAAGTTCAATATGGACTACTCGAAATTTACTGATTATTTCCAGTAGTGCATGGTACAGCATAGTCAATATCGCTGCATTGTACAGACATTTACGGTTAACTGCTACTGTACAGTACATATGCTTTTATCAAACTACTGTACATGCAGTAAGGTACTTTATTACTATTTTTTTTACTTTATTCTACACTGTAAGTTGTGATCTTTGACACTCACTAACGCTCTGGATCAGCCAGCTAGGCTTGCTTGCCTGTCATTATTATTGTACAGTATATTGTTTTATTGATTCATTGATGCAAGTACAGTATGGACTACTCGAAATTTATTGGTTATTTCGAGTAGTGAGTGCATGGTACAGCCTAGTCAACTCAGGTCAATATCGCTGCATTGTACTGTACAAGATATTTACGCCTAACTGCTACTGTACACTGTACAGTATAGTAGATATGCTTTTATCAAACTGCTGTACATGCAGTGAGGTACTTTATTATTATTATTTTATTTTATTCTACACTGTAAACTGTGATCTTTGACACTCACTAATGCTCTGGATTAGCCAGCCAGGCTTATTTGCCTGTCATTATCGTACTGTATATTGTTTTACTGATTCATCGATGCAAGTACAGTATGGACTACTCGAAATTTACTGGTTATTTCGAGTAGTGAGTGCATGGTACAGCCTAGTCAACACAGGTCAATATCGCTGCATTGTACAGACATTTACGGCTAACTGCTACTGTACACTGTACAGTATAGTAGATATGCTTTTATCAAACTGCTGTACATGCAGTGAGGTACTTTATTATTATTATTTTATTTTATTCTACACTGTAAACTGTGGTCTTTGACACTCACTAACGCTCTGGATTAGCCAGCCAGGCTTGTTTGCCTGTCATTATCGTACAGTATATTGTTTTACTGACTCATTGATGCAAGTACAGTATGGACTACTCGAAATTTACTGGTCATTTCGAGTAGTCCGTGGCACAGTCTAGTTAATACAAGTCAATATCGCTGCATTGTACACATTTATGGCTAACTGCTACAGTACTGTATAGTAGATATGCTTTTATCAAACTACTGCACATGCAATAAGGTACTTTATTATTATTATTATTATTACTTTGGGGGATGATGGGATTAACATCAATCAACATGGACTTGATGTGGCATAAGCTTTGGGAAGGCTACAAATGTACTGTACACTGTATGGAGTTTGTCTTCCAGTACAGTAGACACTAGCGGTTTTTCTTTTTTTACCTTTTCGTCTACAGTACATTATATGATGACTCACCGTAACCTTTCAACAATGATTTTCTTTGTTTACAAACTACCATGCTGCAAGGTGCAAGCACTGAACACTAATGTACTGTACTGTACTTGCAGAAGTGTCCTGTGCTCCACCAGTCTCCATACAATATAATCGAGCAGAAACATAACAACATCATATTGTACTGTAATGTAGCTAGCCTACAGTATGTATATTACAGTACAACATTATACTGTACGAATATTTACAGGACAGCCACAGCATAGCTTAGAAACAAAGTGCAAAGTCAACCCCCACTGGCAGATTGAATACTATAATACTGTACAAGTACCCCTATCGACGCGCTATCGATTGCAGAAGATATTCAAAAGCGCAATATTACTACAGAGGTACTATTAAATACTACGACGATGGACATGGATAGAAAGCGTTTAAGAGCTCAATAGACTTTGATTCCATATTTTTATGTGCCATCAATCCTTGAGACAATATGTCACTGAATTGTAGATCAATTGAAATGTACAGTATGCGCTTTAAGAGTCTTGTGTATAAATTCATTGTTAAAATGGCAAAAGCAACGACGACAATCTTGTGACTACAGTATAGCACGGTTACCCCGTACCGTACCGATAGCAGTGTCAAAGTATGCAGTAGTAGGCATCAGTTAAGAAAGGAATTCATTATAGAATACGGCAAATCAAAATACTGATTGTGACATGATACAGTATAGCAATACTATAGGACCGGCGACATACCTGATAAATGGACTAATGAATAGAATCGCGATGGCAAGGAGTACGCGCCTGTAACATTCAATGAAAACGCAAACTAAACACAAAATCAAACATCATAAAATGAAGAAAATATGTCGCAGAATAGAGTAACTAAAAAAATCAATAGTATCTAAAGACAGCAAGGTATAAACTCCATCCAACGACAAAACATTAGCCATCAGGAGGTTGTCAAGTAGACTTTTTCCAATCCGAGTGCATTGGTGTAGTGCACTGTACCATGACTGTACAGTACATTATACATTTTGACGATGCAATAAAAACGTAAATGGATAACATGTACACTACTTGTTCACTACAATATAAATATGCATTATTTGATGTATCATGCGTCCAAATCAACGATAGTAGGTACTGTACATATGTCGTCGGAACTTCTTGTGATAGACGAAGTGATGTTGAATATAGGATATTTATGTCCAATATGGAACCGTTAGTGAAGATATTTTCGATCAACATCGATTAATGATTTGACATTGGAAAATAACGTCAAGAAAAAGTGAATCTACAACGACGATGATGAATTCGACTGGTGTACAGTACAACAACATACTGTCCTGCGTGAAATATAGCGAAAGAAGTAAGTGTTGGGAAAGTCAACACCGTAATGAACCAACTACAGCACAGATGTACCGTATGAATTACTACTAAAGATACACTATTCCCTTCGACATATCAAAAGAGAAAAATGATGGTGATATCCATTTTCTGTATGATTAAAATCAATCAATACAGTATTAGAGTACTGTACTATTAAGACGTTCACAACCTGCTATGGCTACTGACAATATACGGTACAGTAGAGAAAGAAAATGTTAACTAAAAATACAGTGTATTTATAGCATTTCCTTAATGTACAATGATCAAAGATAGCCGTTTACCATTAAAAAATTCATTGGGTGATGAATCGGAAGGCAAGGAAGAAGTGCCCTCGTTGTAAGCGTTTGCTCCATTTGACACATCTACAGCGCGGGTACGCAGACGAGAGTCGCGTCGACTTCCATTCATGCGATTCATACCAGCCGCCGTGGCAAGATTGCCTTGATTCGCATCGACGGTGAATCCAGGCCTCGAGTTTGTATTATTGTTGGATAACTTGGCTCCCATGTTTATATTAATTAACGAATTGTACACACTGAAGAATAACCAACAACACAGCTCTTCTTCTTATCCAGAATATAAAAATGAGAACTACCGATAAAAGTAAATGTTCTAAAAACTGACTTTAATGTGTTGCCTAGATACTAGAGAGAGAGAACTATTTCATTCGAAAAGTGAAGGAAAAGTGATCATTGCTCTCGGTCATCATGGTGCTCTCACTCGTCACCAAAACACGGACTAACAAAATGTTCCAGACAGTGAAGGGTGCTCATTTATTTACCCACGGTAGAGTAAAGAGTACACTGTACAGTATGTGTTACATGGGCCGATTGCACGGACTGAACACCTCCAGACTGTTCAGTAGAAACGACTGTCTCCAAGTGCTGAACTGCTGATGTAGAGTACAGTACTGTGCACTGTACGCTACAGTAGATTTGTGAGTTCATTCCCTAGTGGTTACAGTACAGTGTACTGTACTCAAAGTTTTTACATACTGTACAGTACTGTACTGTACAGTGTACAGTAGGCCCAGCCATAATAACCCCGATTACTCAGATACTCAGCGTAAATAGCTTAAACGATGATGCATTATTACTGTACTGTACAGATTCTTTGGAGTACTGTACAGTGTACAGTACAAGGTCATCACAAGTTTGTTAGAACCTGGGACTACTGGGAGAGAGTGACAATGAGAGACTCACTCTCTCAGCCACTCACTCTCTCAGCAACTCACTCTCTCAGCACTCGCACTTACAACCATACCTACCTGACCTGTAGAACTGTCAACGAATGATCATAAACTGTTGTGGAGATCAATGAAAGAAAATTGGCATGGCTGAAATAAGTTTAGTGCCTAGGAAGTTTCTGTCCCTTCTTGATAGTTTTATATTTGATAAGCCTGCCTGTCCAGAAAAGTAAGTACTCTACTCTACTCTACTCGTGCAGGTGATCTCGATCCAATTCTCATCGCTTTCTTGATGCATTTGTTGATCAGCTAGACTAGTTTTAAATTTGCTCTTTTTTTCCCCATTGAAAACATAGTGAATGTAAACAGGACAAAGTGGCGGAAGATTATTTTGAACGAGTAGAGACTTATTCGGTACGGTGTAATACAACAGGCCTATCTGTATTTTTTTCTGTAGCAGATCTCCTATCGTGATAAATCACATATTATATTATTACTGGACTGAATGTGTACATTTTAATTCATTATAATGTTTACCACTGATCGTGTAAGTCATTAACCAAGTTAGCCTAATAATTTCAATAACAAATAGCAAATGAGTTGACTTGATCCGATCAGCACCATGTTAAGTGTGTTGTACTACACGAATTAATTTGTAATTACTCATCTACTTTTTAAAATATGTGGGACTGTTCTGCATGTACTGCATTTTGCTGCAACTCGATCGCTTATCACATCTTTCCGATATACTTGTATAAATAGGCTTATACATGGCTAGCCAAACCACCTGCTTTGTCTCCGCTGCAATGCGCCAGATATGGCTGGAAAAATGTGGATATAGATCGCCTGAAATGTGTTACTTGTTCTGCAACGCTGACTGTATCGCTACCACTTCCATCGACACGCTCGCAGCCATGTAATCAATGTTTCTTTTGCTCTTACATAGTTAGCTCATGATTTCCACAATTTATTAGAGGTAGATATTACATTGGATTCTTCTTATTCAGACGAAGAAGCGGTAAGAACTTTCACTGATGCATTGATATCACGTCATAACCCGTTGTGTCCGTGGAAGGATGCTCCTGTTCGTGGTAAACCATGCTGTTGATTACATTGATGGCCATTTCTCATATTTGCAAGTCGCACCACACCTACACAGACATACTAACTATTTGATTAAAATATAATTACAGAAGAATTGATACGTTTACCAAATACCTACGCTAAATGTGTACCAATTTTGCGACAGCGATTGAAATCGTACTCAAGTGCTCCTCATTTACTACCAAGGCTGGAACTGAATAGCACGCTTAATGTAAAAACAAAGAATACTGCTTAAGTCAGCGTGATATTACACGTATGATATCATAAGCACGCAGTTGTTTTGAGTTTAATCTCAACATCATTTTCTTCATGTATTGTAGACGTTACTCTCATGTAAAGAGGCTGTAGAGACATTAAAAGATATTTTAGATTGCCAAGTAATCTTAACCGATGTTGATGAAGAAGCTCAGATGATAGCTTGTATCTTAGCATTTTGTGGCTGGGTGCTGAAGTAAGTATTTAACTTTAAAATTGACCTATGATATTTACTGTACAGTATAGTGATAAACTCTTTAAAATCACGTAACCACCGTTGACACTCATTGGCTTACTTATCTTAATAAAATAGGCCCAGCGATAAACTCAAATCTTCACTGCTGATATGCTCGATTTGCCGAAGAAGAGCTGGTATTTGGAATTATACCATGGCAATCAGGTAGTTTAAAGTGCTGATACCGTATTCGGCATTAAAGATTGAATTGAAAGTTTATTTTCATCGCCTCATGTAGTGACAGCTCCACTGATAGCTTGGAACTATCTAGCGAGAGTATTGAAGAGCAATCCTCGTCTTCGCCTAGCAAGCGAAGGAAAATAGAAAAAGTATTCTAAATAGCTAAACACTGTAATATCTATTACTGCTCCTTTTATTACGACTAATATTGTTATCTTTATCTTCAGAAAAAATTTAATCCTATAGAGGAACATCGTTACTGGTGTCCCTATTTCATAGTCGACGATAATAATGCGGAAAGTAGAGAAGACGTGGAAAGGAGTTTAGGAAATGTCCACCAGGACAACAATAATGATACAGCCGGATTAAAGAGTATGCTTAGTTATCTATTTCCGAAACGCCACAGCCGCACTACTGATCCAAATTTAAATTCTGTAAGACTAGGATGCTTTGATTACTGTTAACTTGAGAAACTTATTGCGACAAACAAAGACGTAATATCCCTTTGCCTCTCCAAAATTTTCAGGTTCAGCCCGAGCAGGTTCTACAAACGGTACAAAGAACCCTTAGAAATTGTCGATCGTCTAAACTGCAATAAGTTTTTACGTGCACTTCGCTGCAAATTCTTAATGGACCAAGTCTCCAGCTTATGTCACTCTTTTGTTCTTCTAATTATATATTTGTCAAATAATGATAACTAAGTATAGCACTCCTTTTTATATTGTAAATTGAAAAGACCAATATAAATAATTTAATCATTTCTACTGATCTTGCTGCAATTTCTAATGCTTAAGCATCTTAATGTAACATTTTGTTAATGATTAGATTATTCTATAATATCTTTTTATTAGTTTAGACTCATCAGAGAGTACTTAAGTATTTTCTTTTGACTCTAAGCTTCAAAATCTTAGCTAGAAGGAAATTCTCAATTCCCAGACGTGCTGTACCAGCTCAACATAAATTCACTTTACTTTATAAACATCAGTCATACCTTATAATATTCATAGTTTAACGCAACTTTCGATTGTGTGTTAAAGAAATTGACAATTTTACATTGACAATGTTATCATGTGTTTTCAGGAAGGCTATGTTCTTTCAACGTGCATTATTAGAATTAAATGCTCCTAATTTCCTTGTCGATCCAAAGTATAATATACGAGTACTGTGTAATGTACAGGGTATACAGTATATAATACGCGTATATACTGCACTATTTTCCAGATGGGCCTAACATTGTATTTATATCTTCATGAATGAATAAATAATTGTAAAAACTATACCAATTAAAATACCTGATAATTAATTAAAAGATTTTGTTATTTTTATATTAAATAAATAACTAAAGTCAAATTAAGAGTTGGATATTTGAATATTCTTGTACCGTTCCTGGAAGACGTACCTTGCTACTAAGCTGTTCACAAGAAAACATAAATAATAGTTCTGAAGCTTGGATTTTCACTAACCTTATAAATACTGCAAACCGTTGAACTCTGGTAGACTACAGTATGTACGAGTAATAATAATTATTATCCTTCAAAGCATGACAACGAATAGGACTCGAGAATGTGTAAGCCATAAACTTGATCACTAGAATTTATTAATAATTTTTAAAATCATAAGCGTATATTATGGTCCGGTACGATTTTCGGAAATTTTGCATCCGTAGAAGTCCACAAAGCTTGATAAAAACTTTGATTTGAATTATAGATTACTATTAAGATAAGCCTACTACATTTACAATAGTGAGTGTATCGTCCATTTAGCAAATAAGATTTCGCTTCTTATGTTTACTTAAAAAACTAATTCATTACACCTTACAGTCGATCCAATTTTTACAGAAATCATTAATATCACATAACGACGATATCACTAAAGTTGCACCCTCTGCAGTACATTACAGTTGCTTATGGCTCAACGTTTACTTTAACTTATTAAAGACTAGGATTTCGATACGCATTTCAGTGTTCCGCCAAATCCCTAAGAATTTCAACGATCCCACATCAAGATCTCTGTAGTAGATCCTATATTATTATGAGTTTGGAAGAAGAAGTCTAGACACGTAAATACTGGTAGATAGTTATACTGCACTCCTCATTATATATATACTCCACAACGTACCAAGACAACTCAATAAAATATGTGTTTTTTTAGTAGTCGTTACTAGATGCAGCAATCACTGGTTAGTATTAACTACATTATTATTTTATTAGTTGTATTATTGTAGATATTAACCTCAACTAATAGACAGCAGAAGTTTTTATTCTACTTTCTAGTAGTTTCTATCAGTTAAAACTCTTTCGGTAAACCTTAATCCGATCTTGTTTATTCAGAATAAAGAAAAAAGTGACGTAATGCGCAGCCGTAATGAGCCGCGTTACCATTGTGACGAAGACAGGACTACGTATTCGTCGACTTCTCCAGCACATTATATTAACGCCAGCTTGCGTAAGCACATCACGTAATATCAGTAATAAGTATTAAGAGATTGATTACTCTAAAATCACTTAGAACTGTGAACGAATCCTGCCAAAATATTCTTCAATCGGTTCTACTCTTTCCCATCGCTTGAATTTATCCGCTTTGGGATAATCTGCTGATATTATTTGGTATGAGAAAAGTTTTTGACGCATTTCTCGAGTTGAAATATTAATCAAGTTGCGATATAGAAGATCAAAATTATATTCTCTTTTATTTCTCTTTTATATCGTCTTACCAAGTACTGCTAAATGGATAACGTTATAGACTGCTTTTAAATGTAATTTTTATCGTTACCTATTTACAGTAATTTGCGCCTTCTTGCAAGAAAACGAACACTAAAAGCAATCTAATATGAACAAAGTCAAGTTCAGAATACTGGTTCTACTTGTATCAGTCCTAAATATCCTCCATCTAACATCCGGAGAGAGTTGTTCAAAGGTAAATCTTTCGATAGAAATAAGTTTACAAGAATATGAAAAGCTAAAGGATATATTCAAAATACAGAATAAATTGAGTATCGTTGTTGCGCGCTGTTATATCCTATTATACATTTTAAAGAGTTTGAGACCAAAGTAACTAAAGCTGTCTTCATTGTTAATGTATTATGAACAATAATAGTTTAAACTGTTAGTAAAATATGAAAAATTACACATTGAATACCATGTTGAGTAGCTAGAAATTATTTCATACAGAATTTAAGAAAGCTCAATAGCAACCAAACGTAGTTGATTACCTTTGTTATCAAAACCAGTTTCGAAATCAAATTGATGCTGATGCTTAGATGAAATTTAATTTGAAAAAGAATAAGGTATAGGAGCGTATATCGAATTTACTATATAATAGTAATAGTAACTGTTACCATACTAACGCCGTCTAGGTCATTATTTTTCATGTCTTGTTATAATAGACACTCACATTAATGTTTAGTTTTCTTAGTTTGGATTTTATGAAAATCTTATTGAATAGGCTAGTAGAATAGAGTTTTCTTACGCCTTGCAAATTAACCATCATTTACGCTCATTTATGAGAGTTGGAGGCCATTGATTTCGAAATTTGCAATTTTTTAGTTAATCATAGTTTTAAGTACAATAATACATTACTTGCTGATATCTTTCCTCTTAAATTTTAAAGTTTATCATAAAAATATGCTATCTTACTTCCGTATATCAAGGTGAATTTCAAATTTAGACTTTTTTTTAGCATAATTACAGTAAAGTAACGTCAATCTTCTAAGTATATGGCTAGACGCATGAAAGTCTTCCTTTTTTCGTCAAAAATTAAATTGATTTGCAAAGTGATAGCTGTTATAGTGCTACAGATCATAACACGTGCACTTAGCGAGTAGCTTTATTCTCATTATGTTTACAAAAATATTTATGAAAATAAATGATCACTTTGTCAGTAAAAGCCAGAAATCCAGCATAAAAAGCATGAAAGTTGATCATTTGATTGCGATGAAGCTAAAAGTTTCGATATTTTAGATTTTTATCGATAGATTTCGCAGCAAGTGCAACATGTAAAGAATTAGCCTGAATTAATAGTACTGCTACTATATTCACAAATCACGTCACGTATTATTGCTCATTCTATAAAAGCACTGCATTTATACTTATCATTAATAACGTACTTTTTGTAGTTGATTAATCTTAATGTTATAACAAATCGTGCCGCATGTATGCGATACGAGTAGCATTTTTAACCTACTGATACTTCGTACAAACTTATACGATCGGTAAACTAGAAATGATATCATCTTCACAATGTTAAACTCTACTTGCTAGTCAAATAATTATATTACGGTAGAAGATCTTTATTCCATAGCAAATTCAAAATAATACGATTACTTAATTAGAAATGATGTCATCCCCTAATATTATCAATAAGTTCTAGTCCAATAATATATTATGCTGTAAAACCTTTATTCCGCAATAATTCTCTATTAAGTACAGTACACTTTGAATTTTTCGTTAATTTACAAAGTGATACGTCTGCTTTATTCTGTCGTCGTTTATTTAATATTTTATCTCTAAACCAAAATGTGATCGATATGCAAAATCTTTGGTTACTATGTCGGCCAAGTTTAATCGTATTCTATGCCTTAAATTCATAAATTTAAAAACATGATTAACATTTTTTCCTTGCCGTCCACTATAGGATGACTTTGATTATCAGTATACGTCATGTGATGGCGCAGGTAATCGCTGGCGCGTTGCTATCCCGAAGGAAGGGAAAAACTGCAGTTCCGGAGCAGTGCCTCTTCCAGTTCTTGGCCGAAAATGCGGTAATGTTTCAATTTAAGTTTATCTTACAATTGAAGAATGATTTGAATAAAAGAAAGTATTGATTGATAGTTATAAAAGATATCCTCATATTTTATAGTTTTGTTATTGTATTTTCACTTTATTTTGCAATCGATCACATGAAACATTAATCATAATACCTGTAGTAAGTAGAGTAATTGCTTTTAAATAATATGTTAGATTTCCATTGTAATCCCGGTCAATATATGGACATAAATGGCGATCAAAGCTGTCATGGCTGTCCAGGTGGTACATACAGTAACGGCAATACTATGACCTTTCAAAAATGGGATCAACTCTTACCAGGATGGGAATCTAGTGGATACGCCAACCATTATGATACTGGAGACAGCAAAAGCATCAGAAACTGCACTAAGTAATATTAATTGCTTGATTTAAACTCCATTTATCCGTAAAAGTACAAAGCTGCTAGCAATTTAGGTTAGAAATGAAAAAATTGATCTGTCTTGTTTTGCTTCTCGATTACAGGGCTAATTGGGTAACCGGTGGAGGCTATATCATATCTGCTGCTTCTCGCTCTTGCTATTCTATGCTAACTTATTCAGTTGATGTAAGGATTTACGCTATGATAATTTACATCTTTTTTTACTTAGTAAATATCTTATCGATCGTTTAAGAGTATAATTTGACTCCTAATGAATATTAAATCAAATATTTCGCTCTTTCCCTTCTTGTTTTATATAAAAATGGTGTAATAATAAATTATTAATTTCAACATCAATAGTTAATAGAAGCTGGCAGCGTCGAATTTGAATACAAGATAGAAGATGATAGAGTTACGCTTGTTGTCGAGGTAAGTCTAATTATGCCATGATATCTAATAAAACAACTGTGATAAACAGTTTTTACCTGTCGTTTTCTAGACTAAAAGTAGTGAAAAATGCTTAAAATCTAAAAATACTGAACGAGCGTACATTACAAAGACTGGTAATGTTTGGAAGAAGAAAACGGTTAGACATCAATATGAATACCTGAAATTATGTAAAATATCTGATGTTCACTGCCACTCTACGGCATTATTCACTATAGGAATGTAGCCAGAAATTATTTTGAGATTGCTTCGATTCTCATCAGAAAATAATTTTTATCTATTTTTGATAGCTTCCTCTTCCAGCAGGAAGATCTGTTATAATTTGGGATACAGGTATTGTATACTATGTTACTGAAAAGACTAAAGTTCCTCCGGTTTACATAAGATACGTCAAGATTACAGGTAATCCACTGAAATCGTGATCGCTGTGGCAGCTGCTAGTATCGATGTTAATTTCGTCCATTGCATAAATAGGGGTGCCATATACGTATGAGTGTATGTCTTGTCCGGCTGGTACCTACAGCGGGGAGGGTGCTTCTTATTGCTTACTCTGCCCAGACAACACTTACTCTGAAGGAAATACAACTAAGTGTAGCAGTTGTGACAGCAAAAGCGAATATGCTGAAAGAGGAGCCACAAAATGTGCGAAGAGGCCAGCCTGTAAAGAAGAGGATTATTTTGAAACTTTTACAGTATGCGATGGCAATAAACAGGTTCGATACAGATGAATGATATACAGTATATAAAATATCTACATTTGAAGATAGTCCAAATAAGAGGAACTGATTCTCCACATTTTGTATTTTTTATAGACTCAAAAAATGTACAAGTGGAACGAACCTAAGCTATGCCGTGAAGATTTGAAAGGCGCTGTTACATTGCCAGCTTCAGGGGAAAAAATAAAGTGTCAACTATGTAATCCAGGAACATTCCTGAAAGGCAACCATTGTGAAATTTGTCCTGCAAATCAATATGGAGATGGTGAAAGTGGTAATCAAAGAGACTATTAAAATCTGATTCATACGTAATATTTTCATTAAAGGATAAATTTCGGTCTCATACTAAGTAAAATTTTTGATGAAATAAGGTTGTTCCCCTTGTCCACCATCCACATCAGCTATTCGTGGCCATTACTATCAATGGTGGTCGGCTTTACCATCCAATGTGACACTTTCATGTGTATCACCTTACAGTAAGCTATCCATTTCAAGCATAAGTGTCAATAATTTATCTGCTATCTAAAAACTGTACTAAGTTCTTGATTAGTCTATAATAGCGTTGATAACTAATAAACTGGAATAACATTGCAAAATAGATCTGAACTTAATTAAGAAATACCAGTTGCAAAACATAAACTTAGCTTAAATGATACTTATGATATGATGTTAACAGCTCAAGGTTGTGCCACCATGGATGGCTGGCGTTTACGTAATACCTACATTGATAGTGGTGTTGGGCATGATGGTGATACCTATCTAGAACTGGTTCTAAAAGTTAAAGGATTTGCCGAGCCGGAAGTCAACAGCGGCTTAAAACAAGGAGAATTTGGTAAACTTACCTTTGTCTTTGAAACAAGATGCCAAGGATCATGCAAATTATCGTTGTACATGGTAAATAGCATAACTGAAATATTACTACACAACTCGAGCAATTTTTAGGCATTAATGATACAGAAAATCAGGACTTACGATATATTAATCTAATTGCATTCTTATAGGCTGGTAAACATCACTTTAATGGAGAACTTTCTAGTTGGCATGGAGCTCAGAGTAAACAAACTTACAGGTATTTTAATAGGACATGAACAATATTTAATTTGGAAGTTTACATTTATACTAATGATATCTAGCTAATCGTTGTTTATCAAAATTTTATTTAAGCAAATTATTCGATAATTTAGATGAAGTTCACTAATTAACAAATCATGCTACTGCAAAGAGTTTTTAAGAGCTTCGTACTGCTTAATTTCTTCGACCTATTCAAGACTCGAATCGATTCATCTTGAATATTACAGCCATAAAATAGACAAGAAAAGTCGATAAAACTAACTACTCATTAATATTTCAATCACTATTTTAGTTATATTGTCACAGATCCTCACGTAAACCGATTTATTTGGGAGTTTTCTAGAGATAACAACGCCGATAATAGCAATAAAGATGATAGGTATCTTTTTGAATGAGATGTAGGAGCTTACAACCTGTTTTTGGTTGGAGTCATTGCTTTTGATACGGATAGAATATTAAATAAATAACAGATGTGAGTACTTTACTCTACCCTTATACCATATTATTGTATTTGCTTTTTTAGGGTTATAATATACAGCATCAATGTCACCAATACTATAGATGGCGGAGCTTACCGTTGCAATGCATGTCCAGTTGGAACTAAGGACTCTAGGTAAATTAGAATACCTAACACATCATGTATAAAAATCTTATACAAAAGCTAATTTACAAAATCAATCGCAAAATAGATGTATACCTTGTCCGAAAGGCCAGTATATCAATAATGCAACTAAGAACTGTGTTAAATGTCCAAAAAGTAAGCTTGTTGGCGGTTAATTTTTCTTTTTGTCAAACATGGATAATATTTTAATAACATTTTCTGTGTATTCTGTTATTATTAGATACATATTTAAAAAATAATCAGCTATCTGGAGCTGCTGCTTGCGAAAAATGTGGACCTGGAACTTTTAGGTTAGCCTTTAAGTTAATTAAATATCATAAAAGAAGAGGATAAGCTCATGAGTTATAATATTTTTGGGGTATTGTAGTGAGGAAGGTTCAGTCCGCTGTTCATATTCTTGTCAATATAAGTCTGATAATGGTGATCAATATGATTTTACGAAATTATCTTCGTAAGTTGCAAGAAAATGCTTCTGACAATCTTTAATGATCAATATACACGTTTGTGCTGCAATATAATATCCTGCATTTGTCGTTGTAGCCCACAATTAGTTGAAACCGGTCCTTCATTTACCGCCGAAGGAACAAACTATCACCATGTTTTCAATGTCTCCTTATGCGGAAAGACATCAACCTGTCGCACCAATTTTTCTGCGGCAATAAGGGGCTCTCATAGGGTATTGAAGGCTATTCATTCTTTTATACTAAATTTACTAAGCTATGGTGAACTAAAGCATCCACCTGATTGTATTTTTTCGTAATTTTAACGTAGGATCGCGAAACTTACTTAGACGCTTCCATTTGCCGCAGCACCATTATACACTGGAAGGACAACAAGAAAATTGCTGCTCAACCTATCTCGTAAGATTCGTTTCTTGAAAATCTTCTGTTCTAGCTGTAGCACCAGTGCAAATCGCATCTGGTAGAGTATTTGTAGCATTTATCAACTTACGAAATGCTGCCGTTATTTACTTAGCATTCGTTATTAATTATGCTTGGAATGTATCAGATAAAACTAAACTCTTAATGGTCGATTTTGCTGTTAAAAGACTATCTACTCGCTTTATTTGCGTTTGATTCGACTATAAGTTACTTGTAACGAAAATTTACAACAGTTAGCTTGCATAAAAATGTAAATATTCTAATTCGTACTTCTTGTTAGATTGGGAAATTATTTAGCGGGCATTTCTTCTAAAAATATATTGGGTAACGTTAGTTTCCGAGGTTTTGAAGAAAAAGGTTGGATATAGAGCCTTATCTACACCAGTACCGTATCAATTTTATGCCCTCTTTAATTAATTTTAACCCGGTTATTTTCATAGCTGATAAATCTAGTGGAGTAAAGGACATTCATTATTTCTTCAAGAATAATGCGTAAGTAACACAAATATTCAGTTACTGAAAAGAACTGTTCAATACTACTTCAATCTTATTAATTATAGAGTGAAATAGGCGAAAAATTAATTTTGTTCTATCTTCCTATTTCAATCCAAATTAGTCCCACTCGGGCATGCCCTAGAGGACGATCAGTTGTGATTGCATTACGATGTGATGCCACAGCAGGCTCCACAGTAAGTTAAAATTGTATTCTTATGCGTTTATAATTAAGATCTAATTAAGCTGATAAATTGGAAGCTTAGGGTCTATTACGATTATTGTAATGCCTTTTAACACAATTTAAATATCAATAGGGAATTATTAAACTACCGACAAAATGTCCTAGCGGAACATGCGATGGATGCAAGTGCGTCCTAATCTAATTGCTCTCATGTCTTGCAATCGATTTTTCTTAAATATTGTCAAGTAATAGATTTATTGATATTATGATTGCATTTTAATGCAGCTTCAACTTTTTATGGAGAACTAAGTATGCCTGCCCAATTTGTCAGAAGAAGGATTACACTATAATTCATTCTAAATGCCAGGTAAGAATTTCATACGTATGTTAATCATGACATTACTGGATTGATATTGTATTTGGACTGCTATCTAGAAATTCAAAATTTTTTATGCACCGGTTTTAGTTACTTATAAGTAGCAACTATCCCACATGTTAATCGCTGGCCTATATCAGAATTTTTATTGTATCTAGACTTCTATCTAATAATCCTTCATACAATAGTGACTTAAAAATAGTTTTATAGTCGTTGGTATCATTGTTTACAAATTTTTTAAATGATATACATACCATATAATATCTATTCAATGTTATTTCTGTATTTTAATGCTATCGCATTTTTGCCTTTACCTTTACAGAATAGTACAAAAACTACACATTATGTATGGAAGCACCAGCCAAAGTTAGTATAAAGCCATATTATGTTTTCTTCATATTCACTGCAGTAAAAGAAGTAACATTTAAAGTTTTATGGTTGGAGTCTCTTTTATTGTTTAAAATCTTATATGTAACATATACATCAACCGCATTTATCACGTAGGATATGCCGAGATGGCGTCAGCCTGCCACCAAAAAAAGAACAGAAATGCACTATTATGGAAAGAACGATAGGAGCTGCTGTTCAGGACTTTAAAGTACGTAAATACAGTTCGATACGCTGCAGTTGCATATCGCAAAGGTTCTTTTTTGTGTATCACAGCGTATAAGCTTAATTGACTTAATATGAGTTATAAATATCTCTATTAACCATAAATTTATCTAAACCTCGTCCGTAGATTATTATCATTCTGGTCGCTGTCGCAGCTGTGGTCCTTATACTTGCTTTAGTTGGATTATATCTAAGGAATAGGAAGTGAGCGTCAAGATGAGCTATTAGTTTGCTTCGTTAACATAGGGTTTTATTTAAATTGTTGTCTTTCTCTTAACTCTTTTGTAGGCTTTCCCACAGATATGTTAAATTACAACAGAACTTAAATACCAAGGATAGCGAGATGCCTGCACCAGAAACGTGTGTTATTGACGACGATGATGACGAAGAGGTACCGTAAATATAACGATTAACTTAGGTTCATGCAATTTGTTATTGTAAAATAAAAATTTCAACGATAGAAACTATGAGCATAATTTATTAATTGCTAGCATTCAATACATAGTTAGCTCTAATCATTTATATGTGTTGTTATACTATACGTGCAATAGGAAATAATCTTCAATAATGGAAGAGGCAAGAAAAATCAGCAAACATTCAAGGTTTGTCCATTTTACAATTAATTAATTATAATGATGCGGTAATATGTACTACATCTAAGAATAATTATTGCGATAATTTTATTTTTTTGGCCAAATTTTGTAAGAATTGTTCATACTTAACTGGTTAAGATCAAAATTAAGATAAATAAATCTATAGACACTCAGCGGGTATCACATCTCTGATCTTTTTGTAGGATAATCAGGGCCATCATGACGATGCCTTCGATACGGTATTACTGGAGAAAGGAAACAAAGATACAAATAAGATGATATAAAATAATTATAATCTGGATAAAGGGTTTTTATGTCAGGAGAAGAATATACTCGTCCTTTTTGTGAAAAAAATTGCTGTTTTACTTCTTTAAACAACAGAATGATTCAATAGTACGATCTTTAAGGAATGCGTTAAATAATAGAATTTAGATAATAAATAAATATGTAAGCAGCAAAAAGCAACCTGTTCTATAACTGTATACTAATGTAAATCATCCTAGCATGATGTACGGTAGTTTCATTTAATATTAAATTGGTAATTATCAGTTAATGATAGTTCTTAAATTATCACTAAATATTATGTACGCATCAAGAGTCAATAACAATCACAACAGAAAGATATTCAGAGGCGCTATAAAATTACTCGTCTGTCTTTTATTGTTTGAATCGAGTTTATTAGAAGTCAACTTAAATAAGCTAATGATTGTTATCTAGATAACTTGTGAAATTTAATATTTTACATTCGTGTCTCGAAATTACTATTACGTTATGTTAAGCTTATCAATAAATGATGTAATTACCGACAATCTAATTCAGAGAAGAGCAGGTTTGTTTTTCTTTTAAATTATTCTAGGTTTATTACTTATCAACGCTTTAGTTGGATTATTTTACTAATTTCTAGTCTGAATAGCCTAATGCAAATGTGTTTGATAGAATACCAACATATAGATAGCAAAGTATCATGAAAGTGGTTTAATCTGATGTAAAAAGCTGGAGTTATTTGCCACTGCACCTTATCGTTACAAACGTAAAGCAATATATGACTTGAAATAATCAGACAATATTTAATTAAAGCGACTTAAATACAAGCCATTACTCGATACTTCGTCATAAGTAGACGCATATTGTTACATTATACAGCGATAGATTATATAGTTAATCATTTATAACGTAAATCTACCGTAATACAACAATTTACTATGTTTGCTGACGGATAAATAATTTTTGATTATTCCTCGAATAAAACAATAATTAATTAAATGAATAAATAAATAATAGCAACAATGAAGAATAGATTACTATTGCTATACACTTTCCCAACTAATAGAACTAAAGTTATACAATCTTCATAAGAAGCAGAAATTGATAGAAATATACGAATAATATAGGATAGCTGACCGGGTACTGTGTACGAGTATGAATGAGCAAATGTGCCACTGCGCATTAACGTTCAATATATACAGTTGCCATGGCCACCATGCTTTGCTTTGCCTATTATCGATTAACTTGTTACTAAGGTAACTTTGCTTGTTAATAATCCTTACGTTGAAATAGGAGTGTGTATCTTGTCTTCCTTAATGTTTATACTGTAAATTATATCGCCACTGCATGAATTTGGGCCAAATCATATAATCAATAGACAGGGGAGTACCGTACTGTACTTATTATTGTATCTATATGGTGTACATTATGATACATAAAGTCGCATAGATACCATATATCATTTCTATATATATTGCAGATGTATAGTAATCGTAAGCTATTGAGTTCGTAAAAATTGATAGCATACGCTTACAAAAGCTGCTGCCCATTACTTTATTCCTTCGTAACGGACAAGATTGGCAAAGAAAAGTTGTGATAAATAGTCTGTAGCTTTGCTGCATTCTATCGAACAGGAAGATATTGTGTAGGAGTTTTTAAGCAAGATCATTTAAAATCAAATCATTTTATCTAAGAAGCTTTAATTAATAAGTACTGTAATATTATTGAAACAAGACGCGGTAAAATATGGCTGATCAAGGGAGCGAAGACATAAATCAGGTAAAATCCGAATAAAATACGAGACATTTACATAGAATGTCGAGACTAGAGAGTATTATTTTTAATATCTAACAAGAATTATATTACGCAATTTAATGTTACTTGTTAAATTTCAATGCGGCTGAAATAGAAATCTTTATAAAAATTAAGTTATTGTAATAAAAATCTTTCTAAATAAATTAAAGAAAATTTTTTTCTCTTAACTAGGGTAAGCCTCAATTAATTAAAGAAGGTGCTACGACCAGCGAGTTTTATCGTACAAGCAAGCTACCTGAACGTTTTAATAACCCTGGTATGAGTCTGCAATATCCTTAGTAATTTTTAAATTTTATTTTTTAAACAGCAATCGACAGAAAAAACCCAGTTTCTACCTCGGGCAATCCCATATTTACATGCCAGCGAGAAGTTACTGACATACCTACAGTATCATTAGATAAGTCCTCTGATGGTGGAGGTATGTTCAATTTAATCAAATATTAGGCGATCAAATTTTCTGATTGAAATCGCATAGTATAGAAATCGATTAAACAAAAATCTGACGTAGTTTAGTGTAATTTGCTCCACCATCAGTTACGATAGAGTTCATCACAAGAAAAATCTTAACGGTTACTACGTTTTTATTCCATTCAAGTTTTTAATCATTCTTTAAATAGTGGCAAAAACTTTAATACGTTTATGAGATAATATGTTATAAGTTTTAGTCATACAGTTTATTTACTGGAATTAATCTATTCCAAGAAATTATTATAGCAAGTAAAAGTTTAATGTCACATATTCTCCTAGCACTAGTTCTTTAACGCAAATAAATACTACACAATTATATAAACATGTATATATATATATATATATATACTGTTTAAAGAAACTAACTTTAATTAACAGGATAAAATCCATTTCATAACAGTGGTGTACTAGTATCACCTAAAATATAGCTCTAATTTAAATAGAATGGTTTAAAGGATATACCGCAAAGCCTCAACATCCAATGTATAGGACTACATCCAGCCAAGTCGGGTAAGGAAATTTAATATTAATCTATAGTCAGTATTGCATTCTATGCAAAAAATCGTCTACAGAATAGTTGATTGGAAGTATTTCTTGACTACAGATCTCATCCTCCTACTGTCCACACTATGCCAACTCAATATCATGCCAAAAGTCAAAAATTTTCTCAGGTATTGATCTCACAAACCTATGTAGTGGTATTTTTCTAGCTTAATAAAACTTGCCATGATTCACAGTCAATTTATTACCGCAGTAGAATATTTTCTGCAAATAGCTGTGTAACAATATTTGTAGATCATGGACTATCAGTTTATACATTAGTTAATTAAAAATGATAGATACTACATCGGATTAGATTAACACCGATCTAACAAAGACTTGGAAAAATTTCTTACGTAATTATTATCGAATGATGTTTTTTAGCATTTAGGTCAGTGTGGAATGACTAGAAACCAATCGTTAAATACCGCTATTGAAAAAAGTAGAGTTTTCGATAAGTAATTTTAAGTAAATATGGAAAATTACGGCAACTTTCAGAAGGTCTAATGTGGATCTTTATACAATGCTTAATCATAATTGCGATTTATTTACAATTAAACCATAGCCATATGTAGTGTCTATATAGTATTAGCCGAATTGGGATCAGAATAAACATAATGGCATGGTGTAAAAATGAAAGAAATTATAGTATTTACCAAAATATATCGCTTGTTGATAGAGAATCAACGTAGTGGATAGAATTATTAATTTATAAGATAACCAGATATCTTGATAGATTGTTAGCTAAGTTAAAGTTAGTCATAATTTACAGTACTAAGACCATATTGTGCTTGTATTAGAATGGATAGTAATTTGGTAGAGTGTAATTCAGGAGCGAATAGACTGATGTGGTAGATAAAAATAGCAATTTATCGTTATCTCTTAAGATTACTATTTCCTTTCTTAACTTAAAATTTTAAATTTCAATTTTCAAAATTCTAATGTGGATACAGTGTATACGGTGATATATATGCTACGCATTAAAAGGTATAACTAATTCTCTTATCATACTTTTAAATCATTTAATAAAGGTTAGAATTTCATTGGCTATTTGCTTATCACAGACGAGTAAATGATTTTATTAAGAGATAATTTATAAGCTGCATCTGCAAGAATTGTTTTTACAACATCCTTTTCTATTCTATTTTTTTAAACTGCCTATCATTCACAAATAGTATTAGTACGGATAGATTTATAAAGCTAACGAATACAAAATGAATATCGTTACAACCACGGAAAAATGTATATTACCCGTAAGGCTTGTAGATATTATTATAAGATCCTATTACTGGTTAGATGTGCAATATATAAAGCGTTTATCTTAAATAGCGATTGGAGTACGAAACAGTACTGTAAAGCATAGCAAAACAAAGAATGTAATAAAATTACATTCATATCTGAGTCTTTAAATATTGAGTACTTTGAATAATTTAGCAATTTAATCATTATAACACTCTTTAGCATGTACATGTCAACATAATGAATTTAATAGCATTTGCCAGCTTTGGCTGCGAAAATTATGCATGAAACAATGCCTAATTCACAATTTAAATATCTAATGCAATCTATTAATTTGCGAAAATAAAACCGTTGATATTATAAAATGTTTAGGTATTTTACTTTGTTATTACAATCATTCAATAATAAGAGTTTGGAAAGAACTTATTCTTGTAATAAATAGGTTTGATGCAAATACGAGTTAGCAATCAGATAAATGTGTTTTAAAAATAGCGTGATAAATGCAGAAATTGGTTCCTTTTAAATGTAGCCCATTTCCAGACTTTGCATAGATGAAAAATAAATTGGCTTAATTTCGAAATGATGTCTAGGCGTTCTTATTCAACACCAGAGAACATCCGAAGCGGTGTCTAGACTCAAATAATTTTTGACTATCGAAAGCCTAAATACTACTAGTTCAATTAATTAACAGCTTATACTGGAGTCAACACCTTCATAATCCCCAGGAGTCGCTGTTTCTGGATCACTTTCAGGAGCGAGCTCAGTTCGTAAAAAGTCAGAAAATAGCAACCGAGCTTTAATTACAACTTTGTTAAGGTCGTGCTTCCTCACTAGCCGGTCAAAGTACATCGCCATGGTATTATGATCCATCTGGTTACGCATGATGTGATCACGATGTTGTAAAAGTATAGACAGACACAAGAATAAGACAAAAGGACTACCGTAACCATAGTGGCTATAATAAGTTGCTGGTGCTTCACTGTTGTCATTACAATTGGCATCAGATTTGCTATCTAGAGTTCCCGGATTGCTACATGATCGATTTAACCTAGGTGCCGAAAGTGGCCTGGGCAGCCCTCCTAGTGAATTATGTGGAAGTGTAGACCAAATAATTTCATATAATCTTAAGGCGTCATTGAACGAAAATTCACGTTTTAAATCTAATAATATCCAACGATAGCAAAAAAACATGTCTCCAGCACCACAATCTTTAAGATACTTGCAAAATTCTGGGTCCCATCTGTCCAGCAATTGCGATAGGTGCTCAAATTTAGTCATCATAGCAGAACCATCTGATGAGAAGTTAACTTTCATTCTTGACATGAGCGCGTTGAAACACCAAAACGTAGTAGCTTCGTCAGTCATAGTAACTAACAATGGGGCAGCGAGATCACTCATACCCTGATAGATATACGAACGACTGATTATTAAAATTGGTTATAGTTCAATGTTTTCGAAAAAATTTTATGCATACAACATGTAGTACAAATGTGGTAGAACATACCTGACAATATGAAATTTCTGGATAGGTAAATGCGTATGTTGCCAGGATGTTAAATAATTTTAGTAGGTTAGGATGATTACTCTCAACAGCAAAGTAAGGATAAGAGCGATCTGTTCGCAAAACATCTTTCATGATCATACTCGTGATATCCGCTGTTTTCTCTGGAGGTAAACCTTGCCACCTCAGCTTCATCCTTGCATATTCTCTCCCCTTAACTACTAAATAAGTCGAACGATCATCTTCGGTCATTTCAGCTGGAAATACACTTAATAAGTGAGGCCATATAATTTGTCTAGCATTGGGCTCTACTCCTCCATTGAATACGCGCATTCTTAGGTCTTCAGCTCGTGACCGTAATAACTGTCCTTCCTCATCAAGAAAGGCCTGCCATTCGGCCATAGTAACTGGAGAATGGCGAATAGAATCGTTGAATGCTGAAGTTAACCTTGACCATCTCTTACTAATATGATTTTTAATGGTATGTTTAAATGGGACTGAAATATGTTTTGATATAGCTTTTGTTTTAGTTGTTTTAGTAACGATTTTATTGTTCACTGATGGAATTCCACGTTGTACTATGTCGTCCTCAAGATTAATTTCATCGTCTATCAGATTGAGAAAATAATTAGTCACAGGCTTAATATGATGTACAGTGTACATTGGTATGGGTAGTAAGTTATCAGTATGTCTTGTTTAAGATTTTTATGAACTATAAGTTATGAAATTTCTTCAGGGAAGCAGAAGCTAAATTGATATATGGCGTACACATGTTTTATATCTCGCATGTACTTATTTTAACAGAATTATATCTGCAGTATTGATATTATATACAATTTTATTTATGAAGTTTGTGGCATACTGTAGGAACTTGATTAAACTACAGTAGCTAAGCACTGAATCAATTGTTTACTAATCAAAGATTACTGTGTATATGTATCTGTATAATTTACTAGCAAAGTGCCATACATGCAGGTAAGTAAGTATTAAGATATAGTGAAATAGTTAAGCAACAACTCAACTCGAGCATTTGCGCTGCAGTTATATGTAACAATGATTACGACTTGCGATTAGATCCATGTCAAGTGAACATGCTATTTCCGCTAGCAAGTGTCAGTTAGGTATCATAATGTGTGATGCATTTATCGCAACTTTACAATTTGTTGACATGTTAATTTGTATGATTAGAGTAGGTACAAGTACTGATTCATGCCATTCTAGTACGGTAATCAATTACGTTAACCATCAAACACTAATTGATAACTATTACGTAATCTTCGAGTATGATTACACTATTATTCATTTTTAATGATAAGCTGGCCGGCTACAAAGAATTAGGACGCCTATAAGTCTATAGAAGTAAAAGTTGAAATGCATTGACAATAAGTCTTACCTTCAAGTTTTATTTTAGTGACTCTTAACTGTAATATCGGATCTGAGGCATTTTGGAAAGCCTCGTCTAAGTCCCAATCGGAATTAAGCGCCAGGTAAATTTGACTATCGAGACTTGTAGCACTACGTGATAGGTAAGTGATAGCAAAGATGCTAAAAGATTGAATAGACGAATAAATTCACATTGCTGTCAATGAGTTGATAATACAATCATCAATTCAGGTATTAAACACGATCGTTAATCGAAATGCTCTGTTAAAGATTGCCATGAATAAAGTAATTGCATTTATGCCCTCTTCTACGCTAATAGTAAAATAATAGCTCATTGGAAGGCTATGTTAACGATTGCCATGAATAAAATGATTATACTTATACTCTCCTTTCTGCTACAGAGAAATGATAGCACATTACAAAGCAATACCATGAATTAATTAATTAATTCATTTTTAAAATATTTTACAGCTGTAGCTAAAGTAGAATGCTATAGTTAATCCAAAATATCCAACTGTAATCTTAGAAATGTCAAAAATTAAATATTCTGGCAGATGCACGTCTAGTCGTCTTGAAAAAATTTGACTAGGGTACAGATGTTTTGTCTTCAGAGAAATGGATTCATTCAAAGGGTTAAAATTCGCATCGGATATCCACATAAGGTCCCATTGCAATAGCAATCTTATTCTATTAGAGGTTGTTAAAACAGGGGTAAATGCTATATAATGATTTAAAGTTGAAGTTGTACCAATTGCCAATGCATGTACTGTTCTATGACGGCACACTGATTATGCAATCAATAAACAATTTGAACAGCTTTGGATATCGCAAATATATTACTTAATAAACAGTTGTATTTGTTTTTGATTTTCATTAAAAGATTATTACTAAAGGAGATTGATATACACACGGTAGAATTCTTGCCTAAACAATTTAAGCTAATTGACGGCTGCATCGCATTATTAGTGAAAGCATGAGTTTACAGATGATAGTTAGTACACGTAAAAGATATTTTTTAATGGTTCAGAACTGTTTCAATCCTGAACCATCAGATCGAAACAATGGATTGCTAGATGATTTCGTACAGTTAACTGAAAATAATAGCCAGCAAGTTTGATATTTTAGATTTTAATAATTTCTTATGAATGAAAAACAGTTCTGATCGAAAATCTCAGAAAAGGAAGAGAAGATAGCAACGACAGTAAATTCTATCATGAAAGGAATACTCGAGCAGCGCTGCTCCATAATCATGTACAGTAACTGGAAATTATAAAGGATGGTTTTAATCTTTTCCTTGAATAGATTGTTAGGCGATTATGTACCGATTAATCATAACTATTAAACATTGTCGCCAACAATCTTGTATTCTCCATTTTATTTTAAAAGGATAACGACTATCTAATCGTATATACTGTAGTTCAATTAACTTTCGTTAATGAAATGTAGTACCGTATACTTAACGGGAAATAACAAAGGCAGATAATTTTAATTCGTACTTCGATAGATTGCTAGGCGATTATATGACGATTTAATTAGCAGACATAATCGAGAGCAATCTTGTATTCTTCATTTCATCTCTTCAAAGTCAACGGCTACCATTTCATTTTATTTCTTAAGGATAACGGCTATCTAATCGTATATACTGTAGTTCAATCAACTTTAGTTAATAAAATGTAGTACCGTATACTTAACGGGGAATAACAAGGGATGATAATTTTAATTCGTACTTCGATAGATTGCTAGGCGATTAATCATATGACGATTAATTAGCAGACATAATCGCCAGCAATCTTGTATTCTCTATTTAATCTCTTCAAAGTCAACGGCTACCTAATCGTATAAAGTTCATTGAATAAAAAAGTATTGGTAATCATCTTAGCGAGTAAAAACTGAAATAGATTGCTATACCATGGAAAGGAGTGCATTGCAAATAGTTCCAATCGATTGCTTGATGATGACGTACAGTTAACTGGAAATAACTAGGGATAATTATAAATTTAATCCGTATTCTGTTACGATTGCTAGGCGATGATGTACCGATTAATTATGAAAATATAATCGCAAGCAATCTTGTATTCACCATTTCATCTCTTAAAAGTTAACGGCTAATCTAATAGTGTGTATAGCTTTCGTGAATAAAGTATCGGCAATCATCTTCTAGGATGGTAATACTAATCGGATAGATTGCTATAGAATGAAATAGAGCAAATAATTGACTTTAGGTTAAGAAATTACTAGACGAAGATACGATACAGTACAGCTCATTCGCAAGAGTAGCCTAGCACTTTATATAGTGGGCTAGTAAGGAAATTATAATCGCATCAAAATGATGGAAATTGATCATTTAAATTGTGGTATTACAAGACTGCTTTATTGTTTTCAAATGAAACTGTTGATTTCGGCTATGTTGTTTAAGTTTGATAAACCATAAGGCAAATCGAAAATACCAGCAGGCCATAGTGTATGATCATCTTCGCTCTGATACTACTGTACTATTCATCGACAGTCTGGCGCCTGTCGGAATATTTTCCATGGATGACATTACAATTTAAAAATAACTCAAGCTATAGCCAAACTCACGATGAAATCATCAATGAAAGGCTCATGATTAACCCATGGGCAATTTTGAAAAGAAGACTGCTATCAATACAATTCATCAAGTTCATGCAACGACACAATGCGTAGACATACGCATGAATTTTTTTCTTTTTTTTGTCTATTTTCTTTCCTTACCATTTAATGTAAAACAAATAAGTGTGTAACCGGATAGAATAGGTTGTCAACTGGCCTTTTCATCAGGATTCAATGATGTTTTCCAATGGTTAATTGTCTCTTGGATAGTGTATCAATAATTAGATATAGTAACGTTTATTCAGCCGATACAAATGTGAAAGCAAATGTTACCCTCATGTGAAGAATAATTGAGGGATGTCGGGCACCATTTTGCTTCACTTAACTATCATCGATTGCTTTTGGATGGGAAGAAAGCAAATAAGGTAAATAAGGAACCTTTCCATCGGAAGGATTAGGTCCACTTTTATCATCGTGATTTGTTCTTTCCCCTCCAGTTTCTTCCAAGTTATTCAATGTCAAGACGCGATAGCTTAACCCTTTTTGGCGGACTAGACTAGCAATGAGCTATTGTCGTTGTTCGACTCAATGTGGTTAAATCCAATGGCGCTGCCGCCATTGTTGATCTACGCGTAGAATAGTCATGATATAGATCTAGAGGAAGACTTACCATTGCAGCTTGAAAGCGCCCATCAAGAGAAATTTGAGGTTATTATACGATGTAATCGATGGATCAACAGCAAACGCTCGTATTTCCACATGTTGTTGATCTTCGTACTACAAATAGATTGGTTCAAAAAAAAAGACAGTGATTCAACAAATCTGATTATCCCATTAAACATCTACATTGATTTAACTTGATCATGCCTATCCAAGGCAATAAATCATAAAGTTAACAATAGAAAAAACTACAAAATGAAGAAGTATAAGTAAAAATCAAGTCTTTGATGCTTATTGCTCTTCATATTGTGGTCATCATCTATACGAAAAACTTGGATAAAATTGCAATAGCAAAATAAAATGACGGCGATATCCCTTGTCAAACTGATTTCAAATAGTGAATCAATGGAAAATTTGGATGCTATCAATAAGTTCATTGATCAGCGTCATTAATGAATTGAATGAAGATGAAATCTAGATTAATCTCACTTAATATCGCTATGCTATGGGTTTAGTTAGAGATCAATTTACGTTAAATTTTGATATAGTATTATTTTAATCACTGCTTTAATCCTACTACTGGGGTCAATGATAAGAGTGTAAAGTTGCCAACTCCATCGTCATGATTGTGTTATTGCAAGCTCTCTTGACGTCGTTTAACCCCTAAACTAGGCGTAGATGACGAATTGGAGTTGGATTTGTCATAGCGTATACACTTAAAAAATGCTATTTGGACATGAAACGAGTGTCATGTAGCCAACTCGATGCTTGTTCTACTAGGAAAATGTCGTGAGGGTAGTTTCCTTCTAGTGCAGACGACAGAGATTGGATTGGTATGGTATACGCTTGAAGAGTGGTGGTTCTTCGACATGAAATGAAATGAAATGGAAGGTAGCAAAGTGCAAAGTACTGTCTAAAAGTTATCACGCTTAAAGAATGTCTTGGATGAAATGAATGTAAAGTAACAAGCTGTATCCTTGTCAATATTGAAAATCTTTATCCAGTTGTGGATTCTCATGTGTACTACCACACGAACTTGTCTAACTAGCTACTACGATCAACATGATGAAGCCAAGGTCGATCAAGTCCTTGAAATAATGCAATTTTGTGTTTGTGATAGTAATTGAATGAGAAAGAAAAGACTTACTACAACTTGGATACGGACTGCTTCCGATTCATGCTGCATGATGCCAGCAGACATGATGAAGTCCTTATATTAGCTTTGCATGAGTTTGTGCAAGAGATCGAGATGGATAATTTGGATAAACAACAAGCGTTGAATGGATGTCGAATCAAGGAGGAAAATAGAATCCAATCAAGAGTTGAAATTGAAGCTTGTGGAATAAACTGCTACCAAGTTGAGTGATAATTGGCTATAGGATGCACTGCACTGTCACCAATGCAAATTGTCATTTACAAGCATACGTCGACACCAATCTCTCCAGCTGGTTGGCTTGAAAATGATCAATACAAACGTTTATTCAGCAGGAAGAATCCATCAGCATGCACAATCAATCACCAAGTCACAAGAGTCAATGTGAGAATGAATGATGCAAGGAAAGCAGAAGGCAATAGACAATTCAAGTATGCAACCAAGTGGATTGATGTGATTGTCCTTCATGAATTCCAATGGATGAGCTATGTCTAATTTTGGCAGAAGGCAACGAGAGAGAAGAGAGCCCCTTTCCCTCTCGCTTGAAGAAGAGACGAACGTTACACCAGTTGGGATTAATTTTGACCTGTAATGAATCAATCGTCAATATTCCAAGCTACTCTACGTATTCTATTATGAATGGTGGCAATCACAGGTAGAAGACGAAAAGCAAATCCAACATGGAGGTAAAATAGCAAAGCGATGGATGTAATTTCTTCCTACCTTGCCTACAACGCTAATGGATGCAAACGCCAGCTCAACCCTCGACGATGTTGTCCAATGCTGTTACTCAAGACCAATTGCTTCCAGAAGGAAAATAGACAGAAAAGGACTGACTTTGATAGCTATACTACCCACTAGGATCAATTAAAGCAATCCAATGGCAACTACAGGAAAAAGAGACAGCAAACTTTTGCATCGACTCCAGCTGGTCTGCACAAAAAGCTGCAAAGGAAATCTTTAATATAACGCCATGGCTAAATCCCCTCTGGCTGATCCAGTGCGGTCGCGATGGTTGAACAGCTTTTCTATCACCGTACGGTGGGCTATTGTGATCGCTATTAGTCACTAAGTACACTCGACCATCTGACTGGGTAGAGTCGATACGATGCGAGGATAACCCGTTGGATGGCATACTGATCCTAGTAGTAGAGAGTAGCGTTAGCGCTAGTCTAATCTACTCAATGGTCCTACATGAGTAGTTCTACTGGTCTAGCCATGTCACTCCGATTCGTCTCTAAATTGTTCACCGGGTAAAATTGGACCAACCAACTTTTTTTCCAGTCATTTTGCTATACCCAATGACTATCATTGTACACTCTACTGTAGCCAACCAACTTGCTGTAGACAAGAGTTAGACTTGGACTACTGGAAGGACATTTTTTCCTCGGATGGACGGATTTTTCAAACTAAATGCCACTCCAAATGGCCAAAAAGAATGATTCACGACGGATCTGCTGTGTCTGTTGAATAAATCACTCGTATAAACTCATTTGAATAACATGAATGATCGAAAGTGACTGATTCCAAGCAAACTTTAGTAACAGGCAATATTGTACACTCTGCTGTAGCCAACCAACTTGCTGTCGACAAGAATTGGACTTGGACTACTGGAAGGACACTTTTCCTCGGGTGGACGGACTTTTCAATGCCACTCAAAATGGCCAAAAAGAATGATTCACGATGGAATTCACGATGGATCTGCTGTATCTGTTGAATAAGTCACTCGTATAAATTCATTTAAATAACATGAATGATCGACAGTGACTGATTCCAAGCAGACTTTAGTAACAGGCAATAGAATACAATGTAATATTACTTTATGTACAAAAAATCAACCAATTCAAAATCGACTGTCTGCATACTACGATAGAGTACTATCATAATCAAGTGGTAGATCCTCGCAAATGCCTGTCTGCCTAAAGAAGTGTCCAGTCTAGGTTATTCTTCTAGGAATCGATGCTATGCAAGACCAGAAGGAAAATGCAGTTAAGGTATCGCTGTCGTGCAGTAGACTGCAGTGAAAATGAGCAACAATGCGTTTTGTATGGTCGTCCAGATTGAAAAAGGCCTAACCAAAGAAACAACCCCTATATTCTTGTAATGACCAAGTAATAGTCTCCTGCTACACTACTACACTTAGCTGAAGATCTTAACAATTCCATGTATTAAATCCACTAGATCAATATCAATAGATGACTCTCTTATATTTCATCATGTACAGGTAGAAAAATACAAAACTACTGTACTGTATTTTCTACATGTAATGTAGGCCAATCGCATATTGATGTTGATCCGAGATTGGATCAATGCAATGATTCAATCGGTTGCCCTAGATAAGGGATTTAAAAAAAGTGCTCGTACTTACCTGATGAAATAGCATCCATCTTGCCCTATGCCCTAATTACAATCTGACATAACATAAGCAGCCCTCTCGGTATTGGCTTTCCTTTGAAATACATCTTGAGTTACTATCAGGCTTTAAATGAGTATAATTTGTTAACGGAGGGGCTGATGATGAATACTGATGTTCACTAGGATGGATACATGTCTTTCTTGAAATACTTGGAACAGACTCCCAAGGTAGTAACCTCCGATAACTGTAACAGAGTACAGACTCACTGAAGTTGACCGGAGCAGATATATCAATCAGTCATGACTATACCAAGGATTGCAAAGCTTGGAGAAAGTTGATAAATCGACACACTCACATGAAATGCTTTAAAATTATCGTATAGACATGAAGACAATAGTATTGGACCGCTACAAGTATTACTAAGGGAGAGTTGGCGTGATTGTTCAATTATATAATTATTCGATAAATTTGGATATTTTTTCTATCTCTGTGCAGAACCAGGAATCCTAGCACAGCAGTGATCTGTACGGGAACGAAGCACTTATTTAGTGAATAAAATTTTCAGCACATGGAGCAAAGATAGTAAACGTAATTCAAGTAAAATGACCCCTTATGAATTAATTTTATTCAAGCCCTATATTGCTAAAAGTAGCTCAGTCTTCGATCTAGGTGAACAAAGCGGCAGTCTACATCTTTAAAGTTAAAAAAGTCGATAATATGGAGTGAAATTATTTATTTTTCTAATAACAACTTTATAAATCGATCATAAGTGAATAATTTAAGTATGACATTTAGGCAGTCCCACTATTAGTTGACAACTGAACATGCAGATGCGGAGATGAATTCGTAGCAGAGGTAAAAACCGATGGGCGTAAACTATTCATTCTTTCATTAATTACAGTATTATCATTTACAGTACATATAAATTACTATTACCATCTTGACCACTGAATTTCTAGTATTCTCCAACTATCCAGTTATTCTACATATACAGTATAATCAATGCCATCATACGTATCACATAACATATACAAACAAGAACTTTACATATGCAAATATTGTTAAGGACATATTCAATATTCTCAAATTCATTTGGCCCAAAATAGTTGATCCTGACATAAATAAATATACTACTGTATACTACAGCCCACAGTGACACAAGCAGAGATGTAATTTAACGTGCAGATGCTAACCAAGTTTTCAATTGAGAAAATGAACCTTATTTGATTCGTTACCTATATGATAACGTGCTAGCTTCATGTAATCCCTTCAAAGATTCAATCACGTATAAGATAGCGTGCTAACTTCATACGATCCATCGACCTATTCAATATGAAATCAAAAAAAGGTAATACGTTATCATGATTACAACAGCTCCAACTTTGCAAACACCAACCTCCAATTTTTTTAGAAAGGGTGGAGGTGCTCCAGTTCGCTTAGAATACATTAAAGCCCATAGATTTTGCAAACTTGAAGCAATTTTTGTTGGGTCAGGATATACCTGTTCAATGTTGAAACAATATAATCAGTAATTTAACGATACATAACAAAGGTTGATCCTTTTTCAATTGACTCACGGATGATGATGCATTCTTTGTTACTGTAGTATTTCTGCTTGGTAGGTGCACGTCACGATTGCCTTCTTTACTTGTACCTTCCTAATTCAACCGAAATAGATTAATGAATTAAGGAGACAATTTATATGCGTATGATCACCAACATCAATTGATATACAACTTTAAACGGGTTATACAATTTTTTCATAAATACAGTAAATGACAAAGCATCAAGCGGATATCCTATTTTGTTACTGGCTTAATCTTCAGTATGCATGCATTATCGTAAGTAACTCAATTTCTAAAGAAAGACAGATTTTCGTATTACCGAATCGTTTTTTGGCGATAATTTAATATTTTCGATTGAAAATTGTAACCATATTGGTGACGGTTGCCTCAGTATAAGTCTCATATACAAGATGTTGTCAGGTTTTTCTAGCATCTAAAATCGAGTTGGATAATGATCAAACTATGTTACAATAGAATAAACTTTACTTGCTTTAAGTAAACGTTACTTTCATTTATATCCAATATCGAGTTATGATATCATTACTACAGTAATAACGTGATGGCATTTTTATGCAAGCCTAACGCTATCATTTTATATATAAAATGACGTAGGATTACAACGATAGCTTTACTAGCCTCTTCTCTCGTAATGGTAAAATGATCTCGTCCGGATACATCGCAATGTACGTTTGGCATTAGTTGTTTGTTCTTAATTAAAGTGATCCATTTTCTTGTGTTCTTGATTGCTGCTAAATCGAGATAATTAGAAGATAACGAGGCTATTAATCGAGGCTATGATGACAATCTTATAATTCCTTATTTATTATAAACTAACATAATGCATAAGATGATTTATTATACGAAAACGCTTCAAGTAAATGAGAAGTTCATCATCTATCGAATTGGAACATTTAGCAATAGGTAGAGTGTCTTGATTCTTAAAAATAAGAATCTAGCATCGAGAATGATCACATCGTACAGTCGAAATATTAATATATAATACTTCTTAGGTACCTGATTCGTCGCTTGTTTCTTTAAATTGAGCTTTAATAGTCAAATATGCGGAGTAATTATTGGAAAACTGAATTTTCCCTAGCTAATATTAAATAAAGAACATCAAAAGTTACAATAATGGCTGAGTCTTTTGCAGCTGCTATGGCTATTCATGATACGTATAGTTGCATTCTGTTTGGATCGTTTGTAATCTCTACAACATAAGTTTTACATCTAAAATTCTGTTTTATTACAGAATAAAGCCATTTGCATCTACATCTATTATACATTGATAACTAACTTCAATGATATAGTCATAGACTACATGGGTTATACGAATATGCGTTAGGGTAATTTATTTTTCCTCAGATAGATTTTTCTCCGCAGTTTTCCGTTGTTGCATAGCGTAATATAAACAGACACAATTTTAAATCTTTACGAATGGGGCAACGAGAAAACCCTGGAGAAAAGCTTATCTGAGGTATTTCACGATAAACGAGTTATCCTAAATAATGTATATGCATACGCGTACATTAAAGTTAATTAAATACGGCATGCAATATCGTCATATTCACAAGTTTAGTTAATATTTGTAATGTATATGTTGTGTATACGACTATTTAAGACTATCATTTCTTTCCATTTCAGTACATACCTGTAGTGGTTTTGAATGTGGAAAGTTCACTTCAATAACGGAACAACCCGATTTAAGATTGTCATGGGTGTCTATTTTGACTATAAGCGGATTCTTAAATCTACAAACGATTGCATCTTTGCCTGCCATGTTGCTGAACAATTGTAGATTATTACTCGTATAATATGATAGCGATTCAAATTTCCAATATTGGTGCTAATTAATATCACAGGTGCCTATCCTAAACATTTCTTGCAAATCTAGCTTGCATATTATTTGATGAATGAAAACAAATGCGCGTCAATTCCTAACACCAGATTATTCGCTATTTTATCACAATATGCTATAGCCAGTTACTCCATTCAGATTGATAAGATCATTGGATGACTGATGATATAATAATTTGCAGAACTTCCCACTCGTTGCCAAGGTAGCCAATCTATAAGATAGCAAGGGATGGATCCCTATCTAATCTTAGTGAGATTCAATGATAAGTACAAAGACTTAAGTCTACAGCCTGGCTGTTTGATAAATGCTTGAGTTAAGGTAATAACAAGTAGTTGAACAAGTTTTACAGTTTGTCTGCGTTCATAATTTGCAGAACTTCCCACTCGTTGCCAAGGTAGCCAATCTATAAGATAGCAAGGGATGGATCCCTATCTAATCTTAGTGAGATTCAATGATAAGTACAAAGACTTAAGTCTACAGCCTGGCTGTTTGATAAATGCTTGAGTTAAGGTAATAACAAGTAGTTAAACAAGTTTTACAGTTTGTCTGCGTTCATAATTTGCAGAACTTCCCACTCGTTGCCAAGGTAGCCAATCTATAAGATAGCAAGGGATGGATCCCTATCTAATCTTAGTGAGATTCAATGATAAGTACAAAGACTTAAGTCTACAGCTTGGCTGTTTGATAAATGCTTGAGTTAAGGTAATAACAAGTAGTTAAACAAGTTTTACAGTTTGTCTGTGTTCATTTTGCGCTAGCTAAGGTAATTTAATTAAGCCAGACGAACTTTCGTTATTAATATCGCGTTGCCACCATGGAGGTAGACTCTTGAAGACGATGGGTTGATCACTATAGTGCTACGTATTCAGGCCATTTAATCTATACTGTACTATTGTTCTTACAGCGTCCAAATGGATCAGTAACATCAATCAAACCCTTGGTGAGAACGATACAGTGGACAGTTCAAGTACTGTAACAAAGACTTCGACTAATAGTCCTTGACTACTGTGCAAAATAGTAGTCACCTTCTAAACTTGTTTTTCTCTTACAGCACAATAAAATACCAGTTCATTGCAATATGAGAGGTGATATTTTAGACTGCACAATCTAATTGGATTTGAGAGTGCGCAGTGCTATAGACCAAACTAGAGTACTGGCGCGATACTGTAACGTAAAGAAAGAAAAATTCATCATTCAGTATGAAAATGGGCCACGTCCGACAGTAGCATCAGTCTTCCAGCAAAGCGCATGTTCTCCTAGCTCAGCAAGGCAACTCTTCCACTGCCAAGATGGCTACAAGTCAATGTTATTCTTGCATTAGTAGACGGCTAAAGCCTAGCCCATTGAGAGCTGCTTTTATGGGTATTCTAGGTAATGAATGGAAATGATATGTGCAGGATAGGAATTTAACTTCGATATGTGTATCTGTTTTAAAATGATGAGTAGTGTCAGCATAAGTTGCTTTTGCATTGCAATCGTGCAGGAAATCGTTTAAGCACCACTGGCTTGAAGAGCAATCAACAATTGCAACCCAAAGTCAAGGGGAAATCATCTTTACAGCAAAATTGGCGATTGGTAAGTGCGATCTGTGTTGAGCGTTTACCTGTAATTTCCTCATCAACAAACTCACTGGAGACTCGAGTTCAAGGTAAGACGCCATCAACTTTGCATTCATAACGCTTATTAGCTAGTGTAACTGGACCGTCATAGAAATACACTTGCAGTCTGATGGTGCAATAGTATGATAATGATGGTCAATTTCACTTGTAGAATTATTTAATACTATCGAAGAAGAAAAAAGTGTAATTTCCGACTACGAAATTGATTTAAAGAACCGTAAGGCAGCTTCTTTAGATAGGCTAAAGGCGCTTGATTCTGGAATGAAATCCAAAGAGTTACAAGAATTGGTAAGCAAGCAAAGTAAATTCCTCTTGGCATAGTTTTGCTAAATACATTCTACAATCATTATTTTACGACCACGATGCATATTGATAACTAGCTCAATCAGATAGGGAATAATCTTACAACTGTCTTTGTAGTTTGCTGATCCACCTTGATGTATTCATTAGGCTAGAGAAGAAATTGAATCAGAGTTACAAGAGTTAGAAGAAGAAGCGAAATCGTTTCAAGCTGCTAGTCGGACAACTCAGGCTGATGAAGAGGATGATAGGAAAAGCCTAGATCGTAAATTAGCCGAGAGTCTTTATTTATTAGTTAAGAAATCACGCCATCAACATGCATGGCAAATGCCGCAAGGGCAACATGAAGGAGAGGAGTCACTACGACAGGTTAAAGGATTTCATCGATAAATGTTACTTATAGCGTTGTTTTCTATTTGCTACTAAAGTCTATATAGAGCATATTTTAGACTCTAGTCTTACGGCTACAGTATTATGCGTATAGAATAACGAACTATTGCAAAATGACAATGTTATTAGACTGCGGAACGTGAATTAAAAGAAGAATGTGGCGAACAGTTAACAGTAAAATTTCTGAGTAACGCACCGTCTGCACTCTACACTTATAAATTTCATAAAGACTATCAAAGCGATCACGTTGGTGCTAAGGTTAGAAATGTTCATTTTTGCTTCATAGTTTATGAACTATATGAAGTATCTTCCAACTTAGAACTAATATGATAAAGTAGGCGATATTTCCTACCTACAGTAAACTCCTATCTTAAATACATCTCCTCTAACTGGAATAGGAAAATTATCCAATACAAGTATACTGCATAAAATTTTCATGCCATTTTATTCTTTTTTCTTATCCAGGTATTCTTTTATAAGACTTTTTATAACGAAGGACAAATTGTACTAAATACCGAAGAACTTGAAGATTATGCATGGGTTACTGGTCAAGAGATGCAGGATTACGTTACGCCTGAATACTACCGATTTCTATCTAAATTTTTGTATCTACCTAGGAGAGAAAACGACACGGAATTAATTGATTAATACCGAGCAAGTTCGTATACTTGGAAATCGTAAACTTGATGTACTTTATCATAGAAAAATTGAATTTTTAAAGCAGATTATTATTTCTCAGCCATAATGACTTCGATTGTTATATAACGCTTTTCTTATCATATCGTTAAGTAAATTGCAGAATTGGAATACATTATTGCGCCTTTCGTACACATCTAGATATGTACAGTAAATATATTGCCGTTACGGTAATACACTTACTAGAATCAGTAAAACTTTTGGAATCATGTACAGTATTATATATTTTCGTTATATCCTTATAACATTTTCTCAGCTTATAACAATGTCTGTGTACGGTGCACTATTTGCAACTGAGATGATAAGATTGTCATAACTATTCTAATAATCGCTCTATGCGAGTATTTATCAACACTATGCCATACAGGTGCAAGCGGTCTCTCAGATCAGTGAAAACGATAGCTAATTCGTAATTCCGTAATTAGATACTGTATATTAACTCAAATCTATCATTAAAATAAAAAGTATTCTCGTGTGCAGCAACATCAATGGCAAAATCTCCAGATTTGAATATGCGGGCTTTATTTAACAAGCAAGGCCGTTTGACATTTTATAGAACTAGGTGATTATTGCCAATGTCCATTGGATATGATATTCATGGTTTGATTACAACACGTAGCATGTAGAATTATAGAACATTTCATTCATTCCAATCTACTTTGAACTAAAAATCACAGCAGTATTACCTTATAAAATCATACGACAGATATAACAAATAGTTATAATTGAAAATCAGGTATCTAAAGTCCAGTACTACTGTAAAAGTCATTAAAAGTGAATATTACTACATTATGATCAGCACTAGCAAAATCGTTAACAGAACTACTCAACAACTTAAACTGTTAACTTTAGATATTCTTAACCAGATGATAATTATCTTCGGTATTTGGAAATAAAATGTCGAGAAACACTTCCGTTTGAATATGTCTACAAACACAAACCCTCGAACAAGACTGATCTAATGATCATGGTAATACTATAGAATATAGTATATACTTATTTAAGATTAATACTGGCTTAGGTTAATTTAAAAAATTTTTCAATCTTGGAATAAGACAATTTGTATCTCTTTGAAATTGAGGTGGTTAAAATATACTACTGTAATTAATGACAAAATACGCGTACATGTCGATATTAACACCTTTCCTGACAAATTAAGTGAAAAAAAATGGATATCGCACGCATTTTCGACGTATAAATTGTTGCTCATCAGATGCACCTCTTTCTTGTATGATTATCATATTAATACCGAAAAATTTTCTATTCATCGTGGCACATTATAATGCGAAGAAAAGAACTTTAACTACGATATTTATAATAAACCGAAAAAATTACCATCTTCTAGAATTCTATCGATAGATGAAAATGTTAATGATAGTTTTATAGAAGCACAATATAGACAACATAGCGATGCACGTAACAGATTAATTAATTATTATTACTACAATAATTAAACTAAAAATATAAGTATGCAATTTCAGATACTACAAAAAATTAAAATATCTTATACATTACTTTTGCATTATTAATCACGGATTTATAAAAACATTTAGTTTATGGCAAAGAATTACGATTGATTTGAACATCCTTGATATTAAAGTAGAAGCGGTAGTCGTTGCTATGACTTCATCGAGGAGACAATATTTAGCAGGAAAGGATTTTTCATCGGCTACGACTTTCACCATGAAAATTGAATTTAACCTTTCAAATTAAAAATGAAATTCGCAGGAGTGCATCGGCTCTCAAATTTCTACGAATCAGCTTGTACACTTTCTTTCCACTGGATACCATTCACAAACGAAATGCTTTACGACTTAAATTGCATCAAATATACATTACATTCAACACTTGAATAGAAGTTATCGGAATCTCTATTGGCTCGAAAACCCATTTTAATGCCTTGTTTCATATCGTAGTTGACCCTAAGTACGATAGTATTACGCATGTAAGATATAAGCATAAAAATAAAACACGATCTTCAATAAAATTATCTACAAGCATACAGCTTGCTGGATTTGTTCTCCTAGTTCTGGATGTTCTATCAGGACGGTATCAAATAATTCTTTCGATACACTTAATAGATCGCACGAAGTAAGAGCTATATATAATAAAAGAAAATAATGCTATTGAGTACTGTAACAGGTAACAGTTAACGCTATTTGCAGTTTAACAGAAAGGTCTTTTCTACCTTGTACTGATGACGTACGCGGAACTTTATAGAGCAATGCTACTTCTCCAAAGAAGGCACCAGCCTACAATGTAACGTATCATACAACAGCATAGATTAATAAGAAAATTTATGAGTATAAGCATCTAGTAGTACAATAGTACAACTGATTCTAAGACGCTATCTAAGAATGAAAAAGCGTAGAAATTTATTTTAAAATTATAAGAGCAATAATGCAGTATCGTAGCACAATAACCTAACAAAATAAAGTTCGTAGATGCTAATCTCACCTCCAATATTTTATCTACATTACTATTATCGGATGCCTAAAAAGTAGTACATAACAATATGCATACACATTTACACGAGCACTTCAGCAATGAAACATCAATTAATTGTATTTAATTAAATTATAATTTTGAAGTATTGCCTGACCTGAACATCTAATGCAACAGTTTCAGAATCTAAAATCTTGATAAAAAGTTAACGGTTAGCCCTTACAACGTTATGTTGTAATGCCTGAGAAAGTCTGTAATCGACCACATTGCCTTACCTTTACCATTCCTCTCACTAGAAAAAACATCTCTCGACCGATTTCACCTTTACTTATTATAATTTCTCCGGCCTATTATTCGGAATATGTTTAACAAGACTATCAGCATATAAAGTGCTTTATAGGTAACAATGATACGTCAAAACAGCTGCATAAATAGTGTTTCATATCTACCTGGACAAGTCTTGGTTTAATGTGCAAAGCTAATTGATACAGGAATTTTTGGTCGCAGTTTTCGAATAAAGGTATCTACAAGGGTATAAAATGTTCAGCATGAAATACATCATCATAAGTTCGAAAATAAACATTAAATTTACATTTTTTAAACTTTCAGCGATTGAGGGAATTTCAAACTCTCCACCAAAATTCTCTGACTCTTTAGTTAGGTGACTTTTAAATTTAAGTAATCTTGATCTTGCTTCAGTCATTACGCTATAATTTAGAGATACAACATCCCGAAAGTTGTTATTATTAATTCATGTCTATAAACTAAGTGGACAGATACGACACACTGCAGCATAAACAGACAGATATTACTTACACATCTTTCAGCTTTGGATCTTCTTCCAATAGCGATCGAAATTTATCTCTGGTTATAGCTAGTATTATGCAGCTTTGCAAAACAATAATAATTATTGATATGAAATTAGTATTTCTTCTCATACCGTATATTTGAGATAAATGTATTATTTAACATTAAAAGCGATCTTTGTTTTAAGATACTTCACTAACTTCGTGCTAGCTCGAACAGAACAGGTACGCGGCATATCGAACATAATTGCTAAAAGTAAAGGTGTCAAAGTAATATACATAGAGAAAATTAGCTTAAATACACAGGCCGAATAATAGTTTGAGTTATACTAATAATATAAGGTATACGTAAGTTTGATATTTGACACAATTTATGCTTGATAATAACTATCGATATAAACACCGGTCTATACCAATCTCTCCGAAAAAGGAACCCTCCGCTAATTCTGCGTAAATGACTTCGCCATCGTCCGAAATGACTGAAAAATATCATCGTGGATTATTTCACTAATGGGATTGAAAAGTAACGATATAGTAATATTATACCTTCAACCGAACCGCGCGCTACAAAAAATATCGCTTTGCCAAGATCTCCCTTCCTGTACAATCACAAAATTCATATATTATATTAACATACGCATTGACGGAATTATTACCAAGTTGATATGATGTGAGACTTTGAGTACTACTGAATACTAAACATATTTCATGATTACGTTCAAATATGCATCAAAATTAATTTTACTATCTTGCATCTATCTACATAAGATAGCAATAGCATGGTAAATTTACTTGATGATCATTTCCTTCTTCTTAACGAAGCGTGGTTCAACTGCAGCAACAACCTTCTCCTTAAATTCTCTCTATAGCAGCATTCAGTTTGTTGTAAGAAAGTTAGTTCTCTATGACGCACATCCGATTATCAAAACTACAATATTTAATTATTATTCCCATTCTTTCTCCGAAATAATGAATCATCTATTACTAATATCTACAATTTATGTAATGAGATTTCAGATTCAATTTTACAATTAAATTTTTGTACCGTTGCTTCGATTAAAAACGGCATTGCGTCCACAAAGTCAAAGACTCCATCCGGTAACTCTTCTAAGGCAGGTCTGTATACATTAAATGATGATATAATAAATGCACTATATTTGCTATTACTAACTATAAACTAGCAATCAGAGTCGTTATGAGATTAATTACTGCTCACGATTTAAGCCCAGATACTGATACTCTACTTGGTTCTGCATCACCGATATGGATAGGAGTTGTGTCATGTGAAAGGCGACGTGGGCTAAAAGAAACAAGAATTTTGTGACTCATTAGAATTATGTGCTGCGCTAGGTACTCGAATTGTAATAGTTAATTGTAGAGCGACCAAATATTCGGTTTTCATCTACAGAGATAGTTTAATGACGATACATTATCATCTGTAATCTGGTTGTCAAATTCAAGAATAAATTATATATAAAATTATATATCATTAATCATAAAATAATAGTGCATAGGAATATATACTGGCCTGATTTGAGAAATTACGCATACATATCAGTGAAGCATGCCATCAGATAGTATGGATTACAATATAATAAGCGCCCTTACTGATTCAGTTAGTTTGTAATTCATTTGTTTGACGAACATAAAAATTTCTACCTGGATTTATTACGAATTGCTTCTAGCGTTTCATGTAAACCACCGAAATTAAATCCTTTGAGTAAAGCGGGACGCGCCGGCATACTTCTTCGACGCTCTTTATTGTGGGTTTCTTGAGCTGTTGGAGTCGAAGCACCTTGAGGTGTATTTTCTGCACTAATAAATTTATGCCTTGCATCGATAACGTTGTTAAATTGATCAGGATCATAGCTTCTGCTCAGCATATCGCTGAAAATATCCTCGCTATTAAAGCGCCGAAATCTTCTATGAGGTCTAGCTTTAGGTGTAAACTCTACGCTATCGGTTTGTCTAACACCTTAAAAATAAGTTAAAATATGATAAGAGAACATAATTTCTTAATTTAAAAAAAACACTATGAGAATTCTCAATTCCTGCTGGTCAATTAATGACACTAAAGAAAGGATAGGAACTATTTAATTTAAAAGAATTTAAAGGTTACAACTCTAACTAGCAATGTAACGACATCAGATAGTGTAAATAATCGAAAAAAGTCTAAATTTTGTTGTACTATTGATAAGTTGTATCTTAAAATGATAACGCAAAAAATTGTCAAGCCATCAAATGGCTACCATTAAAAGTAATTCATAATATCATTCATTAAAGCATGAAATGCTTCCATACCATCCATGAACGTACGGTATGTCAATCTGTGTAGTTTAATTACATGATAGGACACAAGTGCGTATAAACTTATATATCAGGTTTGAGCTCAATAGGTATTACAACAGGCTGTGAAATAGTGTCAATATTAGTTAAAAGACATCTGATTCCATTTTAATAAGTACTAATTAAATGGATTCGAAAATATTACCAATAGGAAAAAAATAAGCGAGAAAACATAAGCAGTTATTTAGATAACAATGAGGTGAACATATTGATACATTAATTTACATTTCGTGCATGCAAACAATATTATAAAGTAAAAAATATTAGTGAAAGGTAATATTGTCTGTTCGTTGCATAAAATTATCCTGATCTTACGAAGTAACTTTTAGAATTAGATATGTATGAAGGTCCAGTAACGCATATCGGTTTGTGAAAGCACTACAGTACTACAAAAAAATGACTCCGGTTGTTACCATGACTAACGTAGATGCTGTTTAATTTTTAAGAATATACTATATTTAGCAATAAAAATAGAGTTAATGATGACACAAGGAAAGAAAAAGACGAAAAGAATTGATTATTCTCTCTAACTCAACTATAAGTAGATATCTGTCTAGTATGAAATTAAAGCGTTGCTATTAGTAAGTTTCTGGTCACCATGTGAAAATTAAGTATTCAATCAGATGTATAATAGATAAATAATCATAATCAATCGAAATCTACAGTAGGCTAATTATCTATCTGAATTTGATCAAGTACAACAGACACCTAACGTTTGATTGTAATGTAAATGCTACATCAGATTAAAGCGTAAGCATGATCAAAGGTAATCCAAAAAAAGTGATCCAATACTGCAATCGTGCGACAATATGCGAGAAAAAGAGTGTTAAGATCAATTACTTCTAATCAATTTATCGTGCTGTAAAGCTTCTATCACAAATCTAATTGATAATATACGTTAGCTTACTCTAAAGTATCATTTATTTTAAGCTTACTAAAATACTTAACATATTTAATCTGGAGAGCATAATTAAGTAGATACCATATTACGTTCTTATGTCTTTCTATCACATCAAAAATACAAGCGCTTTATTGCAATTTTTTTTGTTTAGACTACTAAGATGATTTTTAGCATGAATCACAAGTTACGACTTCAGTGAGTGGAGGAAAAATCAAGGTTCAGGATCGGAGGGTGTAAATAGAATTTGTGTAGTTTTTTACAGGTAGAGTAACATTTATAGTAAAATCCCACAATATACAGTACCTTTATAGATGCGTCCTTTTATGAGTCTAATTGTAATCCGATTATAACTAATGGGATTTGTAAATTATTGCGAAGCCGACATATTCCATTGAAATTGAATGAACAGGCTCGCAAAAAAACAGTAAAGGAAGCTAAACTCCCTATCGGCGCAATGGCCTTCCTTTCAATCTTTGCAATAGATATGCATATATTGTCAAGGACTACGCTACTAAAAGAGAGAAAACCGGGAGAATAAAAATGGATCGTTTCCGATTCAATAATTAACTAATGTACAGGACCATTACTTAAAATTAGAGTTGTATCCGTACATTGTACAGACATATCAGTGGAACAAAAACGCGACTTGTCCATCTTTCAATACCTCATACTATACTTATTAATTCCAGAAAGGTTAAGTTGAAAACTATTGGTGTAATCTTCTCCATCTATTTTGGTGTTCGTAAATAGTTACGTAATGTACTAACTATTGTTAAAATCTATTAATGCCTCCTTCCGTTAATTGTTGCTGAAAGTGGCTTGTAGATAATTACTTACGCGTTTATATAGATATGAAATCACATGATTAACGAAAATCTCGCCTAGATAGATCTACAGTAAATTATGATTGAAAAACGTTATTCTGACACAACTCTGTAACCCTTTGCTCCATGCTGTAGATTTCAATGCTCTATGATATAGCAAGGATAGATTTCTCATTAGTTATAGAATGACCATTGAACTAGATTACTATGACAGGTGAATTTCGACATCAGGTATCTGATAATTGGCTGAAAAAGGTTTAATTAAACATTTACGAATGCTATCTTTCGCAGTAGGTACTATCACCTTCAGATGATTATAATTAAGTATTCAATAGATTCCAATGCGTAATTTGTAAGTTGTATCAAAGTATGAGTACAATAATATCTTGGATATTAATGATTCTAGCATCATAGCAGTAATCTATAACTGTAATTTGTATTTCATATTCAGCTTGCTAATAGTCTACAATTAGCAACAACATGAGTGCTGGTACTTTAACAATGTCTTAATATTCTCCTAAATTTTTGTATTTCTTTTAGCGTACGTACTTTTAATGTCTGCTACTAGGATTTAACGATATACAGTTACTGGTTACGAGTACGTAATACGTATATATGACCTTTTTGCAAGATTTCTTACAGCAAATACAGAATATGGAGATGTGTTGTAGCTGTTATATCAAGTCTTTAAACAAGCACTAAGTCAATTTACACATTATTGTTATTGTTGTAAATTTAGAACAAGTTGAAAACAACAGAGATATTGAGGTATAGTACAATAATTAGTATTTTAGATGTACGATTTATCTATGAATACACAGATAATATTAAACTTCAGGTCAATGCCCATACATATCGTCATAATCTCCCCAAATATAGTACAAAGCAACAGTTTTGTAATACTATGTGTATTAATTCTTAGCCATATAGCTATATAAACGTCATTTAATCTTCAAATCAGTACTAGTTCTTTAATTCCCTTCTTTAATTAGTGACTGCCTATTAAATTTTACTACTTGTGAGCAGTCTAACCTCATGCGCGTTATACAAGAAACACTTGGACAATATTACTGCATGATAAAAACATTTAAGTATCATTATAATAATAATTAATCATGAATGAAAGCCCATAATAGAGCTGTGATAAGCAGTCAATTAAAAAAGTGTCATGAAGATGTTCAGTGTTAATTCCATTGATGGTAAATGCTTATGAAGTAGTCAATCCTTTCTAAGAAGGGTCCTGACACCATTTCTTCAACTAAATCATTAAAGCGATGGAACAAGACTTGAACAGTGTAGTAATAATAGAACTTTACTAAGTATGTGAGTTTACGGTTAGCTGCTAAACTACAGTATAGCTCTATAACATTTTAGGACTTCATATTGGGGCAACAATATTCGTACGATGACGCATAACGTTAAGCCTTAGTTTAAAGTAGGTCGCACAATAGCGTCGGTACTAAAAGTAGCTCATTTGCAAGTTAATACGTTAACATATACATATGCATAGCGCAAACAATCCCTGTACAGAAAAGGTATTGGTGCCTAATTAACTTATTCATTCTGTACTACTATATATTGGTGTCCAAAATATCTAGCTTCATAATATTTCCACTTCAGTATTAAAAACCTCCACCAAATGTCAAAATGAAAGCAATCTATTTTTAACGTTATTTCTTAACTTACGAATTTATGTCAAATTGTAACAGTTATCTGTTTATCAACGCTATCCCAGGCAAGGTATTTTATCACACTATTCAGCTTACCTCCATCAACAGGAAATAATAACTGGGGAATATCATGCCTTCCATCGTGGTTAAAACCATCGCGTATTTCATCCAATAGTCCTTCCTAATCGGACATTTATGTATTCATATATCAATGATGTTACACTAGGGTAAATACGCGTGATCAACAAAAAACAAATTACAAAAATGATTGTTATGAAATAACAATGAAACGATGTTGATTGTTCAGCTATATGAACATATTCAACACAAGTAATCTAACAAATCTTGGAGTAATCGCCATCTAGAATTTGCATGGATTAAACAAATTGCACTACACTTACAAGTATAACATGAAACAGTGCGTTTTAGAATCTATACATCTTTTCTAGTATTTATCAGTATGAATTGATACAGGATCAAGGCACACGTACTACCGTAGGTAGATTAATTATTAATCGTTGTGAGTCATAAAATGAAATAATGATGAATTCTTTTATCATAAGCCCAAACGTAGTGTCGTAAATAGCGAGAATAATTTATATCAAAATAGTTAAATGACGACTAATTCTTATTACTTTAAAGTGCTTCGGTAAGAGAACGTTCTTACTGTTCGTTAAATGGACTCATAGTGGTTAGTTACCTTTGCTATTTTTAACGTTTTTGAAATTTACGCAACTGATTAATTAATTATTAATTCGAATTTTCAATAATACACCGTATGATTAATCTTCGCTATAATTAATTAATTGAATCGGTTTTCAAGTGTATCGTATTTTTGTACGCTTGATGCTGAGTCGCTTAATTGCACTTCATATTTGATAGAAGCCCAATATCAGATAAAAATTATATTATTGAAGCGATTGAGCATTAAGAAATAATGCATTTTAGATAAAAGAAGAATAACGTTAATATAAGATCAATACCGCATACGTGCAAAATATTTTAATTATTTCGCAAGAAAAGTCGAAAAAATTTACGTTTTCTTAGGAATAATTACTTCTGTAAAGCTTTCGTCAATATATCATTAACGGAAATAACTTAACGAAAGAATATACTAGCTAACAGTAGCTCTTAGAAAGTACGCATATTGTGATATTGTATTCTATAAAAAGAATGATCTGACTCCGATTGCAACGAATACTATTGATTCAAGCTAGTAATTAGAGGATAAAATTATGATATTTATCGACTCAAACGCGATGAATTCAATTCCTCATAGAAACCACATTATCAAAAATTTAGCGTGATGTTGATGAGAATATATGATAAATGGTTTTAGTTTACTACCCACCTTAAGATCTTCTTGAAGACATTTTTGAAAGTAACTGATAGGGTTTGAAGGACGATCGTGAAGAACTTGTCGGAATAAGGTCTAGTAAAAGAATAATTTTAACCTTAAATGTAAAAGAATTTTTAGTAGCCAGTTCTTACGTATGTTCCTAAAGATCATACACTGGTAAAGGACATCGTTATGATCGACAAAGTTTCTAATATCATTACAACCCTTTCGGTAGAGTTGAACCGATAGAATACAATTTTTGGCAACCTCTTTTGATAGGAAAGTGCAAAATATTTTATCATACGAATAAGATGGTATATAAGTTGTACTTGTTTTCCTGATATGTTCACGTTAATTGTGCCGTATTCTTATTTATTACGTATGGCCAGCCAGATCAAGTTTATTATAAATAAATATAAGAAAGTCTCAAAAAATTACAATACAGTAGTTAAACCATGAACAGTACTGGTTGTACTGTAGTATACATAAATACATAAATTTACGTACAGTATTATGGATAGGTACATCGCGATATGTTAAGTGTTTAATTGAGTGAGTTTTCTTGATTTTGTCATGAGCTACTGCATTCTGTAGGTAAATGACTTGCTTGTGAATAAATCAACTAATTCAATGAATAGTTAGCTGCACATTAGCCAAATAGGCTTAAGACCTGGTAATAATTAAGAAGTTAAAGAGTAGTGTAAAGGCGACTTGATATGAGCCGATCTGAGATCACCGTAAAGCGTAAGCATTATCTGAATAGTCAAATTGATGCGCTATTTGAATTCATTCGATAAGATTTACCGGTCGTGGATCTATTTTGGGGTCGTAACAATTCCTCTATTTTTCTAATACAAATTGAACTTTCGCAAAAGAGTGAACGTAAAGGTGAATAGCGTGTAGAAAAGGAGATTTAATAGTTCTGTACCCGATCACCAACATTCAGTTTGTCAATACACTACACCATTTAATCTACCTACACATGCAAGTATCGGTTTTCCTGTGATTATGAACTAGGTCTGTGTTTAAGTCACCTACAGTAACGTAATTTACGAAGAATTACAACTTTAGCGGACTAGCAATAAAGTACCTGATTAATTTAATATATAAGTCAACTATCCAATCGAACTGTACAGTACAGTAGTATAGTTGTTAAAAGTTGCAGCTCATTAGGTCTTACTACGGTAGCACAATTATATCAGATGAAAAGAATTATTTCTCTTGCCCTCTAGTTAGCATGCAGTCATTTTATAAGATTTACCCAAGAAATTATCCAATGTATGAGTATAGTTTACATTGAATAATACTTTGTTGCCTCTAGTAATATATCATTTCTAATTGGTATACAGTATACTGTAGTATTTGCTAATAAATACAAATAAGTTTACAACCGGAGTCTCAAATCATAATAACCTATTTATATTCAACCGTGGGATTAATCGTTCTTGTTGGCTACTGCCACTGTAATAACTACGAATTAACAATAAAATCATAATAATATCTTGTCTAAAAGCGCACATCTGTACTAACAGAGGCAAAACAAGATCTTACTTAGAGAAAGCACAAGAACAAAAATGTTGTCAAAAAAAATGATACTGAGCTGCAACACTGAAATTGTACTCGTATTCATGAAATAAGTTATACGATAGCAAAATGACGAATAACTACATCCTGTAGGTTGCTCATACTAGCAATTGAGTAAGTGTAATGATTTGTACGGATCAAAAGATTAAACTTTGGTGGCAAAAACAGAATCTTTCTAGTATTGCCCAATGATGTGCTTGATTTCATGTAGCAACGCTAGTATCTACAGTACAATAATGTCTTAATTAATAAGAGTAGGTGCAGTAGAAATTTTGAAATAATGCTCCAAGATAATTACCGATACACGACTATTGTACAGTGCACCTGGATTTTATTAATGGTATTATTATTATAATTTATTTAAGCAAATGTACAGTATAGTAAATGAAAGCTAACGAAAGTGATTTATTACTTGTATTTTACTCACAAAATGGATTCAAAACTTTGGATTGGATTGAACTCTTAAACTATTCAAGACAATCGTTTTATCACTGTAGCAATAATTATTTAGTTGGCTGTCCACCTTGAACCAAATTTCGCATGGGTCTAACTGCTATATTGTCAGCGTTGACGCAGATGTACCAAGGAATTAGTAGATTGTTAAGTAATAATTAATTGATTTTACATTAGTCAATACTGTTGACAGTATCGAATAACTAGTAAGAAGTGATTTGTATCGGATTGTAATTACTGGAGGATTGTGGTTATGCCTCCAAAACGTCGAAGATGAAATAGCAGATAGGAGAACGTAATAAAGATTGATATGTATAATCATCACGGAATTTTAATCGAATTATGGATAATTCATCAGTATTGTATAGGTAGACAGGGGATTAATCAAAGTATCTTTTTTCTATGCATTATAAACACAACCACTTTAGAATAGTGAAAGAAGAGCAACATATTACTGTAATTGATCATATCGGTAATAGGATATTCATTGAATGACAAGTACCATTTTAGAGAAAAGACATTCCTTAATTTAACAACAAACTTACTTGTAGAATGCTGCGTATCTTGTATTTATCCAGGTATTCTTCATCAGTTAATGAGCTGGTGTCAGTCATATTGTTTCCTTTGTATTTAGACTATTCAGTATGTTTTAAAATTGGTTGTGAGTCTGCTTATTCCAACAGTATTTTGTCGTGCTATCAGATCAAGTAATGGATCAATTAGTTAACCAGTATAATAAGCCAAATAGAAGGTATCACAAGCCTTTTTAACAATTTTTCAAGACAAGTTGTACAACACTATAGAATGTGTTCAGTATTTCCCCCCCCCCCAAAAAAAAATAATAATAATTTTCAATAGGGTGATATTGGATTTTCATTGAGGTTCAACATTACACTTTTCTATTTGATATCTATCGATTTCATGGCAAAATGAGGAAATTAAAGTAATGTACAGTGTATAGCAGTGCGTCACAATACTTCTTTCCAACTGATGTGAAATTTTTCCTTGATTGGTACAAGATAACACATTGCCCTTTCCATTAGCGCAGGTCGTTTATTGCAATTAGTTTGTCGATCGTAACAATACTATTAACATAGGAGTTAATTCATGTGCATGGTGTAACTGAGGATCTACAAATCGATGGCAGATCTTGATTTTAACGAAATTGATTATGATGTATTTTACCATTTGTATTTTGTACAGATGCATTAATCGATCATTATTCAAGACGTAAGCACGTACGCTAGTACTTATCTATCGTTCGTTATGCGCTGGATTTGATACATAATTTATCATTTTAGTTGTCCAATGGATACATTTCCGACAGCACTAGTCAACTGACTACTGTACAGTATGTACAGTACCTGGTATGAAATGATTCAGGATAATTCAACAAGGATAGTCATTACGGAAAGAGAGTATCCGTTAAGCTAGACAATAACGAATTGAAAAACGGCTACTACTACTGGTCGATTAGTGGAAGTCAAGCTATACCAGTATAGTACAGTATATACGTTGGATATGTATGTGGATAGAGAGAAAAGGACAGTCCATGTTGGATCAGTTATATAAATAGTATCAGTTTATATATGGTGTACTGCGGTTAGAAGAGGCGATTTGAAGAGTCAAGACTTGGCATCTGTGTTTTACCGTCGATAGAAATTTGCTCAGTTCATTAATTCAACTACACTGTCTGTCATGATTGACTTGTCCATTACAGTAGCATTTCTATTTTAAAAGTTTAAATTTTTCCTTGACAGTACTGTACGCTGGACATGATAGTCGATTGTCGTTGGTGCCTATTTCAAGTGGTTGAGAATGATGGCTGGTGAGTCGAGTTATTTCTCGAGGGCATGATAAGATAGAATGGATTGGCTAGTCCTGCAATCACTGTACTAGTACAGCATAGAGAATAATCGTTTGTGATCGTAGCTGATCAAGGTTACAAAATAGTAGATTCTTTGCTTTACTCTACCACGATAGATCAATTTACATGTTATTTTCTGTCGGAGGCAGTCGAGAGCTGCATGTCCATTTTGCGCTGACTTACCTTTAATGACACAGTCGGAGTTGTCACTGGCAATGCATGAAAATTGAGCTGGTGCACCAACTTGAAATCAACTCTTTGCCACGATTAATCGATAGGATTGAATTGAAAGATCCACAAAGTAAATCAATACTGTGTCGAATAGGCAAAAACCAAGCAATCCAGTGCTATTTTCACTGCAAGTTGAGCATTAATTTCTTTTGCTATTTTGTATTTCAATTTTTTTCCCCAACGAGGTTGTCGAGAGTGCACTCAGTAGCGTCATCAATGCACGTCTGAGTTGGCTGCTTGAGTCGTTGTCCAGTTGTCCGCACAGCTGCAAGATAAAAAACCAACTTGTCGTTGATTGGTTGAGGCCAACGCGAGTTGTATGACTCGCATCGAGTGCGTGGTGGATGCAGTCAGCCACAGCTCCAGGACAATGCTCGACAGCCCTGTCGTCTACAGTGTATCGTACTGTAGAGGACCGGACCACAGTTCAAAGTGCGTGACTTTGCATTGTAATTTCAATTTTTGGCAGAGTCTGATACTCAGGGACGAGTGACTGCTGACTAGCTGGTGGGGCTAGCTTTTGTTCTTCGATGCATTGTCGTCGTCCCGGTTGAGTTCCACCTGCGTCGTACGGGCCTAATTCAAACGTTGACGTACAGTATGAGTCAACAATCGACGGCATTGGAAGTGACCTTTTGGTCAGTAGTGAACTGTAGTCAACGCTTTAACAAGTACTGGCGTTGCGTACGCTAGCCGACTACTGTCATTTCTGCATGTAAAAAAATCAATCAATCATCAAGTCGCTTCCTCTCCTATCCGTATTCAGTCCTGGTACTTTGTTCACTGGGTACACTTTCAATGCAACGATATCTTATGCAGACTATCAACATGTGTAAAACACATGTCGCATTGAACGTTGTGCCACGATGCAAACGTCACGCTTCAGTCAACGCACGACATCTGTTTTCCTACAGTACACCGATGACAATACAGGTACAGTACAGTATACTGGATCACATACTGTACAGTACAGTACAGTACACTACACTGTACTGTACAGTACAGTACTGTAGCCTACAGTATACTGTACGAGCATAACTTGTATACTGTACTGTATACGGGTTGGCGTCAATCACTAAGAGCAGTCAGCTACGCATGCTTTGAATCGAGTCTGTCACTCTTTTAACTAGTCTATGATTAATTTGGACATGCTATTGCCCATTTGCCCTTGGCTAGAAGTCGTAATATTTTACAATTTCGACCACAAATGTCGTCCATTTTTGAACCCACTGATCTACCTACTGCTACAACTGTAGGTACAGTACAGCCATTGCATGCCTCTGCAATTTCATTTGCGATAAGTGAATTGAATATATTCACCAATCGTAGAATGGACTTTCCATTCCATTGGTAATGGGACGGATTACATTATTATTATTATATGTAAATCATCTTAGCGACAGTCATTGCGACAAGAGTCCTCCCATATCGGATGGTGTTCTGCATGTTGACAAAATACCTTCTTAGACGCAAGAACGACTCTCTTTGATTTACTCCTCTGCAGACGTCAGAGCCAACTTGTCAAAATAAACATCTAAGAATGCCTATTATTTTGTTTTTTTTAAAATAATGCCATTCCGGCTCAGGATCATAATGTATTGTATAGGTAGCGAGTCTGATCAAGAGCCGGCAGCAGCGAAGAACATAACTCATTGCTAGCACAGTAAGTACATAGTCGGAAAAGATAATCCTATTCACAGAATAATTTTAAATCTATCACAAAATAAATATTGCGTCGTGACTACCGATAGCACAACGAGGAACAAGACATGAAATGAGCTTGTTGAAAGTATATTAAATTGATATGATAATTTGTGTATCGCGTAAAATAAGAATTGTTCCTCGCTAGAAACAGTAGTGGGTTATACAATATAAACTGCAACATGAACAAACTGAATTGTAAACGTTTTCCTCTGACTGCGTACTCGTGCAATACATTAAAAATTCATTGACAACGTCCCCACCAAGAATAATAAACGAAAAACAACATTTATAAATTCTAATAACGTTGGTCCAAATTTATAATAGTAGAACGTGGAACTAAACAAAAGTATCAAGACCTAAGAATAATTTGATTACACAAATAAATTTATTTTATAATCGATTAAAATACCTGTACAAGTGTGCTCAATAGGGTAATAGCAATCTATTTATAGATTTGCCCATCCATCATTAACTTATCGTCAATACAACAGGTTCGATTTGAAAATGACAGATATCTCTGATCAAAATCGATCAATGTACAGTTATATCACCTTGCTATAAACACTATCAATATACAGTTAGTACATACTATGCTATACAGAAATATATACATCGTCGTCATCTTGTTACTTCATCTAGAATTTGACTTGACCAACTGTCGATACCAAGACGGCGACTGTTTCTTAGTCTGTTATAAAACAAGCGATGATATTAGCATTCACGTCACACAAGGCACATCATATTAATTACACGAGTAGTTTGCGCTTACTGCATGCTTAGTAAGTGTAGCAATAGCTGAACATAAATTAATGTCTTCAATAAGGTGCAATATGTCTTATATCATTAATATATAATTAAAGGCCCATCAAATTGTGTCAGCGAAACGTAAGCGTTATAACGCTGATACGTATGTCATCCTAGTAGTAACTTTAATTTCATAGATATTTATGCATACATGCAGATGAATGTAATACGTAGAACACTAGATAACAGTTCAATGGAGCCCTTCAAAATTTTAAAAGTATCCGTATCTTATACAATGTAAACTGCTCACATACAAATAAGGTTGGACGCGGCGGCAATTCGGAAGATTGGGTTGATTCTTGATTCAACGGGGTGGGGATGCTAGCGACATTTTCAAATCCATGATGCTGCCGCAAATGCGTAATTATGTCTTTTATAGAATTAAGTTCCTGAAATTGAATACATTTACTTAGAATAGTAACCAATTATTGCACCAATAACGCTATCGTGCCAAACACAATGCAGACAATATTATAGACATTTAGGCGACAATAAGTTTCTCTGTTATTATGCTACCTTTCTATTCAGCAATAATCTTTCAAGAGAACTACTCAATTGATTTTTTTGCTTTAACAAGTCATTCTTTTCGCGCACCAAGTTCCTGTTAAAAGCAGAAATATTTGTATTGGTTAATATTGTTGCCATCTCTTCATTACCAATTAGAAGGGCTAATTAATCTTATAAGCTTACTTGGTATCATTCTGTAAGTTGGCAATTAATTTCTTATGAGTTTCTATTTGTTGATCTCTGGTTTTTATGCTCTCAATTAGATAATTATAAGGTTGTTGAGCATCATTTAATAACTTGGTACTATTAGCCACCTTCAAGGATCGTAAATTAAGTGTTTTAATTTATTAAATACGCAACCACAATGTGAGCTATCCATTACTAGTTTAACTGGAATAAAAAATTTTGGGTTGTAACCTCATCGCTTAATTGCTCATTCTTTATTTGATAATTTTGTAAATCTTGTTTAAGTTTGGTATTATCCTTCTCTAGTTTTAAGATTCTTCTTGCCAAATGAACACTATAACAATCATTTGTTAACGTACGCAAAATGAAGTTTATATCCTGACTACGCAATCTAGTAGACTGTAGTGAATATCAAAGATTACAATACCTCTGCTGTAGTCGTCTTTTTGAAGAGCTGGGTATGTTAGCGCCATAGCCATACGAGTATAAGAGCTGCTCAGCGTCTGCCTCATCAGCCACTGTAATAGTAATACAACATAAAAAGTAACCAATTATGACGAAGAAAGGATTTCTTATACAAAAATTGATGAAGTAATAGAGAACAAAATTTAGCCATTACCTTCTGCTGCCTGCATGACTACTTCGTCTAATTCTTTCTCCAATTTTTCGTATGTTCTTAATTTGCCGTTATTGTCGGTGACTTTTGTCTCCAACTCATGAATACGCTTTTCACTTGATGATTGAAGTGAATATAATTCTTTGGTAAGGATCTGTAAAATAAGTATTATTACAATCAATTATACATTGTGTATAATTAACTAGTAAACGAATATTCACTACCTCGTTTTTCTTTCGAAGAAGCTCAATCTGGTCTTTGCAATTGCGTAAAGACTTTAAATTCTCTTCATAAATGAGTTGAATGCGATCCTTTTCAAATGATGATACCTTAGCTGCAGTTAGCAGATCATTTAATTTTGTATCTGTATCAGCTTGCTGTCGATGTAATTCTTTTAATATACTTTCATAATTTCCTCTAGCCTCCTGTAGTTTTATAACGAATTACATTATACGGTAGTTAAATTTCGGTATGCAAGGCGCGTAAAATCAAATTAATTTAGAAGCTTACTTTCAGCTCGACGACAAGGCGATCTCGCTCATGAATTGCAATTTCACGAGCTTCACGTAGCTGCCGACCTTCGCGATCGTATACATCTCTCGTTGTGGATCTCAATCTTTCCATTTCAGCTTCAGTTTGACCTCGTAGATTCTTTAGCTCAGCTGCTAGACGCTCTTCGTATTCTGTTTTATATTGTTCTCTAAGCAGTTATATTTATAGAATAAAGATTTGAAATGTATCTAGCTTCTAATTTATATTATAATTAATTCAAGTATGCTCTATAACATAACAGAGTATTCGCGTATAAGAGGCCATTGTTCAACAATCAGGTCTATTCAACATTATTATTTTTACAGTATAAAATACCTGCAAGACATATACTTTTCATACAATTCTTCTCTAGCACGTTTAGCCGTAATTAACTGCTCATCCAAAGTTTCAGCTTTTTCTTGACAACGAGAGATTTTAAAATTGGCTTCATTGACTTGTTTTGTAAGATATACTTTGTCTTGCTGTAAAATGGCTAGTGCTTGCCTACAACCTGCCAACTATCCGAAACGATTGAATGAAAGAAAGAATACGATCTAGATCGTTAAAACATCCTAAATAGATAGATTGTATAGTTAATTTTTGCTCTAAGATGTTTACCTCTTTGCTTGAATCATCTCTTTCCGTTGTCCTAGCATGTAATGTTCCTTCCACTATCGATGCTGCATTTCTTAACATCTGTACTTCTTGCTCAAGGGCTCGCTTTTCTTTTTCTAGCTGGTCAAATGCTACTTCTTTATGGGTTATGGCTTTTATCTTACTCTTAAAATCCTCATTCTCTAAAGTTAACTTTTGCATTTGGATATTCATATCTGTCTTTTCATTACGTAGTTGATCGCAGGTATCTTGCAATTGGAAAATTTGCTCCGATTGTATACGATTCTTGTCATTTAAATCAATGTTCAAGGTTTTTATTTCATTGATTTCTCGCCTTAACGGTCGGATTGCTTCAAAAAATTTAAGCTATGAAAATATTGTAGAAGCGCAGGATAGAATTGTTAATGCGATTAAAATACAGCGCTAGTGGGTTGGGTTATACAACCCCTTAATAATGCTACCGTACTTCAATTACTACTGCAACTAGTTGAAACGACTACAACCGCAAAACAGGCGTAATAGCTATCTTGACAATGTCTAGTTATGCATTCTATCAGTCATATTTTTAGTGGCCTACTTAATGTCTAAACAGTTTATAGTAGCAGTATATCCTGTGCATATGAAGATATCGCTGCAGCCTGACATCTTTCAACCGTACCCGTCTATTTATCGAGCCATCGACAGATGAAACTATAATAGGCTATTGCACATAAAATTGCAGTTACGTAAAACCTACCACTGCATAATGAGGTAATGCCAACTCGTGAGGGTTTTTGTCGTTTAAATCATCATATAAATGTTCGAAATTATCTATATTTGATAAGGTATGGCGTATTTCACCAGAGCGCGTTTGTAATTCTAAATTAGCCATTTCTAGAGAGCGTTGTCGCTGTTGAATAACTGCCATATTGTCGGTCATTTTTTCAGTTCGATTCTTTGAGCTATCTTGCAGCATTTGTAATTGCGCTTCCATTTGGGCTTGAATAATTTGTTTCTGATGTAATGCTTCGCCTAATCGATCTTCTAAATCGTCTATTTTCATTGTATATTCAGATCGAAGGTTATCAATAGTAGCACTCTTTTGCGACAACTCTAATTTCAATATCTGCAAGGTATGCCTTAACTCTTTTCGTTCTAATCGTTGTTTGCTGATTTTCCCGCCACTTTTGGCAGGCTTTCGATCGCTATCTTCATTTTCCGATGACGATGACGATCGATAAATAGAAGCATCTAAACTGGTGGATAGTAAATCATCCGTTAAGATTTCACTGACTGAAGCGTTAGCAAAGCTACTATCCATAGCGCATATTTGTTTATCTTCAATTCTCTTCCATATATCGTATCATTCTCAATTGAATTCTAACTGCTACTATGCTTAATTTTGTGAGACGATTATATACTGTGTTGTCCCGTAGTGGCTTTACTCCGTCAGTCCGGTTGGTTGAGTCCAATCGTTGCATACTACAGTTACTGTGCTGTCCTTTGGCCTGGGTTCTACTGTATACTGTTTTGTGGGGTACTCGCTTTGCTCCGTCAGTCCGGTTGGCTGAGTCCAATTGTTGCACACTACAGTACTGTACACTGTACAGTACAGTCTGTACTGTCCTTCGGGCTGGCTTATACTGTACAGTACAGTACAGTACAGTACTGTACTGTGTTGTCCTGTAATAGCTTTACTCCGTCAGTCCGGTTGGTTGAATCAAATCGTTATGCCAGTAGACGTGCATCATCTGTCCGTACGCACAGCCGGGCACAGGGCTCCACTGATGGACTCCATGCGGCACTGAATCAGGTGGTACGGTCCACAAGTGAGACTGGCAGACGAGTACAGCACTATAGACAGTATAGAGTAATGAAGGCAACAAGTAGCACAAAGCGCGCAAAATACGGTACGATACTATACAGTGTACAGTACCCTGTGTTACAGTCCATTCCTCGCCTGCTACAGTAGAAAGTACAGTACTTTCCATGGATTGGAAGTCCATGGCTGACGCTTGGTACTATGGATCGTTCTTCAGTCAAGACCAATCATGCAGTTGCGGCACAATAGGGTATTGTATAGACTCAAGTGTACTGTACAGGACATACATATGCATTTGAAGTTGATAGTAAAAACGAAGTTGGCGCATATTCCCACTGTAGACTGTATGAAAACGCTGCTACATTACCCTACTGTACGTTATATACTGTATTTCTGCAGATAAATACACCCGAAAAATCCATCTTAGTCTGGTGGTTACTCAGTCTTGATCGATTTTACAAGCACGCCGAGAAAATTGGCCTGCTAAAAGTGGATTCTAATATTAATTAATTATAATATCCAATTGTAGACGTTTAGTGGAGTCTATCAGAAGGAAATCATGGTCAGTGAATACTTGATATGTGAAAGATTTGTTCTGTTGACTTGCAATTGAAATCTTGTTGCGTATTCTGCATGATTCAAATGGTATTACTGACCGGTTATTTTGCACTTTTTTCAAATGGTAGGCTCGTAATGCAGAGAAAGCAATGTAAGAAATTATTCCTTATGATGATGGATAGGATATGTATTAGTGTACCTTATCCATCATCCATGGATTTAATACTTTACTGAATAAGGAGATATTCATGTCTACAAAAGGATTGACGATGCTGTACACTTTAGTACTACAGTTGCTTATGAGCTTGCCTTTTCCACTTTAGGTCAATGTTGTCGCGCTTTCGCGCAGCCAAAGCAGCTGAAGACAGCAGAGGAATGAAGGTACTCTTAATATTATAATAACTGAGTAATAGTGCTGATTAATGAGTTATAGCTTTAATTATTCTACTTACTCTATAATATCGTTTGACTCTACTGTCAATAAAACTCTGCTAACTAGACGTAAAAAAGGGACGCAAATAGATTGGCGTCTTAGACGGAATTCCACTATTATGCTAAATGACATTTTACATCACACAGGAGCGAAGACCTTTTCTTGCAAGTGATTGTGATGATTTACCAGCAGCCGAAAAGTGGAGACGAGAAATTATCCGTGAAATAGCAAAGAAAGTAGCCCAAATACAGAACGGTATCATCCTATACCTTAATAGACAACTTTGCTAAACTATACATGGCTTAGAAGATGCTTATAGTCGAGCTAATTCTTATTCATACCATTGATCAGCTGGTCTAGGAGAATTCCGACTTCGAGATTTAAACGACGAAATTAATAAATTACTACGAGAAAAACGATATTGGCAAGATCGTATCAAAGAACTAGGAGGCCCAGATTATGCGGTAAATAGACCTTGATTCTACTGTACTAATCCTATACTGCATTTAGATATAAAAGACCATGATTGTTCTCCTACGACAATAGAAAGTGGGACCGAAGATGCTCGACCGCGAAGGCAAAGAAGTTCCAGGCAATCGTGGCTACAAGTTGGTCCTATTTTATTTTACTTATTAGAATTTTCCTAAGGTTGTGAGAAAATTACTGAGGTCTTACTAATGATATAACTCTTATTAATAGATACTTTGGGGCAGCAAAAGATTTACCAGGAGTTAGGGAACTATTTGAACAAGAAAGTAATCATATTGATAATGTTTATACCTATGATTTTTATAGCATAATTTCAATTGATGATAACTTAAAAAACCTTAAATATTTAAACCATGATTACAGAACCTGAAAAGCCAAGACGTACTAGAGGCGAACTATATCGTCATGTAGATGCTGATTATTATGGCTATCGTGATGAAGATGACGGCGTAATTGTACCATTAGAGAAAGAAGCAGAAGCTTCACGTCAGTACTAATATTTATTGTTCTGTCACTAAAATAGAAAATGTATCCAACATGTATATGTATAGGCTAATGCGAAAATTCTTCTTACAGTTGTCGCTGCGGCTGTAAAGGAATGGAATGCCATGAAGGAAAGAGGCGAAATTCCAGAGGATAAAGAAGAACAAAATATCTATGCCGTCGCAGATACTAATGTAATATCAATAGATTAATCACTAGCGTAAATTTGTAGATAATAGCAACGAGTAGTCCACCAATTTAATATTAAATTTTGCGATTAATTAAAAGGATAATGATAATGGCGAACAGAGTAAAGATAAATCCGACCAATCGTTTGCAGTACACGTTCCTGTACCGTCGCAGAAAGAAGTAATCTAATATTAATATTGTAATTGTTAAAACACATTAACTCTAAAATTATGTGTGCTGCTTACTAAATAAGTGTAATTATCAAATTGAAAGGTTGAGGAACTACTGGTAAAGAGGAAGAAAATGGTGCGTGATAAGTCTAGTTTTGATTAGATCTCTTCTTTATCTGAGCTAACGTGAATAATGCCAGTATGAACAGGAAGAACGCAATATAGATTTAATACGATTATTTGCATTATCATTACATAGTCGTAGAACTCTATAGGATACATGATAAGATGGTTTTAGTATGTTCTGCATGTCAAAGAATGGTAATAGTTTAACTTACCTACATCTCATTTCTCATTCAATTGCAGGAACTATTACACAAGTATAGTAGTGATACGCTCCTAGCTAATAGCAACGAAGCAAAAGTTCTTCTTGGACTTAACTAAGCCATCGGTTATAAACATTATCTCTTGATTGCAAATATTTGCGGTAACCTGGCGTGTCAGGGCACACGATACATGGATAAAATATAACATTTGGCTTGAAAAATATTTCTAATACCATACAACATTAACTTTTAAATGTTCTCGATATAATAATTACAAGTTCGTGTTAGAATCCTATTTAACGAACAGTACTTTGAATCCATAAGGTTTGCACTTACTGTACATCGTTTTTATCTGTAAAAGTACCTTGATATCAATATTTAATGTCATGATATGTAAGATTCTAGTATTGTTTAGTCGCAGTTCATTCATATGTAGTGCACTGCTTGCAATTTATATGTGCTATACATTGTACAATAAGATCAGTTCTGTTTTAATAGAAGAATTCAATTTGAAGGTATGTCATTAAGTAACAGCATGCCAAAATAATACTGTACAGTCCAAAAATAAAGTGATGTGATCGATACGTACCTTAAACTAAAGTTGAGGTGCTAAGTATTCAATGTATCATATCGTTTGCTTTGCTCTTTTAGATATAATAATGTAATTACCCATTATTTTGAAAAATTGCGCCGAGGTACACAAGAATAAAAATTTTAATAAGTTACCGAAAAGATTTCAGGCTATGTTGAAAAGTTTTAACATTTACCGTCAATTTCTTATCAACTTGCACTTATATTGGCGTGTCGACAAGGTTTCACTTCGCTTAAATTTTTTTTTAACTATCAGCGTATATTTAGTATTGCTATTTTAATCGTTCTCGCACTGAAAAACTTCCACGGTTTTGAATAAAAGTACTATAATGTTCATTTGCAAATTAGGGCTTATGCAACATCACTTAAATCCACCGTATCATATTAATTAAGACTAGCAATGTTATAGAGTTACTTTCAGAGTTGGTTACCTTTTGGCTTTGACACTCCAACGCACTTTAGTGACAATAGCTTCTACAAATCTAGGTTGACTTATTTTTAATGTGTTACTTATCTAAATATCTACTATATCCTCTACGTTCAATAGTGAGTATTGATCGCAATCACTTGCGGATTGGAAACTTTTATGAAAGTAATACGACTATGTAGGGTCCAATAAACAAAATTGCTTTCAAAAAGATATAAAGTTCATAAAGATTGGCCTGCAATTTAGTATGACATAATTTAGTATAATTTTACTAATCTGTTATCAAGATGGTATTCGTCCTAATCGTATATTTAAAGTGAGAAATTTATAATCATCAAACTTTAAACTTGTAACCAAGTAAAGTTATCAATTCAATTAATCTCTTGTTAAGATGATACTGGTTCTGATCGTACATTCAAAGTTAGAAACTTATAATAACCATCAAAATAAAAATTTCTTACCAAATTGAGTTGTAAATTCATAAGGCGAACTTTATATTTTATGAATACTTAGATGAATAGTGACTCCTTTTTTATAAGACATTCTTAGATTTTTAGCATTGTAACTAAAGAGTAGAGCCATCATTATACTCCATATTATGGAGGAAAATAGAATCAGACGTATGCTTTAAACATAATATGTATAAAAACATCTTTGATTTTTAAACGGCATAAAACTGCATGTCGTGATAACCATCAGTATTGAATTGAATTTATACTTTTAGTTCGCTTTGGTCTACTGTAAGTCAATAAGCTTGACATATATTTTATTTGAAATGGCTTATATAACAATGTAAATTACAATTCACTAAAGTTCGAATTATTAACGTGAAAGTGTGTTCGAATTTCGTGGTAGTCACCTTATTCCCTATGCTGGCATTATTTACCGCACTGCCTTGCATAGTCCCAATAATTTGTCAGCTTGATCTACTGCAGTTCTTTCACATTTTTCAATCCAACGCTTTCGTAATGTATTATACCCATAATAACATCCGGCAATAGCTTCTGCCTTCATATCTATAGTATCTGTATCACCACATAACGATATTGCATATTCAATCACATCCAAGAATGAATTTTTTGACTTAAGAGCCATACATAAAAAGGTCATTAGAGCAGCTGGAACAGATACAATTGCGGCGACACAATTACCGAAAGTTCCACGATGCATAACAAATACAGTATGCTCAGTCCAAACTGTTTTTTAGTGTAATAGAATCAATTAATCGATAGAGAATATCGCTAAAACTCGTTATCTATATAAAACTTCAGTTTTAACAGATTTTGAGTTTTGTAAAATTCGATACATTCGAACTAGAGACTCTAACTTGAGCAACGATTTTCCATACTTATATCACTCTTCTTCAAATGTGCTAACCTGTAGTTATCGTTATATAAGACGGTAACGAGTGATAAAAGGAATATAAGGATATTAGCATCAGTATTTTAATAGCTACATTAAGTTACACATAAATGGTTGAGTGGTATACTATATTTACACATTCTTTTCCCACTCATCCATTATTTTCATAGCTGCCGTGATTTTCGCTGGTAAGCTAAATTCAATATCTTCCATATAGATCAGTATTTTATCAAGGTAAACAAAAGCATCAAGACCTCATTCAGCATTGATTGCTAGGCTCTCACGAATAGCTAACATTTGCATGATAGCTCCGTTTACACCATCAGGGTGCGTATGAGTAATTCTAGAGGTTTGAGCGGCTAGCTATACATAGAATGAATCAATAATATATTTATTACACATACTTACAGTAAAGAGTAAAGTATAAAAAGCAATGCGTTGATAGTTAAGCATCGTCAATGTATATGTACACCGTACGAAACTATAATTAAGAAAGTGTAGAAGACAGCAATATGCATTTGTTCGGATTTAAGATCATAAAATATGTTTTATTTCTAAACGAAGTTACATTCTGCCATAATACTTAGAAGAAAAATGTAATCGTGCAGTATATACTATAATACATGCATGCATACAGTGTATATTAATATTTCTACAATCGAATATATTATTTTTACTAATAAAATACATTGTTGTATGTTTAATAGTAGTATAAAGTAAAGATATAGAGAACTTTTTAATTGCCTTTATTTAATTACTCATTGATTAATTATATAACGAAGAAGCATATTACAAGCGGTACACCAATACCGCTGTTACTATCAAATGTTATTAAGAGTTTTAAAATCTCTTTATTTCGCTTAGTAAGGTTCCGTAGTATATTATTCGTTCAGCATTCTCAGTTAAGCATTTATGATATAGTAATATAGTATATAGCGCAGGATTTGAACGGTATCGACTCCTCTTTATACTGCTCAATTTTTCTAACTTTATACAGTAATTTTAATTTCGCAGTGAATAAATCTTTTATAGAAATATACAGTACAATTTATCGTATTAAACACATTTACACGATAATAACTTGCATAACAGTTGAGTAAAGTAGCAGCTTAGACATGTATACATACAACATAGATAAGGCATAATAGTTGATTGAAATTAAAATTATGTTACTGTTTGAGCTTCCTCGATGAAACTCTTGTAATTAAATAACCCAACGGGAGCAACGCGCATCGCAAAACCATTTCCATATGAACCGCTACAGTGAAATTATTAGCTAGCAGAGCCTTCTGGATCAGGGTAATTTGATACTCATAATGTATTAAATATAGTATTAACATGGCCTCCATAGTAACGAGATGGATCTTGAAAATATTCTTTAGTAAATCTTCTGGCCATATCACTTCCATTAAAGCCATTGTCAATTAAATATTCAAGAAGGAGTTGTATAGAATAGTATCGTATAGTGTCAACATAAGATTATACTCGTTTATAAACTGGTAATCTAAGCCAGATTATTGCATTTATTCTAAGCCCTTCTATCATTAATAATTATAATGCTATTGTAGCGTGCGTAATCAACACTTACTTTATTGAGATGTACAGTTCCACTCGACATACTATTACTGTATTTCCTACCACATTACTACTGTAATTAGCTGAAATCGTAACAAATACTAACCCATGCAGTCTGTACAAACAGACTTATACCAGAGGCTACTAAAGAAGGAACACTGTACTACTGCATGTGCATAACTGACATTTAGCAAGTGCTAAGATTAGTACAATACCTACAGTATGACTAGAATAGCTATGTTAAGAAACTACAGTACAATGCTTAATGGTTAGGACTTTTAAGTGTTAGGAAGGCTTGTTGTAGATTCTGCAGACACCCTACAGACTATAATCTGCCGTCGAGGGTATAAAAGCCGAGAGTTTTAATGGAGGGAGGGTTACCGGGTATAATCTGCGGTCGAGGGTATAAAGATTGGGAGTTTTAGAGAGGGAGACCTGGGATATACTATACGATAGGAGATGTTAGGAGATTACCTATCAGACACCGGCGAATCTGCTATCGATCTTATCATGACGGTAGCATCTACATGCAAGCGTATTGCTTCCTCTTTGTAGCCCTTACTTATAAACTTCTGCACCATTATGGCTGACATAAATTGAAATGAAGTGTCTTCAATTTAGCACCTAAGCAATCGCCAGGTACTACTGTACTCCAACTAAACTGCCACGAAATTGATCGCGAAGTCAATCAGATGCTGTTTGCATCTTTGTAGCCATTACGATATTTCTACTCGTTTGCTTAGTTTACTCTAGTGATCTTGTCCGGATGACGTCATGGTTATCACAGCGAATGCTAGACATATCTATTTTATAAGTAATTGTACTGTATTCTAATTGAAAGATAATCAATTCATAAAATAATAATTAATAATTATAATAGCTGATAATAACAATACAAATATCGTCACGTAGTTGTTTCTGTTTAGGCTTAGCTGCTACATAAGCAGTCGATAATTAATAGATTGCAATTACTGAAGGAAATCCAGTAGTAAGTTTCCTTGCAAGAGCCATCAACAAATTTACTTCTAATGTTAAAAAAGTGACTATATCACTCCACGTTTTGATGGATATTCTTCTATACTATAATTATTCATTGCATCTGACTCATATTCTAATTATTGACTATGCTTCTATGGCCGATTGTTGTGGTCATAAGCCCATAAGGGCGTTTATACCTTTGTACTAAAATCAACGGGCCCCGTAAAACAAAAATCACTTTGCAAAATTTGCAGATTTCGTAGAATGTCTTTACCAAATCAGCCAATAACTTAACCTAATTATTATGAGAATAGTGTTCCATCCCGCTACTTGTTCATGATTAGAAATTAGATAATATACTTGTAATTACAATTGTTGCCAGTAGGTAAAATTGTTTATTCTCTACGCGAACTGCATTTCTCGTAAGCAGTCAGGCTTAATTATAGCTCGTCTATCGATTGTTATTGTGATACTTCATGCTAGTATAACTCAATTGTATTTAATATGGATGTATATGAAAAGCAGCTTTGTTTTTACTAAGGTATTCAAAACTATATGTAGCAACAATCATCAATCAATATATATTTATTTATCATACTTAATTGAAATCGTCATGTTTAGAAATGTTTAAAATAAATAAAAATTTTTAATGACAGGACAGGTTAAATGCAGTTGAGGTTTTACGGTAACTGTGTAATTTAAAACTATATTCCTATTTCATAACACTTCTCAAATTTCAGTTAACCTTTTATACAGTTCATAAGTTGGTATTATTTATCGTGTTGCATTACGTAGTCGAATAATTTATCGGCTTGATCGAACGCATACGTAGTTCCTTCACATTTTTCAATCCAACCCTTTGGCAATAAATTGTATCCGTAGAAGCATCCAGCAATAGCTCCTGCCATCGAACCTACAGTATCTGTATCGCCAGCTAAAGATAATGCATACTCAATAACATCCATGAACGTGTTATTCGGCTTACGAGCTATACATAAAAAGGCCATAACAGCAGCTGGAACTGCTTCGATCGCAACTATACCATTACCAAAAGCACTACAAGATAAGCAAAAGTTGCAATATTTGGATTTAAATTTTGAAGTGTAAAACTAGTTTCAGGTAATGGATAGATAATACAACGAAATTTAAAATTTATTACTTGCACACAACTTCACGTTCGACAGATTTTGATTCCTGTAGAAGCCGATACATTCTGACCAGAGATTCTACATAAGTTAAGCAACGATCTTCCATGCTAGTATCAGTCTCTTTCAAATGCGTTAACCTATAACTGTTATTATTGAGACAATAGCAGGTCATAAAGAACAAACCATGAATACAAACATCTGTACCTGCAAGCTGTATTAACTACAGCATGTGTGGATAATTACCATATACACGTATACTGCATTTACCTATTCTTTTCTACTTCATCCATTCCTTCCATAGCGGCTGTAATATTTGTGGGTAGGGTATGTTCGATATCTTCCATATAGATCAGCATTTTATCAAGGAAAGCAAAAACATCGAGATCTTGGTCAGCATTAAGCATGAGACTTTCACGAACAGCTAACATTTGCATGATAGCTCCATTTATACCATCGGGATGTGTATGAGTAATTCTAGAGGTTTTGGTCGCTAGCTGCGTACAGAACAGAGAAATTACTTTATTAGTTTAGATAGTAAATTATAATAAGCCATGGCGCTAATAATAAACAGAGCTAAATTAACTTACTTATTTGTAAGCTAATGTGAAAACAATTAAGAGTTTATATGATGTTAATATCTATCTATTCAGATTTTAGATCGCAAAGTATGTACTGTACAATCGCGGCGGAGGTTTAATATTGGTACATTATTTTATATCCCAGTAGGCGTAGTCAATTCTGTACAAGTACATTAAAAACGACATAAGTTACATCGTTATTAACAAAATCCAGTACGAGTGTTAAAAATAATAAATTTTTAGTTCGTTCCTGAAACTTCTGTTATGTATCAGTTTGTAAATATTTTCTGTTAACTACAGCTTATAACGTTAAGATAGAGCACTATTAACTCTTCGTTAATCGTTACACTGCTTCGATTTCCCGATATTGCTCACTACATTTAACTTTGCATTGAAATAATTTTCTCTTTAATATGACTTATCACATTGCAGCTGAGATAAATTATTTCCCTACATAACAACCATGTAAGATTACAGTCTGTGTGTGGATAAGAAATAATACGAAAGTGCAGCAATTTATTCAAATTACTGTACCGTTTGAGCTTCCTTGATCGAACGGTTGTGAGTAAACAATGCGACGGGAGTAACACGCATAGCAGAGCCATTTCCATACGAACCACTACCATCAAATTGTTGATTAGCGGGGCCTTCTGGATCAGTATAGTTCGACATTTGTAACTTATAAAAAACGTCCGGAACATGGCCTCCGTAAAAGCGGGATTGATCATTAAAATATTCTTCCGCAAATCGTTTAGCCATGTCAGTTCCATTGAAGCCACTGTTAATGGCATGATGAGATCGGAGAATTGGTAAATTGCAGAATCGCATTATATAAGAGTAAGAGTTATCTCTATTTCTATTATAGAAATATTACTACATGGCACAATATATTGTACTGTGCAATTAGAGAACACGTATGTTAATAAATTTACCCATTGGATAACAACGAATCTGCAAGCGATCTAGTCATGGCGGTATCATTCGTGTATAAGAGTACTTCTTGTTTTTGATAACGTTCACGCGTAAATTTCCGAACTTTTTCCAATGATATGAATCGAAGAGCAGTATCTTCAAAATTTGCCCCAAAGCAATCACCCAATACTGCTCCCACTAAACATCCGCGAAATTTATTGCGAAGCCGATCTGATGCTGCCTGGTCCAAGTTCGCCATTACGATATTCATGTAAAATACTTTCTCAGTTGCATGGTAACATTAATTAAGCTTTTAAGCCTTTCATGGCTAATGACGTCACAACACCTTCAGTTGCGTAGCTACTGACTGCTAAAAATGGAGATCTTAATCATTCTCATACTTTTCATACTTTCGATAGACTTGTCCAACCTGCAATAACCAACTGATTGGTAGGTTATAGTGAACTTGAGATCGCAGCATTTCTAGGCTAGCTAGCTTCTTTATGGAGTAATTTTTGCCTAGCTGTCGTAACATAGTTTCCATAAGATAACTTATCTAGGAATGTGTTTATAGTAATTTATCTATACCATTTTACATATTTTTAATAGATACCAACATACTTGCATAATATTATCTAAAAAGTGATAGCTAATGTTTATGTATATTGAGTATAATTGAACGATTGACAATTGTGACAATGAGCTCGTAGTACAGTAGCGTATATTGTTTTCTGTGACAGTTCTACTTTTTCTCGTTATAAATTTAGAACACGCCATGCAAACCAGACTATTTATTGCGTAGTAAATTAAGCGAGAAGCTATCCGTTCAAAGTAGCATTAATTATAATTATAATTATTATTAGCTCTATAGAAGACCTTTTTTCAGACATGATCTGTAAAGTTACGGCTGACCAATCACCGTGCACATCGATCGATCCATACGTTTGTATTGCAAAATGAAAGAGTGTACTGTACTGTATAAAATCAATCAAAATAGTATTCTATGGTGCCTGAAAAAATAACTGATCACTAGTGCAGGGTTTTAAGAGCATTTCTACGTAAATTAAGTTAAACCCCTTAAAATAACGGAGCAGAAGTATAAGGAATCATTATCCCTTTTTAGCTACTAACCAATACAGACAGTGGGCAGCTTAGAGTAACAATTGCCTGAATAAGGTCCATACTAGCTACTGTATGTCAATAGAATACTTTTCATTTACTTTTTAAATCAATTTATATAGTTGATTAAATTTCATATTACTAAAAGGTATTCTAAAATACTATGTTTATCACCAGTATACGATATGTGTTCAATGTTTACATTTAGGTTAACGCAACAACGTAAAGTCCGGTAAAATTAAATTCGATTGCTAAAATTTGCAGATTCGTTGGAAGATATTCGCCTTGTGTATAATTAATCGTTGTTAGAAAATAAAATAAAAGATATTGGTATCATGGCCTACCCTACTCCTAACATGTAAAATTGTAAATTATTTACGTGAACTGCACGATATTTTATGAACAATGAGATGAAATGTTAATAGTTAAATGTCTTCTAGTCTACATGACTATCTCAACGATTGGAATTTCAGAATATAATTATCGTGATACTGCATGTCATAGTAGAGATGCTGTATGCTTTAAAGTCGTTATGTCTAGAAAAATGCTTTCATTTTTCTGAATCATACAAATTACAAGCCGTGATGTTCATCCATCACACATTTTGATTATTTCATTTAATTAAATCATCAAGCTTGATGCGGTTTTAAATGGTTAAAGGTTTATATAACAGTACAGGCTATAAATGGCTAAAGTCCTAACTGATAAATGTATAGCGCTGCACTGCGTAGCCAAACAAGTTATCTGCTCGCTGTAACGCATATGCAGTTCCTTCACATTTTTCAATCCATCCATTGGGTATTGAGTCGCATCCATAATAACCTCCAGCGATAGCTCCTGCCATCGTAGCTATAGTATCTGTATCGCCGCCTAAAGATATTGCATACTCGATTACATCCATGAATGAACTCTTCGGCTCACAAGCTATACACAAAAAGGCCATAAGAGCAGCCGGGACGGCTTCAATGGCAGCTATACCGTTGCCAAAGGTTCTATAAAGTCAAGTATTGTAATAGTGCATTAAGACAGACCGCAATATCTCAATTAAATGAATCTCCCAATAGCTATAGGTAGAGAATTAAATGCCATAAAAATCACCTATATACAACTTCAGAGTTAATAGATTTTGATTCCTGGAATAGCCTACACATTCTAACCAGAGATTCTACGTAACTTGAGCAACGATTTTCCATACTAGTATCGCTATTTTTCAATTGAGATAACCTACGACTACCGTAGTATAGACGATAACAAGAGATAAAGGACACATTTAAGCGCATTAAGTCAATATAGAATTGATAGTTGCAATTTAAAGGCCGCATTAGTTATGCTTGAATAAATCTGTGATATACTATCTTACGCGTTTTTTTCTGCTTCATCCATTCTTTCTATAGCTGCTATGGCGTTCGTTGGTAAAGTATGTTCAATATCTTCCATGTAAATCAACATTTTATCAAGGAATGCGAAAACATCAAGACCTTGACTAACATTTAATATGACACTTTCACGAACTGCTAACATTTGCATGATAGCTCCATTTACACCATCAGGATGTGTATGAGTAATTCTAGAAGTTTTGGCAGCTATCTGCAAATAGAAAATAGGACGTTGTTACTAGTTATTGTTGTAACGATTTTGATAGTAGATTGAACGCAAATTATCGATAATAAATAACATCAAAATCAGCTAAAAAGATATTGCAGTTATTTGAAAGTGTTAACGTACGAGTACTATAAATCAGTTAGACGATAGTAATAATCATTTATTCAGATTTTAGATAGTCTATATACGTTTGTTCTCAAGCGAATCTTCAGATTGTAGCACTATTCTATATGCAATAATTCGCTGAATAAATGTCTATTACCATAATAGAAATATGTTATTACATATTAAACGAATCAGTTACAGTATATCTGCCATTAACTGAACGAAAATAAGTCTTGAATAAAGTATAAAAACAACACAAGGCATTGCAGCTAATCGAAATAACAGTACCGTTTGTGCTTCCTCTACGGGATCATGATACGCAAACAACGCAACTGGAGCCACACGCATAGCAGAACCATTTCCATATGAACCGCTACCATCAAATTGTTGGCTAGCAGGGCCTTCTGGATCAGCATAGTTAGAATCTCTTAGTTTACTGAAAACAGTAGGAACATTGCCACCATAGCCACGATATGGATTGTGAAAATATTCTTCAGTAAATCGTTTGGCCATATCGCTTCCATGAAAGCCACTATTAATTAATCATATGCGTACGCGTATGATGAGAAACACTAGTACCATATTATGTCAGGATAGAATTGAATTATCTATCCATATTGAAGGTATGTTAACTTTATTTACGACTAGAGAAATGATAGGGAATTTACTGTACTTCTTAGATAACAGCGAGTCCGCAATCGATCTTGCCATGGCCGTGTCATCTGTGTAAAAGAGTTCTTGCTGTTTTTTATAGCCTTCACGTGTAAATTTCTGAACTTTTTCGATTGGTATACTTTGGAAAGTATCATTTTCAAATATTGCACCTAAGCAATCGCCCAATACAGCTCCAACTAAACATCCATGAAATTTATTACGAAGCCGGTTGGAGGCTGCTCTCGTCATTGTTACCATTTTGGTATTGCTGCTAATGCAGAGATTTTTAGTATTGATCCAATTCTAAATTATTAAGTATATATTATTTATATCCTTCTATTCATTATTATTTAGAAGTTTCACAAGAGCATAGTTCTACCTTTAGCAACGCAGAGCAATTGGTCTACACATACCTGTGCGTTGCCAACCCTGCAGCAATGTTATTCCTGCTAATGATTTGCAGTTGTTGTTCTTGGTCGAATTCAACAGTCTGTCCGTGTAGCTGGTTAGTTGCAGCATGAGATTAGCAAACGTAATTATAGAATTATTATAAGAATTGAGCGATGAATGAGCTGGACTACTAGGCAAAGACTTGCGGTACTTCTGTGACAGGTTCTGTCCAGCTGGCAGCTGCGACGATCATTATGACGTCATTGCCATGCAAATAAAGTTTTTCAAGTTTATAAGTAGTTGGCTGCTAGTAGATGCAGATTAGCTATCAAGGCCGTAAAATCTGATTGCAGCAATCGCTGATGGAGTGTTACCACCAGGCCAGTAAACAACGATATTCTATGGCCTTAAAAAGTAATCCTACGATAGATTTCGTCCTAAAATAGCAGCTTCAATTCCTGCAAAGCTGCACCAGCATACGGTCCGGACCATCTTATAGCTGCACCGTAATAATTAATTTGAACTTCAAAATGATAAAATTTCTTATACACACACAAGACTGTCATAACATTACAGATTTATAATGTTTTCATTCCTACATCTATTATTTTATACACTTTGATTTATTTATGCGCCAACGTGTATTTACAAATTTTACTGATAAATTTGTGTGTTATTTAAACTTTTATTAAATATTATAGTACACTCCTTGTACAGTATACCTTTATTTGAAAGATGAAGGATTGAATAGTCAAGCTACAACTCTACAATTTATTACCAAATCAGTACTGACGAATAAAATTGAAAATTTTGACCGCAAGCTATGTAATTGGGAGTAGTTGGAAATATATTAATTCCTCATCGGTTATTTGCAATTTAACGTAAACTTGAGGATTGCAATAGTAGAGTTGAATTTTTATTACACTTTATATCATAAATGTTGTGAAATAACTAAAAATAATACGTTTTAAAAGCATTTCCTAGGGAGGAGCAAATTCGGTTTAGAATCAATCAAAGGTCTCAATACAGTGCATGTTTACTATGCCAATTAATAAAGTCGTCAGGCTTGATAATATTTAAAATAGTTAATAGTTTAGTTTAAATAATAATAAAGATCGCAATACGCTAAGTTTCCAATCGCTCAATTTAAAATATAATCCAATTTCATGAAATCTATTCTATTTCAGTGAATCATTTATGCCATCTATAAGTAGGTATTATTTATCACGTTGTATTACATAGTTGAATAACTTTTCAGCTTGATCGAACGCATACGAACTCCCTTCACATTTCTCAATCCAATCCTTTGGTAATGAATTATATCCATAATAGCCTCCAGCAATAGCTCCTGCCATCGTGGCTATAGTATCTGTATCGTTGCCTAAGGCGATTGCATATTCAATTACATCCATGAACGTATTTTTCGGCTCACAAGCTACGCATAAAAAGGCCATAAGAGCAGCGGGAATAGCTTCAATTGCAGTTATACCGTTGCCAAGAGCTCTAAAAGATTAAGTGACGTAACAATGTCCTCAGATCGCAATTCATCAGTGTAATAGAATCAATCAATCAAAAGATAGGCAATAAATGGTATCAAAAATTTACTACCTATAAACAGACTTGGTTTTAACAGATTTTGATTTTTGTAAAAGTCGATACATTCTAACCAGAGATTCTACGTAAGTTGAGCAACGACCTTGCATACTGGTGTTGCTGTTTTTCAAATGGGTTAACCTATAGCTATCGCAGACGATAACAAGTCATAAAGGGTGTATCAGAAATATCAGTCTGTACGATTCAAAAGTTACATTGATTAATTCAATCATACATGAATATTAGACTGTATTTACACATTTTTTTCTTTTTCATCCATTCCTTCCATGGATGCTGTGACTGTGGTTGGTAGAGTATGCTCAATATCTTCCATGTATATTAGCATTTTATCAAGGAAAGCATAAACGTCAAGACCTTGGGCAGCATCCATTGTGAGGCTCTCACGAACAGCTAACATTTGCATGATAGCTCCATTTACACCATTAGGATGTGTATGAGTAATTCTAGAGGTTTTGGCGGCTAACTGCATACGTACAGAATAAGAAAATTAATACTATAATGATTTAGATAGTAAATTGTGGTAAGCAAGGCAGCAGAATACATACTGTAGTGTCAATAGCAGTTTGAGTGATTAGCACCACAATATAAATATTGTATAATAGCATATTAATGTAAATTTAGCATTACTTGTACTGTACAGTACTGTATGAAACGTACTATGCTATTTAGCTACGTCTATCTATTGATTATAAAATTACTGTCTACTCTCAAGCGCTAATTAACTGTAAAGAACTTTTACTTTCATATTTTCGTTATGCAGTCCAATTTGCTGACCTTGTACATGAATTTTAGCTATGAGTAAGTTAGCTTCTCTGAATTCACTCCAGGTTTCGGAGTGAATAAGAAAGTTGCAAAATACTATTGCAAAGTATTATCTACAGAACAGCTGCGTAGAATTGCAAGCTGAACACAAGTGGAAAGTAGTGCAGTTGATTAAGATTACAGTACCGCTTGAGCATCCTCGATGGAAGCATTGTAAGCAAATAATGCAACAGGAGCAACACGCATACCAGAACCATTTCCGAATGAACCACTACCATTAAATTGTTGGCTTGCAGGGCCTTCCGGATCAGTATAGTTAGAAGCTTGCAGATTTCCGAAAACGATGGGAATATGCCCACCATAGTAACGAGATGGATCATGAAAATATTCTTCAGTAAATCTTCTAGCCAAATCACTTCCATTAAAACCACTGTTACAATGAACAGTAGAGATGAGTAGTTATACAGAATTGCATAATACATAACAATACGATAAAATTTTATTAGCGCCAACTATTAGCTATAGGACTGGCTAAGTGCCTATAGTCACCTACTACTTTACGTATAACGTACTCCTAAAGATGAAAAGCAACGCAATGTATAATTTAGGGAAACTTTAGGAAATTACTAGTTCGATAAGAGTGAGTCTGCAATCGATCTCGCCATGGCGGTGTCATCAGTGTACAAGAGTATTTGTTTCTTCTTGTAATCTTGACGTGTAAATCTTTGGACTGAATCTAACGATATAGAATCAAATGGAATATCTTCAAATGGAGCACCGAAGCAATCGCCCAATACCGCTCCAACTAAACATCCGCAAAATTGATCGTAAAGTCGATTTGAGGCTTCTCCGGTGTTGCCATCGGTGTTGCCATGACGGTGTAGTGGTGAAGATTTTAGTATTTCAGATTCTTCTACTGTTCTGGTAAGTGTACAGTACGTATAAACGTGAATTTTGAATATCTATTTCATTTCCTTCGATGGATTGCTATTTACCAGTTTTGGTTGTGACTATCCTAGAAATGTTTCCAATCTATTTAAACGTACGGGGGAGATATACAGTATGCCAATAAGGTCATGGGTACTGCCAGGGTGGGATGATAGCTGAGGTTTTGTTTTCTCAATCGCAGTCATGGAATGAATGTCTGTAGGAATTTTATGACGTCATGTACGCTGATTTAATTTAATTTATGTAAATCATTAGTACTTCTTGTAAATACTTTCCTATTCCTTCATAATTATGTGGATTTACTTAAATAATGAATTCATTACTTTATGATGAATAAGAGTTGATCGAGAGACTGCAGGATAGTGTCCACTTTGCTTCAAAAAGTAATGAGGGCAAGAAATATATATTCTAACTCATCGAGCCCGGTAGCCCTAACTGATTTGACATTTGCAAAATATCCTCCTAGCAAACATAACAAATGACTTGAAGCAATTAGCATTCTGATTTCAAGTTCCCATTGATGAATGGAATCAACCATGGAACATAGTTCAGTATCGCAGAAGTGACAGCAAAGTACAGCAAAAATAGTAGTGTCTCAGTAAAATTGAGAAGCATAAAGAGGGACGCAAAACGCAACCTGCAGTGCAAACCCTTTTGGGGGTTTTAGTACTGGATCGCATGAGAGAAAAGCTGCTCGTTCTGCTTACTCAGTACCTGGCCGGTTGAGAATGCACCAAGTTATATAAAAGGTCAATATTAGATAATTCTTTACTGAATGTGTGTCGTAGCTATCTAGGAATCTATATTAAGTTAAGATAGTCTAGCTGTCAATTTTCTTTCAAATTGATTGCTTTGCGTCGATTAGGTTGGCCTTTCTTTGAAGGGGCCATTTTATTAGCGTAAAAAAGTCCAAAGTGCATAAACAATGCATTAAGAACATAGTGTACAGCAGACGAGCGCCTCTCTACTGCTACACTGTATAGACTGTTGGTATTGGCTGGGTACTGTCTGTCTGTGACTAATAACACAGCCGCACGTCCGTCCATACGAGTCTAGCGAGCAACGTAGCGCACCAGGCACGTTCCGTCCGTCTGTCTTTCCATTCTCAGTACAGAACTGGATGAGGAGTGTTAGCAAAAGAGGGATATAAAGTGCATACTACAATATACAGTATGTTGTAGAATAGAGTAAAGTGTAGTCATATGGCGGCATTCTTGTCTTGGGTTGCGAAACCAAGACATCGCTAGAGCGGTTTCCTGCCAAGTGTGGCAGAAATGCATCAATCAAAACTCTATCCTAGTACAGTATGGGCCGCTAGTCCCCATACTCACTCAGTGCAGTGCATAGCCGAATACAGACAGACGGCAAAACGCGCACGGTACTGTAGCTGCTCGGGATACTGCCGTTGTACTGTACAGTTCTATACTGTACACTACAGTACAACGGTACAGTACAGCACCGTCCTCAGTAAATGTACTGTAGAAACTGTACTGTAGTAGCACACAGTACTGGAGCTGCGCAGTCGATCATCAAAGTTGGGTGGAACGGCAATGGCTTCTGACAGTTTCGAAACACCTATTTCCGATGAAGAAAAGGTTAATCATATTGACTTAATTCATCATAATGGTCTCTTCCTACGATTCTTATTTTCATAAGACCAATGTGTTTACTTGTATGTAGTAATTGTACAGGTTTATGCCTTTCAATGACGCTCAAATGCTCTTGCTATGATGCTGGAGTTGAATCTTTTTGTCACTTTCTCACCTAGCGTCTACAGTCTTTTACTTCCTGCTTTACAACCCTTTCAACGTAGGAGATTTTAAGCGTGGTAGACTACTCGCGGTCAATATCACTTCTGTCTTAAGTGGTCCTCCATGGTTGACCTAAGGTTAACAAAATTACCGCAGCGGACATGGAGGGCTGCTTGGACAATATCGATCTTGCACCAGGATTTATCTCATTTTTCTCCTAAAGGATAAGATCGAAGTTCAGAAAAACTCCAACCTAAATCTTCACTTCTATCCAACGCGTTGTCATCTTCCATTGGGAGCATGTTACTTGCAGTTTAATATGACTTTCGCTTTGTTTATCGTTGGATTAAATTTTAATTTATTTGATTACCAATCAATGCATATTTTCTTTTGCAATGACTTAATCACGGCTTATGGCTGTTGTTGCGACTTACTGCTTCATTCCTACGTCTACGCACTCCTACTTTTTGCACTCTACAACATCGCGTAACCGTCTTTATAGTTGACACGCTGTAGCTTTCATGGATTATTCAACTCGCTCTCAAGATCGACGACCGGATGATTACCTTGAAGTCATGGAACATCATCGTGTTTAAATCACAATATGCGATCGATATATTTGAATATAAAAGCTTTGATTGCGATTTTCAATGCAATCATTTTGAAATTGAAATCCTAGCACGATCGTCCATCCACAAGTGCTACACGTATTTTGTTTCATTTCAAATTCGTGTGCGATAATCGCATTAGGGTTATCAACGACTTAATTACTTGCAAAGACAAGATATCTAGAGTTACCATTATCCCTATATTCGCATCAAAGATAGAGATACGAACCTTTCATAACCTTAAAATCAATCCCTAAAGATATTTTGCCTCTTTAATATATTGCATAGTATTGATATTGTTGGAATTTGGACGTCAACTGCTTCATATTAATTGATTTGAGTTGAATGGCATACATTTCAACTTTATACAAGATCTTGATAACTGTTGATTTAACGTGGATGATTTTATTGAAAATAGAATGCTAAAATTGATCGGCGCTAATTTGATGTTATTACTTTGATTATATATTATCAATGTATCGATATAGGCAAACATCGCTTCAAACTTTATTACCCATGCGCCACCTGGCGAATTTAACGAAGTTTTAAATGGTAACGTTAGCTAATCTGACTTACTTTCTCTGTGCCTCTTTTAAATATTGTAAATGTACATACTGTATACAGTAGATAGGAATAGCGATAGTTTATACAGTACATTAACAATATCAGTATCCATGCTGCTGTGGTGTTGGGTGGTATCAGCCGTATACCACTCTGTCCAAGGGTCAAACGCTTATGCTCTCGATGTGAATTTCCTATTTTAATTCGCTACAGCTGCCTTAACTAGTGGTATTTACATGTTTATTAATTTTAGATGTCCGTATCTTGCTGCAAAATGATTCCATATTGAAAGGTGCTTCTGCAGAGTAAGTTTATGTTCATTATAATTATTAGACCCATTTCTTAAATAGATTATCTATATAGTACGACATGTTTTATACCTTTATTCGTTATTCATAATATCTTTATCTTCACTTCATCCAAAAGATCCTTTGCTTCGTACAACATGGAACAATTCCTCCCTGTAAAGTTGGATGACTCAGACGATTTGGTAAGAGAGTTAAACGATGATAGCAGCAAATAGTACTAATAAAGAATATTGCACAGCCGATTATCAGCAGACTTTTACTTATCGCGATTGATTTATTATACCTTCATCTATCTAACCAAAACGATCAATTATGTGGCGATATTTAGGTAATCGTCAGTAAACATGGACAGATAGAGGATGACAGATTTATTGATCCATTTCAAGGACGATCATTCAAGTTAGATCATTTGCGTAAAGAAGTGACAGACATTCGCGATCATGATATGGATAGCCAAGCAGAACCATACAGAAAGGCAGTTCAAGAAGCTATCCGTGGCTACATCAAGTCGTATTACCCTCACGGTGTTTTTTCTGTATTTGGTAATTCGGATTCAGATATCACCATCGTGATTTGCATTGAAGATCATCATTATCAGGCGAAGAATTACTGGTTTGTTTGACTGATAAAAATATTGTAACTTCTTCATTACCTAGATGCCTCACGATACATCTAGTATCCATTCCAACTGTAATATAGAACTATGTACTACGTATTTTATAGTCCAAAAAAGTTACCTTAGCATTGAAAACTTAAATTTTAGTTACCAAGATCATTATTCTGACTCTACATGAATTGCAATAGGAATGGCCGTTGGAAATCCGAATGGATAGTAACAATTCCCAGTGGTGGTAATTTTGCAACAGTTAAGGGCAGCATTAAGGTTCAGGTAGGGCATTTTTTCTGTTTTTTATGAGCAATCTATAATTTCTGTAAATTTTAATGCCATTTTGTCAGCTTCGGAATTTTAAGACTGAATAATCAGAGCACCTTGTGGTGATACAGCAATAATTAACGGCAATCAGTAATTCCTAATTCTATTGATACTAGGTACACTACTATGAAGATGGGAATGTCCAACTGGTGACCTCCAAAGAACATGAAGATCAAGTTGACGTCACGGTAAATGGGATAGACGGATGTGTATGATATTGCTACTGATAATGAAGTTTATTTCATGTTGACTACCAACCTGGTAAATTGATTAGTCTGATATTTCAAATTCATAATTTAAGAATTTGCAAAAATATAATCTGACTATGTAGACTGAAAGAGGAACCGCTGATAAGTTAGTCAAATTGATAGGAAGTGCTGAGGCTGCATATCAGGTAAGATAAAATTGTAGCGTATGACTGATAAATAGTTACTTTTCCTGTTTTTCATTCACTTTTGGCGTTTTAAATAACTGGATAAATATTACATTTGCAATAGACGTCTATTTCTGAAAATTATAACAATATGTCGGATACCGCATTTAAAGCATTACGTCGGCAATTACCGATCACACGCTCAAAGTTGGACTGGAATCAAATTCTCAGCTACAAGATTGGCAAAGAATTAAAGAATGCGTAGAAACGGTCAATTAGATGGCGATTCAAAGTAGATATGCGTACACTAACACAGGAAGGATATTTACAATTACTGCTGTGTATCACAACATCTATCTCAAGTAAATATACAAGTACACAATAATGTAGCAAATTTGCTGACATCAGTACTTGTAAGAAGCCACTAGTTCATACGATGCATCATCTAGTTGTGTTATCATAATTTCAAAAATAAATCATAAGAACAAAGCTTAACTGTAGGTGATAGCTATTTCAACAATCTCTATTATATTAAAGTATTGCACATTTTTATGTGTAGCTGTAAGATGTTTATCGGGGAGTTTTTTTGTGGTGCTATTTAAAATCTTACCTGAGCATTATGTGTAGTTTCTGTCTTATTATTCATTATTTACTATAGCTATTACAGTACTTTGATTTGTCGTAGTATATACTGCTTTTGCTGTTTATGTAGTTGACCTAGTTATGAAATGGAGGCTGAAAGAACTATCTTTCTAAATTAGCTTCAGTTGTTAAAGTTATTAAAAAATCGCTAATTTCACTTCTTTTATGATTTTCTATTGTAATGCTGTATTTTTCACTTTGTATACAGTACAGGCATACTGTATTGATGATACCTTTTCTGTCAAAATGAATTAAAGTTAATCATTTTTTGTAAAGTTAAGACAAATTTTTCTTGCTGATATTCCATACTACACAAATCTGTATGAAATTACAGGTATACAGAAGGAGTAGTAGAGCGTGCAAGAATATTTTAGCATGGCACATCGTTTTGTCCTGGACTGTACTCAGAATAACTGCCGAGTTATAGTCTAGGGCAAGACAGTGCCAGTGCATATGCGTATACATGATATATATTGGTATACAGCTACTGGTAAATTGATTTCTGCAGTTGATACTTCAATAGTGATCAGGCAAATAAGTTCGATTAATTTTTATTTGAAATTCTACATCCATATAGCTCATATATTTAAAAAGCAGTAATAACAAACTACATGCTTGATTACGATGGAAATACATCAACAATTTGTTGTATCCACAAATAAAGTTCCTTCGTAAGATTAACACAGATTCATTCTTTCAAGGATTCTAAGGAAATGCTCCGCTGCTTCACCCGCTATACGACTTTAATATTAGTAAATATTTATCATTGATGCAAAGTTACTATCTGTCTCATGTAAGGGTAGTTGATACAACTATATTTTAGACATTCTATACAATCTCTAAAATGATTTTTACAGCAAAATAATAAAATGTAGAAATTATCTATCTTAAAGCGTTTAAGAAGTTGTAACCTCAGATGTAATATGATCGTCAAGACAGAAACTATGTCTGGTTTTAGTTATCGATAGAATTTCTTAAAAGCACTAAAGCAAAACTTAAAATAATATAAATATTTCGATCTTTTCACTTTACTAAGCCTTTTTGATATAAGACAAATCATATGATCACCGATATGGTAGTCTTATGTCCTTGTTTCTTCATAAGAGTTGCATTATACCGCATTTATCTTATTACTTTGTAGCGCGTAACTTTAGTATGTTATGGCTTTAAATTATTGATCAGAGAATATATTACGATTGCATTATTCATCGCTTGAATCTGAATTTAATGTATCTGCAAATGTTCTGTCCATAGTCGGGAGCATGGCATGCCTGGAAGAGCAAAAATTAAAACAAAAGTTACTAACACTATTAAGTTGGCTATTTCATCCTGAATGAAAATCCATAGTACGTGGTAATAATATTTACAGTGCCGATATTTCGCTAACTATAAACTTTAACTGATGCTAAGAAATATGATAATTTACTCCCAACATTATAGAGTCCAATAACTACGAACATTCTGCCACAGACTACATGTATTTACGTACTCTAAGAGAAAATTTTCAACGTCAACAGCGTCAAACCGATCTTCAAGGTTGTCTGTTATACGAATAAAATTACCAATCACATTACCATCACGGTATAGAAGAAGCGCCGGCAATCCTCGTTGTGTCTAAAATATACGACATGATAAGCGACATCGTGTATTGCTACGGAAGTGTAATTGATAATTTTGATAGAATAGCCACTTATTTAATTGTATATTCGCGTACAAGATTCTTAAGTATGAAAATATAATCAATTTTAAGTTGATGCGATAATGTCGAAATGTTCCAATTACTTACGAATTCGGCGCTGAGAATAGGTATACCAGACGCCCTGGCATTACAAAATTTGACCTAAAAAAGACCGATACAACAAACGCGTATAGGTAGGTAACATCGCTCAAAGTCTATATGAAAATGATTATGTAAATTACCGTTGTATAATGCTTTGCGAGTTGGTTTAAACAGCTCGTCATGTTTTTGCATTTACGTAAATTCTGCAAGGTACAACACGTAGCAAAGAGTGAGATAAAAAATAACGTAATACGTAAACATTCTTAAATTGTACAGTTGAAATATAGAAAAAACTAGCTGTTATCTATCTAGATTGTTGATATAATTTCAACGGTACATTTAATTATTGTTGTTGGTCTACTGGACGGTATGTATATTACTGATGTGCATAATTAGAGTACAAATGAAAATAATGTAGTAGTATATTTAATCTCTACGATGTTACTAACAAACCCAAGAAATCTATACATTGTTTAATAGAGAAACGGGCGAAATAGCACGTCGGTAAAGGTTTGCATACATTATTATATAAATGTACGATAACCGTAACATTTGAATTTTCTTTGTCGATTGTATCCAAATATTCGGTGGACTTAATTTCGTATAATTTACCAAATTTGGGTCTGACATAAAATTAGAATCCTTAGTAAACTGCAGTTATATCTAAAGTCTTAAAATCATTTGTAACTCATACATTCTGCGCAGAAATGCATACAGAAAGCAATTATCTATCAATAAAGTTATTTTGTATTATTAATACACGTACAATACTGCTGCTGCACCCTTCATTTCCTCTAGTCTTCGTTGCATTAATTGTTTTAGGATTGGATCATTTTCGAAGTCGATATCATCTTCTTCCTAAATGAATTAGCAAATTAGGTACACTGTATCATGGCAATTCATATTTAAATAATCCTTCAGTCCACGATTTTTTCCATTTCAGAGCGCTTTAATTTTATCTAATTAAAAGTAGAATAATCTATTATAGTAAGAAGTACCTGTTGTTGTGTATTGCAAACCATAGAAAGCTTCTTAGCAAGTTCAGCCTTTTCGCGATCATTGTCATGTCTTTTCTCTTTTTCTAACTGTTTATATCGTCGAAAGTCTTCTATTACACCTTTCGGACCAGTCTTGAGTACAGGAAAACATAATTATGAGATATAATAGTAATTTTAAAATTAATGACCTGAATCTATTAGATAGAATACTCGTGCATCGACAATCCTTGGGCCATAAGTTCTACCATAACGGTAATTACAACTCTTTATGGGCAAAGTGCTGATGATGACTTGGAATCACTTAGTAACGTATTGGTGGAATATACTACAGCGTTAAAATTGCAGCACGTGCTAGCAATAAACTACTCAATGCCAAGAGCTAATGATCATAGCCGTATATCGTTTAGCTTAACTTCTACTAGTTCCATAAATAATATTCGGATAGGTAGTGTTACTACACTATGTTAATATGCCATTTTTTTCACAATAACGTATCAGCTTTAGACGTACAAGTGTTGCTTGATATTTTTACTGTAAGTTGCTGTAATACCAGTAATTTACTACCTCCAGGAAGTAAATAGCTACTCAAAGACTACTTTTACATTAGGGAGTCTGCGGTAACTATACTTTATTGAAAATTCAATACACTAAAGGTAATTGTTAGTTATAATATAATTATCAATGAAAGATTAGATATAAAAGTAGTACTGTCTAAACACTCTATCCATCTCCCTATCTACAGTAAATGGTGTATACGATAGGGATGACTTTATAAAATGAAACCACAGTAGCCTCTGATATCGACGTAGACTACAGTAATAACTTGATCACATCCATACGTAGAATATGATCACTCGTACTTAGGAAACTAGTAATAGCAACTCTAGTTCTCGCTAGTCGAGCATTGATTATTCTCCAAGCCAGCTTCATCAACAATGGCGTATTACCTTATCAGTCTTGACGGAATAAATCTCGTCTAGATCAAGACTTGGGTCTTGATGATCACCTTCTTCGTCTTCTTCGCCATGTGATTCTCTCTTGCCAGCCTGATGACCTTCATCTTCAGAACTTGAACAGTAATAGTCTAACTTTTCTCCCAATAGTCTGTCTTCCAAAGTAGCCATCTTGCTAATAGTCAAGATCTCAATCAATACAAAGAACAGTATCCATGCGCATACTGTACTACAGAACAATGCTACAGTCACGTTAATACAGTACATCATACTGTAATATCCGTGTTAGTATTGTACAATATTCTGATTCAAAGTTTTCCTTATACTGAATCAAGAACGCGTTGGTATTGACATCTAATAGACTACATGACCTATGCAAATAGATTGTCACCTTGTTTCATCAAGAAAGTATATATAGCATAAAACTAAACAATAAAGCGGGTGACAGCTATTTTTGCACATTTAATCTCTGATGTTACAGACAGGCGGACTACTCTACCGTATAGTAGAAGACCTTCCGGTCAATGACTGTTCTTTTACAGTGTTCAGTACGCCTCTATAATTCGCACAATAATTTATGTTCAAATGGTGTTTAGAGCTTGTTAATCCACAATTCTAGTAATCACTATTATCTTGATATTGGTCAAGGCGGCGTCAAGCTAATTCATCCCCTCTCCTTTTTAAGATCCAGCTTTGATAAAGTAGCTAATAATGAGAGCCATACTACTACACAGTACCTTTGAGCAGTATTACTAATGTACTAATTTTAGCTAAAATATATACGGCAATTGTTATGTTGTATTTTTGAAAGTAGAAAGTATCGAACTATCCACTGATAGAGTAATTGCAGAGTGTGGCTGGTTATGATGAAACGGCATTCGTACTATGTGTTAAGGATTTCCCCATAAGTGCCAAGACCCATTCATTACAACTGTGTAGAAATACTGTACTCTGTATAGTACTGTACAGTACAATATTTCTTATCGATTTGTTCAAATGCTAGCACTGAGATATACTATAATGTAAATTTTATGTTAAGATTGTATGCTTTTACTCTACAGTATGCCGTAATAATATTATGCAAATAATACGCATTTTTGCTGTAGCCACGTTGATTTTTAATCAAATAGCTCGCTTCAAAGTGATCGAGTTGAAAGTTATATAATGCATTGCATCACTATACAGTCCGCTGAATTTATTTACTGTTAATTTTTAAACCGGCATGCCAATAGTGTTTGCGTAATGTGAGTTAACCGTAGCTATACTTGTATAGTAGCTAATTGTTATGCGTAACATCCATATTTCGGGCTTTAGCCTCAAGCTGTTAATACATACAAGACACTGCAGGACGATCTACAAACTGTCTGCACGTCGAAATTCTTATATCCTCAAATGCACGGACAATGCAACACTTTAAATGTTCTTTCTATATTTATTAATCTTGGTCTAGTTTTGAAATACCACAGCTCGTATATCCTCTGCCACTAATGATATCATAGCGCGTAATTAAACTCGAAGCGAGCTAGTTGAAGCTATTATTTCATTTCCTTCGCACACGTGAAGATCGTCTGCACACAATACTCGCATGTACAGCACTCACTATAAAATAAAATTTAATTTCGATTAGCCATCCACCATTATTGTACATATTCATTCTAAATTGAGTACGGTAATGAAGACTATTAGAACTTATCAGCCATTGGTAATTTGCAAATAGAGCCACGAATAGGCTGTATAAACTTCTCAGCTTATTCCATCATACTTTCACCACAGCGTATTTCATATTTTGTATGGACTCATTCTACATTTTTATAGCATGTACAAGGCATTAACATATTCTTCATGTAACTAATCAGTACTTGAAATCTACAGTTTCCTAAACTTAGATCTTAATGACTATGAAATTATAAATAGATATAAAATGGTGATTGCGTCAAAATAATGATAATACAACAACTTTAAATTGTTAATATCAAATAAGTCTTTAGTTCAGCTTTTTTAACAGTTACAGCCACAAGTATCAACGTTTACTTACCGATACGCAATAATATGAACTAATGCAATAACTATTTAGACTGTACAATTACAAGTATTGCATAGTGCACGGTACACATAATAGAGTCATCAGGTTAGGCTGACTCATCTATATAACCGTAACGTGGAATTGTGAAAGTTTGTTGAACTTACAGGTTATTTACAATAATAAGTCATAATAAATAGGATTATCGCCTACAGAGAATATTATGCAGCAACTGATGATAATAATTTTACTACTACATTAATAACGAATGCCCAAACTTTTGTATGAAGAAATTCGTAATCTTATGTAGTATGGTACTACAGTTACAACAGCATTTTCATCTTTTGTCTGTATTCATGAACGGTACATAAAAGTTATTAATGGAAAAATGACTACGTATATAGTCAAGTAAATAAGTATTAACAGCATAATAATTTGACAACAGAAAGAGAAGCTAGATGTAATTCTACACCAATGCCTAAAACGATAACATTTATATCACCAACATGACTACATAACCATCTGTAATACGTCGATTGATTGATACAGACTTCGTTAAAATATATATATATTTACATGTGCGAATGATATATCAAGGCACAGATGTTTTATATAGATTTCACCGATTACGAATTACTACATATTTCGAGTTTGGTACTTTTATGATAATCAATGGTCTCGTTAACGTTATTGCAATCGAACGTAATACAATCAGCGCAAACGAAAACATCCATAGCTTCTGCGGCTTGATTTGTTAAACCAACACAAAGTATGTGAAACCACTGCTGGCACTTATCACATTGTACCCATCCAACTTGCTCGTCAGACGGACATCGACAATATTTAGCAGCACATTCCGTTTCTGAATCTTCGCTAGAATCACTATCTATTTCTTCCTTTACGGCATTCGGTACTATCGTTGCCGCCGTCACTCTTCTCGGACTGGTCTGCCTCTTGGATTTTCTTTGGTTTGTGCTTATTTCGTTCGAATCCATTTTCCTCAGTTTTATCCTTTTTAATTTTTTTCTTTATAGGCTTCAAGTCTACAGAATCTGCTTTCTCACTAGTTGTATTAAATTTGGTACGTTTATATGCTCTTTTCTTGGGAGTATCTTTCTCTTCACATTCCTATATAATCGTAAGAAATTAATCAATACATTTATTACGCAGTTGCTAAATACTTTTAATTAAAATGTAATCGATAACGGAAAAGTATATCTTACGCCTTCATCATTATCAAGCAATCCAGACACTGTTTGTAGAAGTTGCCAAATTTGTGAAGTTTCATCAACAGAAACTTCAATCAAGTCTCCTTCCATCATTAAGTCTTCTAAGTTTTGCCGAGAATTCCCCAATTCCGCATTCCACTGCAAGACTTTACCGTTTAAAATTAGCTGCGAATTGGAATTAGTACAATTTATACTTTCATTATCATCTTTATGCATTGGAACATCTTTGCTTTCATTGAAAATGAATCCATTTTCAGAAGTAGTCCCCTAGAATTTCGAAAGTAGTCGAATTAGATAAGCATATTCGTAGTGATTATAACTAACTGAATTAAAGCATTAGAAATAGAAAACTTACTTGAGATGAATCGGCACTGCTAGAACACAATGTAGTCGAAGTTTTGGAATGATCTTCAATATTTGTAATATCTTGTGTAGTGCTGTATTTATTTAATAAATCTACAAACTTAGAAATGCCTTTACGAGCACGATCCTGCCAATCCATCGCCCGTTCAGTTAAATGCTGTAATGCTTCCCCTTCTGGCAATCTAACTGGTAACTTCTGCAAAGATGTTAATAAAGATAAAATTCCATCCATCCGAGGCCTGCGCGAGCGCAAGCAAAAAGGACATAAGTACTTCATGTTTCGAGCCATAGCTTCAGTTGACGCAGAACTCCGCCCCATCACCTTGTTTCCTTGCGATTTAGGTAAAGTTACACAGCTAGAATGAAACCAATCTCGACACAAATCACACTGAAACATTAACCCGGATACGCTTCGCCTACAGACACAGTATTCTCTATCATCCGCATCTTCAGCTTTTTGCTTCATGAGATTTTCCATTCGTAAGGTTTTCATAGTAGCTAATTCTAATTTTTCTATCTCCTTATATGCAGTAACCTCTTTCGTATGATCGTTATCCATGACTTCTGCATCTACACTTTTAACATTAGTTCGCACCGATATACTAGAAGAGCTGCTATTGTTCCTTTTCTTCCGTAGCTTCAATTCATGCATGTAATTTCTACTATTGGTACGAGGCGTTAATACCTGTGAGATATTATTGATAACCATTAATAAACTCTTCACCAAAAAGTAATATCGACAATAAATGACTTTATACCTCTAACAAAGTATAAGAAGAGTTCTTTCTTAGAAATAGCCGAGCAGCTCGATCTTTCCATGTTTTTGCTGCAGTTATTTGCGATTCCAGCTGAGGTAGAAAGTCTAATTTAACTGGTATTACACGACCCTTACTAGCTATATCTTCGATAACGGCTAAATATGGATAGTATTTATCAGCCTAGAATAATAACAATTTCAAATTCATTACAACTAATCTCTTCATGAATTTCTATATATTACGCAAGCAATCAGTGTCCCAACAAGATTATATGTAATACTTAAAAAACACCATATATTTTACCTGAATGCTTTCAATTTTATTGTTCCATTCTTTAGCTTTTTGAATTGCATCACGCAAAGATGCTACGTGTGGTAAATAAGTTCTCACACAGGAAGCCTGAGAAGCAATTGCTTCGAGGGCGCTAATGCCATACGGTGGACTAATTAATAAAATAAAACGCAACTTCATATGGTTAGTAAACTAATATAGGAATAATTTAAAAAGTTGGGTAAATAATTGTTACATACTTAGCCAAAAGACATTGCTTTGCTCTTTCTTCCCAACGTTCACTTTGCGAGAGGAGACCATGCAATTCATTCAAAGAATTTTCTACTTCCGCAGCTAATGAAATATGTTACCATGATCAGTTGCGTACTTATAATTTTTTGTACACAATTTCATAACTTACATAAGTACAATTGTAACTACTATAAATGTTACCTGAGCAAAATTTGAGAGTTACTTTTTGACCGCTGTCAATCAAGCTACGAAGTGCGTCTAATGAAGTTGGCCTAACATCCGATAAGATCGCTCGCACTTCATTAATCCATTCAGCTTGACGAAGTTTCTAAATTGCAAAAAGAAGAAAAGTTGTTAATAATCGAGTAACGGAAGTTCAATAAAAATGATAGCTTCACTTACATCTTGTAGTTTTGGGATCTCCGGTAAATCTACATCCAGAGAGGCCCCTGCGTCTAGCAATTGTATCAGTTTACCGATATCAGGTTTTAATTCATTTAAAACCTTTTGAGCTTCGCTTCGTAATATTTGTACTCGGGATGCCAAATCCTGCTTGAGACAAAATTATAAATACGTATGAAATCATCTTAAATATATAGCAGACGTTAACATATTAGATAAGGGATTATGTAACAAACACTTTAAGCGTACCTGGACCACAGCGACTTCGTTAATTTCGCATGGTAAAGTTTCTACTTGATCTAATAGGCCTCTCATTTCATCAATGGATAATTTACGACCAATACTGGGTTGGCTAGTTTGTCTAATATTTAGAGTATCACAAGTTAATAATATTGGTACTTTTTAATAATAATAGTATTAATTATTCAGAATGATCATGTAACAAAAGCTTCACTATTAAGCAATACTTATTAAATGCGATAAGACCTTACCTTGTTCTATGCTTCTTCCCAACATACTGTAATGCTGCTTTTTGACATCGTTCAGCTCTTGCAATACAATACTTTAAAGTCTTTACAAGATCACACTGGGTAAAATTACATTTCTCAGCAATAGCCAGTAGTTCACGTAAGTCATCTATACCTAAGATGGTTAAATATTTACAAAGTAAGGCTTGGATATCAAGTATCATAGAAATAGTTGTCAGCTCCTTTACCCGGTTTGTTTCCAGACTGATCAGTTAGGTACTTTGTTGTTTTATTTGACCATGCTAAATATGATTCATATCGACTTCTGAGACAATGTAGGAGTTGATCTAGTTCCTCAGTGCTATAGCGGTATCTATCAAGAATTTTATAATCATGGTGATGTTACTTAATTTACGTCATTACTTTGCAAGGTGATCTGTGATAACGTATATAAAATACTTACAGAAGATAGCTAACATTTGTTTCGCAATTACATAATTCATCACTATGATGTAAACAAACGAGTTTTCCTATTGAATTAAAGAGAAATTTAGCAATGTATTATCTACATTTAAGTTCAGGTAGTGAAGTTCTGTTATATAAGCGCTAAAAACCTGGTGAACATTCGCAAGACAATGCCGATAGAAAGCATGTCGAGCGGCAAACTGTACATTGTCTTTCGTCATCTTGAATAAGTTCGAATGCTTCTCTAAATTGATCATTGAGTCCCTAATAAAAACGCAATAAAATATTAAAAATAAAACCTAAACACACTGATAGAGACACAATCTTTATATTACTTTTTGTTGCAGTTTTGCTCGTTGCATTTTTTCTGACTCAACTGAAGAGTACAAGTCAGCATAGGCAGCCTTAGCGACTTCGAAACTTAATCTGTCTGCAGCTGCGGCTAATTTACAAAGTAATTCATCATGTGAAAACACTGGATATCTGTGGAGTAGCCGGTAATGTTCGACACACTTTCTACCAAATGGTAACTGAAAAGGTAGATTCAATTAGATTCCTGGTCAAGTTATAAATTGAGAAGAATTACACATATCGCTTCAGTACCCAATCAGCAGGAGCAAAGTTAACGGCTTCCGCACAGTTAAATCCTTGATTAAAGCCAGCATGATAAGCTCGTGGAAAAGTAACCATAAATTCTCCGGCACATTGATCAGCACGAACAATCTAGAAGAAATTTTCCAAAATAATAAAGGGGACGAGGCATTTAAAAATATATAGTTAAAAAAGAGCATTTGGTCATCGTTTACCGGAATATTATAATCAGCAAGTTTATTCGGAGAGACAATCGTTACAAGTTGATGTAATAAATCAGGTTGATCACTGAACAACTCTGGTGCAATCTTCCTGACAGCATTTTCAAATTCTTCCGCATACGATCCGGGCACACCATACCAAGTTTTAGGTTCACCCCTGTAAAAACATTCGCACCAAAGAAAAACAAAGTTGTTTAATTTGTTATCTTTAAAAGAAAACTACTAAGTATATTGAACACACCAGTGTAAATAGTTTATAGAGTAACTCCAATGATCTTCATTATGCCAGCAAAAAGTAGAAAAACACATTCCAATATACAGCCAAGGGACCTGTCATCATAATAACTTGATTATTTTGACAACAATTAATAGGTAAAAATAGCAGTATAACCAATTCCTTACCTTCATACCAGAAATATCTACATTGATATGACTGAAAATTGAATCAGTTAAACTAGCCAAATTGTTGAGATTCCACGGCGAAGAGACATATTTCTAAACCATAAAATAATTTACAACAATTAGATGTTACGTTACGACAGCAGAGTAAAGTATAATAAGTAAGCGTATTCAATTAATTCTAATGCTATGGCGATAGCGTACTTGAATCTCTGGATTATTATTAGGATTAGAAAGCGGAAAGCCACTACCAAAATCACTAGCAGGAATATCAGCTCCATAGCTTACTTCAATCTTTATATTGATAAATGAGAGGATCAAATTTTAAAACAATGTTGAATAGTCTAAAGTATTGTATATTATATTAACGTCAATGAGAATGATCAAGACTTACATCTTCCTCAATGGAAGTTGTTAACCGCCAGTACTCCTTTTCTACCATTTTTGTCGACAATAACTACAATATACATCAATACAGCAGTTAAATATTCACTATCGTTACCACACATAAGAGATAATCGATTCTCCATCAGATGCATACCCTTAATGCTATATCGAAATGATTTCTTTTAAAAGTATCTGCAAAATCTCCAAATGTTCGTAGTGTATGGATTTTTTGCGATTGCTCAAATCCGAAAGGGTCTTGAGATTTACTGCATTCCTGTAGTGGAAAAATTACGGAAATATTATTTCATTCTATTCAGACAACAATTTAAAATAGAACAAGCTTACTTGAGACACACATTTCGGACACCGCCAATCTCCTGGCGGAATTGACTGTAAAGGTGGAATTAAACAGTACGTATGGTAACTATCATCACAACCATCACAAAGCAAGAGAAATTCTTCATTATCTCCCAATCCACATAACATGCAAGCTGTATCGGCATACTAAAAAACATATCTCCTTATTAGTTACTAACAAGATTATGTAAATATAAGCGGAGACAGGAGAAAAAAAGATTTAAAGAAATCTTACATTGATTACCTTATCATATTCATCTGATCCCTCAACTCGTTTTACGCGTTGATAGCGTTTTCTTTTACCATATCTAGATGATTTCCTGAAGGAAACAATATTTAAGATATGGCATCAGATTTACTAGCAATTATAGTATTAATACTCTTCTACTTATCTATTTGTTAAAAATTCAAAAGGGCTATAATAAGATTACCTGTTACTCTTCTCATCTTTATCATCTCTAGAATTTACAGTTGACGTTTTCTTTTCTATAATTAGCAAGGTAAAATGTGAAGGCGTTTTGATACATAATAATAATGACAATGAAATACAATATACCTAGGACAGAGCTGTGTGCATTATCTTGTACTTTAGTAGTTAAAGACATTTTAGGTCCTGCGTCAATAAATTCTAATTTTTTAAGTTCAGGATTACTACCGTAATCGATGTGTTGAATTTCCTTTAATAAATAAGACAGCATATAAGAATATTTACAAGATTTTTTCCTATTCTGTACATTAAAGGTATTTAACCTCACGATTGCGACGTTTTGATTGCCTGCGAAGTTGAGAATAGTTTTTCTCTTCTTCCTGCTTTTTCAGCTTGTCCTTGCTCGTTCCCTACATTTTTTAATACATATTACACGTTATCGTTTCATATATCGTTTCATAATGTACGTACGCTCCACATGCCGCAAATGACTACATCATCAAAATTATGATTAGGAAATAACTTACAGAGTCCTCCTGAATTGTAATTCCAGCTTGGAAAATATCATACGGATATAATATTCGTTCGTAGTGATTACGTAAAACCACTGAAATATGCTTGTTGGTAGTGGTACAGTAGCCAAGCTAATAAGACGATAATATAAGCGAAATAAAAGTTAAAAAAAATCGAATTTACATGTTTGAAGGTGAATATGTCATAATTACAGATTGATACTTACCTCTCTACCAACAGCGTTCCACTTGCGTTTAGTTGTTACTTCCTCAAATCCTCCTAGTCTATGCACAACCTAGTATCAAGTGAACCAGAATAATGATTAATGTGAAAAGCTCTGCTACTATATATTATGAACTTAGTAATTATAAAATCTGCTCAATTCTCTCATACAAACATTTAATATTTTATTCCCGTGATAGTTATAACTTGTGAAAATAGATATTAAGTCGTGTGCTTAACGGCTGCGTAAATTCACTTGAGTATCATACCAAGCATGAACAACTAAAATCATACTCAAGCTATTACAGTTTATCCAAGGCTCGTAATAAATAACCGTCAGAGTATATTGTACTTGCTCATTTCCATATACTGACAGTGCACTGAAATAATTTTAAACTAACATAGTTGAGATTAGTAATTTTATATACTGAATATACACAGGGGAATCTTATTTCCACTTATGGAAATATAATTACTACATAACCGAATATACCAGTAATCTGGATTAATTGAAAACTACATTACCACATATTTTTTACATAAAGCAAAGATCAACGTTAGCTAACTATTATCGCTTGTAAAAAACCTGGGTTACTCCGAAGGGTTAAAATGATAGAATATTACTGAATATCCAAAATTATGGAAAAATATACGTTGAATCAGTCACAAGACAGATACAACACATTCAACACATGAGTATTTCTTATGAAAAACACGGTAAAAAATGTTTCTTGTAGCTCTCCTTTTAAAGTACAAAGTAGAGGTGTTAAAAATGCAATATAAAAACAAAGACATTTTTGCACAGCCTCCCTCTAAGAACTTAAATAAACAACAAAAATGAGACACCTGTATAGTGTCAAATTTGTAACCTGCAGGAGTACAAGTCATGATATATTATACACCAAAAACAGATCCAAAAAGCATAGCTTGCTGTGCAAGTACGCTTACATAGTCTTGTAAATGTATTAGTGTATTTTATCATACGCTTACGATTATAATTAACGCAAGCTGCAGTATATCAGATGTACTGTATGCCGAAAAATTATGGTTAATGTATTTGTTGACGAAAAGGGCTTTCAACTCTGGGATTAATTTTAATCGTAGACCCAACATGGAAGTGATTACTACAAAGCCTATGAGCTCATATTATATTGTGACTTGAGAAAGCATATTTTTTAGGAATTAATACTAAAACGACATGGAGGCATGAATAATACCGATTTCGTTTCAATCTAATTACATGATTGAATTGGATTATCTCAGTATGTTCGAATGTGAAGTTAAGGCGTATTTTCAAATCTACTTAAATTTAAATAGTGACGTTACGCCGAAATATAAAATACATAATCTGACCTTATGAAGGCGGTGCAAATCCAACATACGATGATCGACAATCGGAATCTTCATTTTAACACCCTGTAAAACCATAAAATTAGAATTTACAAAGAATGTGTGATTATAAAAATTACTAAATCCAATACCAATAATGTAACATCAATCTATATATTTCATTTAATAATACGAGTATTACACGTGGGGTTTGAGACATAAAATTTCAATAAAAAAGAAACGCAGTAAATTGGACATCTTGCCAAAATAATATCTTTTGCATATAGAAATGTCGATACTGGACAACACTAAGAATACTTTCTAATCGCTTCGAATTTAGAAAAAAATTAATACACTCTGTAATGTTACCAATCGCTGAGGAGTATTAAATTTTGGTAGCCCTCTAACAAGATACTACATTTTATTAGCTGTATATTAGGATAACTTGAGTCGTTGTGGAGATATCATACATACGCGTCGCGTGTGCAGAAATGACTACTCTGATCCTTAAGTTACTTGACAATATTTGAGTTTGCTATATAGCACATTTAGACTTGCAACAATACGGATATCATGCATACATATCAATCTATACCATGATTGATGATACTAAAGGAGAATATAATCATTAAAAATAAAGTCTACATCGACTAGGTACTCTTGCTCTCTTTCTATAATACTAGAACACAAACCTGGAGCTCCCAAAATTTAATCACACTATCCAGGCAGTTTAGCTTAACACGCGATGTTGCCTAAATGAAATCCAATTGAATCTATTAGAACCTAAGCAATTTAAAAGTTCATCATTGCAAAAATAATAACTATCGCAGGCTAGAAGCATTAGAAATATCCTATATAGAAGAATTACGATTGGTTGTAATCCATATACAGTAGTAATTTATTATGGAAATGATTATAAGAAGTCTACGACGTTGTGTAGTTATTGTTAATCAATCCATTTTTTACTATTCATGCAATGGGAGAGTAATCCTCGCTATTCTAGCAATTACCGTCTTTGGCACTACGGGACGAATTGTACTCAACAGTACGGTATAAGCCATTTTAGATTGTCTACTGAATTCAACCCTTATTTTTGTATAGGTCTACAAAAATTGGATTTTCTTCTTCAGCATTTATCAACAGTAATTCGATGAACAGTCATTTACCGAAGAATACAACACAAACGCTGTCATTATTATCATAGCAAGGAATGATTATGATGGCTGCACCATTTCACTATGTAGTCTAGAGTCTAGAGTAACTAACGTCATATTCAGTCCCATCAAATAGTGACGTAAAACATTGATTGGAAATCACAGAAGTAATTATAAAATAGTAAAAGAAGAAATAAAGACTTTCGACTACCATTCTAATACTATTCATTTAAAGAAAGGAGAAAGTCTTTTCAAAGGGTTAGCCAGTGGGTTTTTACAACTTCAACGTGCTACATTGTATCTGGACTCTCGATATAACAACACGCATCCACAGTGATAGACATTTTTTTTTTTTCACTGCAGGCTACAGTAGACCGATGCATGCATACTGAAGTGCAATCGTCGACGCCAATCAGTGAAATTGATTGACGCATCACATTGGACGCAAACTAACACTGGAAAATTGCGTCAATTCAACTTGAATAATACCGCTAGTATACTGATCAATCTATCTAGTATATTATTTAAGAATACTAGTTAAAATAACTATAGCTATTTTGGGGGAATTATGAATCTATTTGCTAGTTTTTGACATGGACTGCAGTAATCCAAATACTAGCAATAACAATAAATCACAAACAAAATTCAATCTACAGTACAGGAGAAAAAATTGCAGTGTACAGTACTGTACGTACGTACTGTACCGGTGAGAACAGACTACAGTATAGTGTACAATACAGGCTGTTATTGTAGGTCAAGTGACGTTGGAAAAGTATTTTCATTGGTGTTTTTGGACAGGAATAGTAAGTAGGTACTTTCAACGCAGGTCCATACGTCCGAAATTGATAGAGTCTATGTACACGAACGATAGTAGGGATTTACTAGTATGGCTGAAGCCGCTAATGCTACAGTATATACTGTAGTATACAAGTTGGAACGCTTTGAAATGGACCGCAGTTGGCAATGTTGAAAACAAACTCCGCTATTGGAATATTTTAATAAACTATTTTAGTCTTGTTTCAAGTAATGAATCCTATCTGACAGGATATAATTATTATCAACTCAAGCTAAAATGACGTAGCAAGAGAACTACAACTGATCATATGAAAATAAGCATCATTACACAAGCTCCAACTATTTTTTTTTTTTTCCCCTATGCTATTGAATAAAAAAAAGAAAGTCACAACAATCTGTATTACCTCAAGTTCATTCAGTTTCTGTAATCGCGGAGTAAAGCGAAATTTTTGAACGTCGACGGCAAAGGGTGGCTGCCATGACTAGGATCGTCATCCACGTTCAAAGAAATCGATCAATAAATCATTATTACAGCAAAAATCAATACAATCCAAAAAGAATCATTTCCTCCATAGCATTGAAAATGTGCAAGCGTGTCATCATGATATAGTAAATAAAAAGTACAATGCTGATGAAGAACTACGCAATTCTGTATTCAACAAGGTACGTACGGTACTCTACTGTACATTATTCAATATCTTTGGTCATCAATACGTGCTTTGTTCAAAGATATGGAGAAAAAAAAATGGAATGGAAAATTTACCGGTGGAGGCCTTATTTTACATATTCCGGCTTTTTCTGCTATAGGTCGAATCTTATTAATATATCGAAGAGGATCTTCAAATTCCTCTAAAGTAGGCTCGAAGACAGGCGCTTCTGGTGGTGGCACAAATTCAAAGCCATCGTCATCCATTGTTGCTCGAAGTAATTTCTATATGTAATACTCACGCTAAACTTTAATTTTAAAATATCAATATGGCAGCCATGGCAGCCTTGGTCATGTGCTAAGTTATGACAGTATGATTGGTTTGTGGCTATTTATTTGAGTCAAATTGACCAATCATCGCCCAATCATTCATTCCTGACACGTGCATATTTTAACTACTATCACCTTGCTAGAAATATGTCCAATAGTGGTAACACTGTCAATTTGGTGGTGTACGAGTCCTAAAATATTGCATATTAAGCAATGCGTATTTTACTATTGTAAATACACCGCAGTTCAATACAGTACAGTACTTACTTTACGCTAGCTGACTACGTAATCAGGCGTACTGTAGCACATCAGTCTCAGTCCTTGTCAATTCTAGTCAAAGGTACTGTATCATACGGTGTATAGTACTGTAGGGGTGAACAGGCGTACTGTGCCAACAACTGGCAGGGAGGCCATTTAAATGTCTTGGTGCCTGCTGGTGCTTTCTGTCTGTCTGTTAGTAGAGCCCACTCAGCACAGTACATAATGTACTACACCACCAATCAGAACCGATCAATGTCTTGGTGCCTGCTGGCGCTTTCTGTCTGTCTGTTAGTAGAACACAGTACTGTACATAATGTACACCACCAAGCAGAACCGTTCAATGTGGAATGTCTTGGTGCCTGCTGGCGCTTTCTGTCTGTCTGTTAGTGGAGTACAGTGCATAATGTACACCACCAATCAGAACCGTTCAATGTTCAATGCCTTGGTGCCTGCTGGCTCTTTCTGTCTGTCTGTTAGTAGAGCCTACTCACTACTCAGCACAGTACATAAAAATGTACACCACCAATCAGAACCGATCAATGTGAAATGTCTTGGTGCCTGCTGGCGCTTTCTGTCTGTCTGTTAGTGGAGTACAGTGCATAATGTACACCACCAAGCAGAACCGTTCAATGTTAAAGAAGTCAATCCTATACCATTTGGTTGGATACACTTCCTAGTGAAATATCTCTCGTACAGAGTCTACTCTAGTTATTGAACTTGCTCAACAGCAGCAGCCAGCAGGTCTAGGGTGGATGGATGCTTGAATATCAACTTCTTCTATCCATCATCAATGTTTGTGGCATCATTCCTGCGGCTAACTCATGAAAAATTTGTATGACTTTATCAAGCGAAAATTTGGCGTTTATCGTTATATGCCATTATTCTTTATGCTAGGAGCGGGCATAGAGCTATTTATGATTAAGGTCCAAGTTGGCAACGAGACTTTCTGTAAGTAACATCCTTCTACAATTGGCTATTCCTACGATCATTTTATGGATAGCACGTACACAACCATGCGCAGCTGTTGATGGTAATGACCATTGTGCTAGTAGAGATTAATGTTATGTTATTTGCGTAACCCTTAAGCACTACCATAACGTAATAAATTGTAAAATGCATTGTGAGAGTTATAATCAATTATACTGGTAGCCATGACTCAGGCACGTTGACGACAGCCACTGACTACCAAAGCAAAACACATCCATGATATGGAGATTACTTGCTGTGGGCATCCTATTATTATCGGAGATTACTTAGTAAAATAGAAGCTATTTGTTACATATTGATGGTATACAGCTGTGCATGCTAAGCTTTCACTAAAACTGATATCAAAGAATGGTACAGTATATACGTACTGTAGTTGACAGTAAATGCGGCACATAATTGTTTTATACATGTGCCCAACTGTCCATGAATAATGTGCTTATAGCAAAGCTGATATGAAAGAAATGCAAAATGTTCAATGACGTAATTGACAGTAAATGAGACACATAATTGCTGTGCACATCTGCCCAACTGTCCATGAATGATGTGCTTATAGCAAAGCTGATATGAAATAAATGCAAAATGTTCAATCGATGTAGTCGACAGTAAATGCGACACATGATTACTTTATACATGTGCCCAATTGTCCATGAATGATGTGCTAATAGCAAAGCTGATATGAAATAAATGCAAAATGTTCAATCTATGGCAGTCCTAGACTTTTGCTTAGATGCCGATTCTTGATCTATTTCAACTCTATAGACGATACCTTAGTGCGAAAAGAAGCCGAAAGGAGACAAAGCGCTAGACAAATTCAAGAATCGACAGAAGATGCCAGCTAATGTTACTTGGAGCCGTTACATTCTTACAATAACCGCTAGTGTAGTATCAATGCTTGCTGGTGCCTCTGTGGTTCATAATTATTACAAACCTAACTTGGTAAATTGTACTAATTGCATTAAAGTGCTATAGCTATCAATCTTGCCAATAGAATTAAAAATCGTGCAAATACCAACGCGTATAGCATTGAATTAGCTTGATAATTAAGTATTGCATGCGTGTCTCGACCTCAGAAATGCCAAACTATGGTAAATTGCGTAAGATTATAACTGCATTATTATTACAATTTAGGTCGTTCCTGAAATTCCACCTGACCCATATGCAGATGCAAGCCAAGGAAATTCAGAAAATATTACGGATAAATGATGATGTCAATCATTCATAATAGTCAATAATAGTTTATGAATTGAGCATGTACTTGTCGAAAATATTGACAAAATGTACAGTCTTGAATGCAATTCGCATTTGAATTATAAACTTCTTGGCATGCCTAAATGAAATTTTAATTAAAATGATAGTTAATGCTATAATAAATGTAGTTACTTTAGAAATATGTAGCTAAAATACTCAACTCGAAAGCTACCCACTTTTAACTACATTTGTAATCATCCTGTGGTTAATACTTTTCTACTGCCATGTTATACCTCCAATATGTGATGAGTTTGGTCCTAGATGCACTTTACCTACCATGAGGTATTAACTTTATTAATATGTTTTTCGTAAGTATCAGAAATTAAAAGCTTATTTCTATGAATAGAAACTGGTAAAACTGAATTGGCTATAATTTAGCATTGTTTATGGGTTACACTTTCCTAAACTTTGTCGTCAGAGGATTACATCGTATACTGGCCCTTTAGTCATGATGTTGATTAGCATCCTTAATCTCAACATAACAAATAGTTTTAATGCTAAAACACTTTGATAAGCTCTGTCACTGTATAGAATCGACCTATTTTCAATCATTATTATAATACACATTTCTCTTTGTACATTATAACCGTCTACTATAGATTAGACGAATACTGGTATTAGATGATATTGATTAATTACAAGTTAGGCTCAAATTCATCGTGGGTTCTTGTAATATATTTGCTAATCTCACGGTACTGAATAATTATTATCAGTAGAGCCAATCTGTTTATGCAGTATTATATAGATTCCTAGAAATCCGCAGAAGTGGTTTGGATAATTTATATTATTCATTACCGAAGTGTTTCAACTCTTAAGGTCGTAAAGCTACAGTTAGATTCAGCATATCGTTTAACCATACGTATTATATCTTATGGTAGTAAGTTCCGTAATACCGGTATTCCAGCAATTAGCACATGTCTTAAAAATAAAAATAACAACTATTATTCAATCGTTTAATTGCCTGTGCAGCTATGCATTGAACACATCAAGAAGCCAAGATATCATTCAAATTTAAAATATCCAAGAATGGAAATTACGAAACAGACATACTTTTCATGATGTCTAACAATAATGCAACAGATATGTTAATTTTTTAATTATTTACATTGCCTTGCTATCAAGCTATATGTGTTTTGCACACCTGATTGGTACCTGTCCTTAAATTTTAAAAACCCTCAATTTTTGGTAAATACTGTATGCACAGATAGTAAATTGCAAAACAAGCTACTATACGATACTAAACATATAACTTGCCATAGTCGAAATATTAAAGTATGCAGTAGGATAAGCATATGAGTATGTAACAGTAATATATCTTTTATACTTGCAAAGATCACTAATAAAAATTATGTGATATAGAAAGTCTCGAATATTTTAATAAAATATAGCGTCTATATCGAACTATTCGCGGTTGTAATTCTATATTTCCATTACTGACATCAATTACAGGAAATTTTTAGGATGTAATCGTTTTAATTTAATGGACGTATCAATGATGCATTTGCATTTAAGGAGTAAAACATCATCGTGAGCATGAAAGGCTTTCTTGTATTTTATAAATTATTTTCAATCATTTCTTCTTTCCTTTAGCCCTCTTTGTTTTCACACTTTTTTTACCCTTTTTGTTGGTATCTTCTTGCAATGTTCTAATCATTCTAAGCCTCTTTCTACCCAGTGGAGTTTTTTCGAACCATTTCTTTATGTAACAAGAGAAGTTAAAAAAGTCAAATTAATAGTCATATCTAGTAGTCAAGCAACTGTTGATTAATTTTATATTAAAAAGTAAAATGAACCTTTAAGGCTTCTTCTTCCTCTTTATATATTGGATCTAATCTTGCCAGAGGAGCCACGAACTCTGTTGCTGTTAAGGGACGCTTAGCCAACTAAAAATTTCATCATAATAATTTACATGATTCATTTTAATACGAGTATAATGAAACTTTGTTGCAATTCTTTGATAGTAAAAATGCTATTCCTGTATCGTTACATAGACGCACCTGACGAAGACGTCTTTCTGTTAGAACCTGAGTAACGGTTGCCCCAATTTGCCCCGGTGTATAGCCGTCGGATATTTTCGATAAAGAGCTTATATCCAATATCGGTGTTATTTTGCCGCCATTTTTGGCAATGATTTTATGCCACAAGACTAAACATGTTGAAAATATTGTCTTAAACCAATGTAACAATACGCCATATTTATGCATTATGAATTTATCAAAATGGTGTGCATGCAAGATAAACGTATAATGCTATTAAATACGACACCCTTAAATGCCGCATTAATTATTTGTTCACTTACGAAAGCGAGATGCATAATCTGGACGTGGGATCATTAAAATCTTCTGATAAGCATGGCATAACGGCTTAACCATTGCATCATATGGTTGTCTGCATGTCCCGATTACAATAACACGATCTTCGGCTTTTAATCTTCTTAGCTGCCTTGGCAAGGCAACCCTTAAACGCCTTGGTTCGGACGTATCATTTTTTAAGACCTTTTTCAGGAATGTCCTTTCCGCATCGCCAATATGAATGACAGATGGCTGCAATTGCCTAGCGACCTAGTTCAAAATGATATACATGTTACTACAAGTATCCTCTTACTATGTTGAACCAACATTAGTATCTATTAAGACAACTATGATAAACTAGGATTTGCGATTTTTCGTCCTTACCTTGAAAACAAGATGCATCAACATTGCTAATCCACTCTTGCCAGGATATTTACCGGCGATATTGGTTGCCGTTAAATCGAACAGATTAGCTCCTGCTTCAGTACAAATGGCATGAAGGAGTGATTTTTTGCCAGTTCCACGAGGTCCAACTAGTAATATTGATTTAACGTTCGTGCAATTCTCATGGACAGTCTGTGATCCTATAGTTTTATAATTCAATCATTGCAAAAGTTTAGGAAGATAGGTAAGATAATATAACATTGAAATGATAAACTAATTTTCAAGATAGTTATAATCATTTCCTTGGATCGTACTAATTAATATAAGTAGCAGTCGGCAAGTTACCTAAGGGAAGTATACAGTATTCTGTTATTACTCTCCTAACGTCCGAAAGAGAAGGCATAGGTTCAATATTTTCTTGGCGTAGAGTAGTACCTAGATAACTACGGTAAGTAAAATTAAATATCCGTAAATAAGAAATAAATAATTCATCGTTTAAATATGCTATTTCAAGAGGCAAAATATGAGTACAACTAATATCAAGCGAAGGACCTGAAAGATAGGCAATAAATTTTTGAATGGTTCAAACCTGTAATCTCCCTCAAAATCTCTTAATCGAGCTTTTGGATATCTTACAACGATCCCTTCCAATACTAATTCCTCATATAAGGATTCTATTGTTCTATCTTGTGTTAAATCCTTTTCTCGCTTCTTTTTTCTTCTCTTTTTTCCTTTTTTAGCTTTCTTCTTCTACGTAAAGTAAGATAATTTCTGATTATAAACTTTGAACAGTAGCAGTTCCACAATGAAATCTTTTTATTTCATAGTTCAACATTTATAGGTATACTGGGCATTATAAGAGGATAATTTTAATACAATATCGGAAATAGTTCTATAAACTCGCCCAAATAGAATCTGAGATCAACTACAAATACCGCAAATATTATTTAATTAACGATCAACTATTACTTATTCCATGTAGCAGAAAAGCTTTAAGCAGTAGCATGCATTCATACGAGAAGTAGCAATTAGGACGATTGGATTTTACGAATATTCCTTTGAATAGGAGTAGGATAATGCTTACATGTACTGTGTTTAATAGTAGGCATTGTATAAAAGAGATTATTACTTTCTTATTAATTTTTAGATTTAACGTAAGACAGTACTATTAATTTATACGAAAATATCTGAACTTAAATAATATTCTCTCAGGCATGATACTGATATGTATTTGAAAGCATTCGTTGCATAACGTAGATCAGCAATTACTTTTCTCACTTATTTTTGTCAAAAAAATAAGATAGTATTACTAATTTAAACGACTAAGGATAAAATTTGATGGATTTAGTTTTAAGACTGATACTGATGTGTCTTTAAGCATGGGAATTGCATAAAGAGGGTGATCAAGTCAGATGTAAAAAGTAGAGACTATTCATATCTGTTGTTTAGTAAAATATTAAATTAGATTGAAATATAGTAATGTACCTTTCCTTTCTTGGTACCTTTCGCTTTTCGACCTTTATCACGTTCAACTGCCTGTAAAATTTCGCAACGTCTATTAACCTCATCAGATAAATTCGCAAAATATGTGAATAACTAAGTCCTGCTAGCAGTCAATTTAAAATAACAAATATATATACGAATGCCATATATTTTACCATTTTCAGGTTTTTGAGTTCTTCTCTCATTAGTTCATCCACTTGTTTTCGAACTTCTTCTTCCACTTCTCCACTAAAATCAGATTGCCCAGAATATTATTAAGCAGGATAATTATTGCGTTATTTTTTTCTATATATCTCGACAATGCACATTGTTGTTGCTCTGTTACTGTTTTACAAGGAGCATAATAATAACTTACCGGAGACCTTCTTTTACTAGCTCTACATCGTGTTTCTGTTGAAAATTATTACTTTCGTCACGATTTTTCCAAATATCTACAGTATTAGACGAAGTATTATCTTATTAATGACGACATATATTTAAAAGTTTACTTAATTACGCAATTTGTCTAAAGAAAACGACATCGAATTTTAATACTGCACCCCTTTAAGGTAAAGGTAGAAATCTTTTTTCTAAAAATATTTATCATACTTACCATTATAACCTTTCTCTACTTCTACAATTGTGTCTTTAAACTTAGAAGTGGGCAGGGTAAATCCCTCATCGTCATCCTTTGTAACAGAATAGATAAAGTTAGGAACAACTTTTATTAAGCTATGGTCTTTAGATATAACTACACTCATAATAAGTAGCGCTGCATATTAGAATTCTAGTTGATTTGTGCCTACTTACATCCTTTTTCTTTCCTTTACCACTTTTCCTCAATTTCTTGTCTTTATTTTTTGTTTTCTTATTGTTTTGATTCTTTTTATCTTTGCCACCTTTTCTGCCTTTTCCAGATTTTCCTTTGCCATTCTTTTCATCATCCTATGTGTTTAGTAAACTACCATTAGTCAAGAATAGAGGCGCAAAAATTTTTGATTAGGTAAATTTATGATATCCTAATATGTACCTTTTGCTTTTCTTCTAGTTCCAGCTGAAAATTATTATCGGTCATAGTTAGTTTTAATATCATTGTTAAACTAGATAATATACTAATATTCGATACTAGTCGCGGAAAATTGTATTATTTCTACTCAACTACTTTGCTAGTAATCAAATGAAGAAAGTTCACCTACACGCTTATGTATCGCTTACCTGTTTAGGATCTTTCTTTTCAAAAATTCTCATAGATCCTCCTTCTTCTTCCATAGGAAAATCTGGAAATTTCCCGTCACGGTCACTGTCGGGAATAAACGAGCATCATAAGCAATTATTAACGTTGATATTCTTATTGATTGAATATCTATTACGAATCGCTCAATTACCGGCATTCAATAAACCATTGACGAATTTGATCTTGCATTCTTTCCTTCATATCCGGCCCTTCTGTTTTTCTTAATTTATCTTTAATAGTTACTTGAGCCTATTTCATTGAAATACGAAGAGTAAATGATAGCGTTAATATTTCTTTTGTAATTTTTGTTTACAAATTTGCTATCTCTCTACCTGCTGATATTCTCGTTCATATTCATCTTGGACAATTCGTCGTTGCGCCTACATGAAGATCATTAAAGATACAAAAATTATTTATCGATATATTTGTTAAAATATAGAAAATATATTCAGTGCAATCCTACCTCAGTTTTCTTTGCTAAGGCCTGTGGAGTATTCTTTTTGTTATCTCTCCCCTTAGTGACAGCGCGAGCCTGCAAGGATAGCAATTGATAGTATATATCAAAATTTAGCCCTCTATAAATTACCAATAAATGGTTATGAGATTACCATTCCAAGAAATATCAATTCTTGTTCTCGTTGTTCCCTAGCTCTCTTTCGTTGATAATAGCCTCTCCATAATTTCTGCAGAATTGAAGCAGCCACATTTTGATCCATTGTAGGCGCACCTTTAGTGGCTGCAAGCCTTTCACGTTCTTCTTGAGCTCTATATTCAGTATTATTGATAAAGAATAATTATGGTAAACTCTTCGTTATGCTAAAGTACAATGTCAGGGTGGTTCGTATTTACCTTATATCTTTCATAAACTTGGCCCGTAGTCTACCCTGCCTAGCCCTTTCGTGAATCTTTTGGGTGAATTCAATACCACATAAGTTTTGTTTAATTTAATAGTATGTTGATATTACAGTTTGGCCACAACTGTAACTTTTGATAAAGATAGATATACAAAATTATAGCATACCTGAACGATTCTAACTGCTTCCTCAACTGTCATTTTTACTTCTTCCTTAGCCTATTTTTATGAAATTTTATAGTTATATTTTTTATATAGTGAGTATTAATTATTGTATAATTCTAATCCTGATGTTTTAATTGTAATATAATCTATCAGGACCAAGGAATTTCGACTCACATCAGTTTTATCTTGTGGTCCTAATTTAGCTAATATCATGCCAAGTAGCTTTTCTCTTTCCTTTAAAACTTTAGAGTTTTCATTGACAAAATAATGAGGTATTGGAATCTCTATATCGGCCTAAAAATATCAAGTACATTACTTATAAATACAAGGAAGTAAATCCCTAACTGTTAGGGGTAATTATTAATATTACCGGCTGGAGTTTCATATCGGATAGTACATCATCTAGGTAATGAAATTCAGAAAGTTCCAAGCTAACCATGCCATGCTTCATTTCGATAATCCTAATCATAAAGTAAAATGTTTAAAGCGATTACTCAGTAATGGACTTGGACTTAGCTTTATTCTACTTTAGAAGAAAGTTTTACCTGCCAATGACGCCATCCAAAACATGCCGTAGCAAACGATGCTTTTGAGGATGGACTATCTGCAATTTTAGATATCGGGTTAGTATAGTTCAAAGAAGATTTAGCTTCAGTTTCTCCATTGTAATTATGTGCTACAGATGATACAACTCTTAAAGCTTAATAAACTTTATTGGCCTAAAAAAGTTCTTATTTGACATATTAATACCTGATCATAAGCTTGTTCTAACTTCCGAAAGATCTGTATATATTTAACATAAGGCACCGCTAGTTTTTGGAAAGCTGTGATACGATCCTGTAACACAAATAATACGGTATCAATATCGGAAACAACAAGAAATTTTAACATTTTACTATTAACTTGTGATACACTTATAACTAGAAATAGTGCTACTGATGGGATAGATTATATGTTACTAGTACTAGGATTTATAAATAGGTTATCATTGTAAATATGAACGTATAGTCTAACCTTTTCTTTCTTTATCAGTTCTTCCTCTTCAACTTCTAGTAAATCTGTTAAACCTGCCTGTGCTTCTTCCCATTGCCGCTGATATGTACTATTAAGTGTAAGTAGTTTACAAAGAGTTCGGTAGGATATCAAAATAAGATTTAATGAAAAAATAGCGGTGCTTACTAATCGATAAAATATGCTGGGTTAACATATTTGGTCTCAATACTACTGCACTATTGTAAGCGATCTATAACGATTTAAGACTTACTAAATGATTGGATAAATTCTTATCCAATATCAAAACATAAAATTTAACTTTACAAACATATAAGTTAAAACGACTTTAGTAGATAGAGTCTATACCTGTGCGACATATTTGTATGCCTAGTCTTAATTGATATAATCCAGAGAGAGATGTCTTGAACCTGGTTATTCAGGTATCATTGATAACTAGTATGATGGTTTATCAATTTGTGACTGACTGGCTTCGTAGTTATGCCCTAATGTAGATGTTAATATTTTGCGATGACTGTATCTGCGGTCTTTCCTGTTTGGTACAGGGATCTGTGTATTAGCTGTAGGCATGCTATAATGTTAGTCTATCGCGATGCGATTGTTGTTGCTTAGCAACCTGAGCAGACCGTAAGCATGTGATGCGCGTGCTCAATAACAATTTATTTATGCGAATGGTGTGCAGAAATCTCGTCGCCATATGTAAATCAGCTCTCCTGGCACCGCTTTGTATAATTCTATTTAACTAGATGCAATACTATATATAAATATTAAATAAATAACAGTTATAAGTTTTTTTGTCGCTTTACGCGTAAATTAGCCCTCCTAGTATCGCTTTGTAAAATTATATTTAACCATATACGATATAACTATATATCAATATTAAATAAATGATAGTTATTAGTTTTTTTTGTCACTATATGCAAATCAGCTCTCCTGATATCGCTTTGTGCAATTTAATTGTATTTAGCTACATACAAGCTAACTATTTGTAGGTATTAAATGATAGTTATCATCGTAGCGCAGGTGTCGCTGTATACTACCTAAATAATGAGCAGCTATTATCATGTAACGTTATTAGAACTTACGAATAGGGAAGTAAGATTAATTTATTTTTCACTAATATAATTCTAAGGTAAATACAAAATAAAATCACTAAAATCCATATATTATCCATCTGAATTTCAAGTTTCGAGCAGCTACAGTTTTTGCTATCAAAATGCGAGAAGTCATTATGATATTATTTAAGTACTTTCGCACTTGTCTGAAATTCTTTCAATTATCAGGTGGTGACAGTGATGCTTCCAGTTGTAACAGCGAAGATAGTCAAAAAGAGCTTAGCCCACAAAATTGCCAACAAAGCTAAAATCAAGATCAATCTGCTCTACCACTTCACTCGTTTATGTAGTCCTTACAAGTACTTTCTCATTTAATTTAATCATTCCATTTTCTATTCCATTAAATTATAGTCTTAAAGGAAGAAAATTACAATGCATATATCTAAGTATGCAATCAAATTATTACCTTAGTACTAGGTAATGAAACCGTTTATTCTGCAAGTATTAATCAGCAATCAATCTCCAACATAAATACTCCATAAATCTACTAAAGACATCCAAACCGAGGATTATCGTTTACGTAATATAAAGAATTATGATCTTATGTAAACAATTCATGAAAATGTAAGGATTCAGGCAAGAAGTAAAAAAAACTTAACACTTGTGTTTATTTTAGATCTCAAGCAAGGATAATTAATTTCAATTATCTCTGGTCCTAAAGTCGAAGTTAGAATAAGGTTGATATCGACGATGATCGTGAATAATATTCGATACTGTACCTATAATTATTGTGGTAGCCTCGCGCAGTGACTGTTTATCAAATAAAGAAGAACAAAAAGACTGTTCAAACCCATTTAAAAATGTATTAATTCCATCTATCCAACTTCCAGAAGCACGCAAATTGTTCTAATATTATTTTTAATTGTAATCCTGGTGATAATAATCCATTGAGATTTGGTAAACATGAGTAATGTTATCTTCATATACATTTACAAAAATTATGAAATAATTCGGGCAATTAATACCTATGGTATACTTCCTGTAGACGTCATAAGCGTTTCAGATGTTATAGATTTGATACTGTAGATTATATGACTAGAAAAACCTGTTAATATTATATTGAAGAGTTTATGCAGAACGTATATTTCCTTGTGGGATATTTAATTTAAATATCTGAGATAACTTATTTTGTAGTAGTTTAACTATCTAGATGCAGACTTAGGGTGATAAATTTATTGGTTTATACTAAGAAGATGACTGGTACATTTTTTAGAACAGAAATAGATGATGGAATAGTATTGTTGTCGCCGGCTATGCTATTCTTATACTATTTGATGCTTACGAACCCTTTTAATTATACATAATTAATGCTACAGTCTATCTTAAACTGAATTAATTAGATTACTTTATTTTGAACTTATAAATAAGACAGTCAAGATAGCTGTGTAAGTATTGCCGTAGGTAATACAATATCATTTCTCAGTAATCCTTTTCTTATCTGATGACATATTACGACCACCTTACGCTATCAATAAAGCTGTACTATCGATAATGAATTATAACCTATCAAACGATAGGACAACGATATAATTGATAGATTTATATAATGTAATAAATTACATCACGCACTCAAATGAGATCGATTGTACGGAAGAAGAAGAATTAATAGCAATGCTAATGTATTGTATTTACATAGCTTACGTGAAAATGGAAATGGAAGGCTTATTACAACAAATTTCGACTGGTTATCATGTTCACACATGTATCGTACAGTCTTACAGTTAAACAATTATCCATGTGATAGTTTAGAGAAATGTGAAAAGAGAAAATTCCTGAAATTAGAAAAATGTTTACATAAATTTAAGATTATTTGCTTAAAGAATTTTATTTGAAAAAAGATACTAGAATATAGTTAATCTATTGGAGTCATGACGTTATTGCAACCCACATCCATCATAAAGTGGTGCTGAGCTATCTAATTTATTATAAAAAGAACAGTATTCCGCAAATTTCGGAGCAAGTTATCGTCCTTTACCGTCTTAAATGAGAAAATGAAATAATATCTGCGTAGTCTTATCTTACTTCTTTACCAAGCATGTATCAATTCATAACTATTATTATTGCTTCTTATTAATTTATTAAATTGATTAATTGAGATCAAGTCATATTTTGGATAATTCATCAGCGACCATTAATAAATAGCTGAAAGACTTTCTACATCGAATAGATTTCAAAAATACTTTATTAAGAATAGAAATAACGAAAAGCATCTTTAAAATTGTTTTCGATTATATTTACATTAAATAACACAACGAAACAGTTTCAATCTCTAATTACGTATTTCAAACAATTTCTATTAGCTTTTTTACCTATTGTTATTAATAAATGATACTATCTACACATGTATATTTTAGGCATAACGTATGTTATTTGATAAAGACAATAGACCTTTGGAATCCGCCCTAGAAAGTTGAAGAGATCTATTCTAATTCGATTGCTCGTTGATAGATCTACTTTATATACGGTAGGGAAATCAGACCTTCCAAATATTATAGTTCAACTTGTCTGATATTGGCAATATGAGAGGCGCAAGATTTTCTCTGATAACAACTTAGGTAATTATAACCTGAAATAAGATTATCTTTTCATTTAAAAAGAAAAAGCTATTATTATTTTAGTAAGATCTAAGTCAGTAAGTTAGTAATATGCAATTATTATATGTACCAACTTAATGGCAGTAATTACTATTCGGTGTGTAATATCAGTTAAATTGTAAATCTATTACTTTTAGAGTTGTACTGAATGATGACTTAAAATGTTACATTGGAAATATATGGAGTAAAATTGTGAACAACCGTTCGATCACTGTTAGCTATAACTTCTTGCTTTTCAATTATTTCAAATGAGTTAAAATTGAAGCTTTCTAATATAATTTTATCAGCATTGATCGTTGTACATTATTTAATGATAGATTTCTGCTTAAATTTTGCAATCCAGTCATCCACGAAAAATATGGTCAGTAAAAATGTTGTTCGTTAATTAAAGGTTAGCATTATTAGTTGTTATACTTAGCAGAAATAACCTCTAGACAGGCTGAAGTAATTTAAAAGAATATCATAATAAAAATTTCCTTTGTGAAAAGCAGTTATGTCACAAATTAACACTGTGGCAAGGGAAGGTAAAGTAAAAGTCGATAAGTAAACTACTGACTTAAACGTTAAATATACGCCGCAAAGTACCGTAAAGATACAATCTATATCAGCATTGACTTATTCACGACTTTTCATATCATTTCCCACTCAAAATATTTCCGTTTTATATAGGAAACGTCTAACTTGTAAACCACAATAACATTACTATTATTGCTTATTAGGAAAGACATCTCAAACTGAAATATTAATTACATAACTTTTCCATCGGTAGATACTTTCAACCTATTGCTCATAAATAATCATAAGCTAAACATGGTTGCAGTTTAGTTAACTATCATAAGCTAGAACTTGAATCACCTTACTACTTTCTACACACAATAACAATCAATATCAGATTTATAATAAATTATCACTAATTATACCGGCACTAAGACATTACTTATCTTACCGAGCACTACAATTATAAATATTTTCTATATTAGCTACTACTGTACTATTAAGCTATCCAAATGATAAGGTAGCACCGTAACAGGTTACTAACTACATATCAATTACCATTTAGTGATGAATTTCTATTTAATTGCCTGGCAACATTAATCGACCATGATGAATAAGTCAACATTTGGTGGCACTATGCTTAAATCCATGATGGTTCTACATTTCTTTTTGGCTATCAACGAAACCATTCAACCCTGATAGATCATTTGAGTATGACTAATACCTCACGCAATAATAATTTTAGATTGGAATTAGCGGCACAAATATATCGATATGCTGCTGTAGTTGGTATTCCAATCTTTACGTTTGGACTTATCATCAACTTGTTTATTCTATATCTATTTCTGTTTGATAAGCATTTTCAGAAGACGACATACAAGTT